GAGCGGTTGAGCTCCAAAGTATAATGCGATGAGAGTAGCTATATATAGTTTAGCAGCTAGGAAGGTAATCTGGCTAGCTGCTGTTCGATCAAAGCCTATAGATTCAGATCCGAACCCGATCGCGAGAAACCTCTGGGATGCTCTTACTGGGCTTCTACTTAATTCTAGTCACATCAGGGTATCCCGTGTCGGATAGCCGGTGGATTTGAAAGATTGGCTGCCTCAAGGGATTTTATAACCAAGGAAATCCACGCTTTAGAAGAATCTCTGCAGTAGATGCCTTAAGTGGTTGAGCCTGGAATATAAGAACATATATGAGGACGTATTTTGTGACTCACAGCATGTTAGCTCAGGGGAAGAGCGCCGGGCTCATAACCCGGAGGACCCTGGATCGAAACCAGGACATGCTATATGATTATCTTTTTGCTCTTTTCCCCTTTCCACCATTAGGGGTTCCTTTAGTTTCTCTTTGTCGTTACGGGTCTACAGAATGATCTTCTTTCTTGCAGGAGACTGCGACGACCTAACTGGATCGCGCGTGCTGACTGATTACCACCGTCGAGGGCTGCCTCTCTCGACAGTCCAGTGGCTCTTAGTTAATTCCAGTTTAGTCTCCTAAGGCTGTTAAACCGCGCACATTGTACTATGACGCATTTGAGATCTTCAAGGTATTGTATTCGAAAATGACAATCTTACGCAGTCAGTTATATATTTATGTGGCTGATCCGTCCAGCAGCCCCGAGACTCCAATGCAGTTGGGCAAGCTCTAGCATGTCGAGATCATCAGAGGCGAGAGTCGACGCCGAGCTTCCAAGAAGAACACACTCTCTAAGCAGTCACAATTCCTGGCTCAGATAAACCATGCCTCGTCGAGACCCTTACTCGTCCACTGCGCCAGGCTAGTCTGGCAGATGTTCGCTTGCTGGATCCGAACAAGCCCGTCGATTGTGAGAGAGTATTTCTTTTTTCCTTTTCTTCCCTCCTTCGAGTAATTGACGCAACGTCATGCGAAGGCCGTGCTACCATGTACTGTGACCCTTCTCTTCTTATACCTGGAATAGGCTCACAGGAGACGAAGGCGGACGGAAGACTTTATGTTACCAGTGAGAAGAATCGACAAGATGAGGGCCGCGAAACCAATCACCTACTCCAGGCTCTAGAGATCCTGATACCCTTCGCAGCAGTCAAGTAGGTTGTGTTTTTGGTTAGGCTTGTCGACAACGGGGACGCGTATAGTTGTAGCCTCAGCAACGATTGGAAGAATAATAATGTTACCACGAGTCACCATTAGTTGCCTGCACTCTCTCATTCCAGATGTATACAACCCCAGCGCCGGATGAAGGTAATCCCAGGTCCTTATCTCTCTGCCCAGCGCGTCTCTTTCTCGAATTCTTCTCTCTCTTTGCCTCTCATTATCTGCAGACCCACCCTTCTCAGCCTCGAGAAAAACTTCACGGCTTCATCAAAAGTCTCGTCACTTGCCCAGACATCTCTATTCACAATCTCTTTAATACTGTCAAAGAGATCTTACACCTCGTTCCACCCCTCCCCATCTTGCAAATGCTTTATTCGCTCGTCCTCAGTAAATAGAATGGACAATTTCCTTCTACCCTCAATTCTTTCCAGATACCTATATCTAATCCTATACCACTTCATCAGAAACATCAGATAGTGGATTACCTTTCAACATTGATGAGCGCCTCCCGAAAGAATACAATATCATCATCCCACATATCACAAGCCTACTCCACGGGCAGGCGCCTTATTTTCCCATAGTCCAAGTAGAAAGCTTCTGCTAGAATTGGTTTTTTTACCTCTAGTTTCAATCAAATAAAGTTAGAAAATGGCTGACCTGCATATTTGTCGTTTGATCTCAACCTTTCGTTCTTCTTCAAGGTCATCAAAGTTACCAGGACGCTTCAGCATTATACTACCCTGATAGTCCATAAGCGGGGAAGACTAAGCCTAAAGGAGAAGGGAACTCGGAGCACAAGTCGGACCTACCAAAGACATAAACTCTTGTCACATACACAACACAGTAAGTCGAAGATGATCCGTTCTGTTGGCTTACAAGCTCCATCGTGGCAACTTCGGAGGCAGTTGTGTAAAAGGACGTGCCGGCGTTCGGATTTGGGATGCATGCTAGGATTGTCTCCCCGGTCGTTCAACTGAAGACGGATATTTGTTATATCCAGCTTCCGCCAGCTTTACGATTGAAACACACCTGTTTGATTTCATAGCTTTGGGCGCAACATTTTGAAGCTCGGCAACATAGAAGACCTTGTACCTGTCTTGCTTCTGTCTTTCCTCATCCCATATCCAGCGACCACTGGCTTAGCGAAAGAATTTGTCATGTTCAGGTTGTGATGTTGTTCTTGTATGGTTGGAGTTACTCATGTTGCGGGGACCAAGTCTCGCACACAACGCTGAAAAGGCCCTTTGAGTGTTCTCGGCATACCACCGTTAGGAGACAAGAACATCGTCTGCCGCGGAAAAGACGAATTTACATGGTCGCAGTGTTGGATGGTTGAAGAAAATGGATGGCTGAGACTAAGTACCTAGTAGGTAAGTAAGGAAGTAGGTACAGGTACCTACCTACTACTACCTGACATAGACCTCATTGCCGGTCGTTGTTATTGGTTGAATGGAGGGCTTGACTTTCGTTCATGGCTTGAACTACTCAGGTACGTATGGAGCGAGGCCTGCTGTGTGCGAGCTGTTAGTCATGGGTTATGAATGCTTTGCGGAAACAAATGACATCAATTAAGCATGTTAGCTCAGGGGAAGAGCGCCGGGCTCATAACCCGGAGGACCCTGGATCGAAACCAGGACATGCTAAACCTTCCTTTCTTTTTTGATTTTTGACCTTGCATAATATATATCATCTGGATTGCTCAGCTCTTCACAAAACCTGCAACCCTAATCCCTACAGCCGCGCGTGCTTCGAGCCCATCTGCTCCATCCTCCGCATAGAATCCGACAAAGAGTGCCTCGGCAGACATACCTATCTATAGTCTACACACATACACGTATAGACTCCTTACTGAGCAACTTTACCGATTTTAACTAATTTCTCACTCCTAAAGTGCCTCTCGAAGACTGACTTTGATGATCACGATTCCTGTGACCATTGGTAATCCCCCGCGTGGTATCACTGCACTCACCATCTGGCCTCACAATCTGGATACTCCCGCTGCTCACTCGCAATGCTACCTAATTCAGACTCTCAACAATGAAGATATTGTCATCGAGGGAACATCGAATTTGCGGTCCAAACCTTCGGTTTCTTAGCCAGATCAGCATCCCGTTCACCCTTTCGCACTTGAATTCTCCAGTCTCTTTCGTTGACACATTGTGCACATGCCTGCTTCTCGAGACTCGTGCCCATATATACATATTTTGAACATGTGGACTAGTACCATTGAGCACGGCTCTTAAGACGCAACTGCTCTTGGATCCCAGCAGCTTCGAGGGTAAAAAGTTGATGATAGTTACAATAAGAGTGAGGAGAAGGGACGTGCCCGGTGGAGGGGCCCTTCCCCGCTGCTAGTTCCACACCATGCTCGAAATCAGGGCATGCCTTCGATCACAGCATGTCTATTACCAAGATTCCATCACCCTCGAGCAGAGTGCGCGACATCTGAGCTTGAAGTCGTGAACATTACATCCAGTGATTTCCTAATCACTCACACACTTGCAGCATGCCCGGGTGTGGAGTCAATCTTGGCGATTTCTGTTGGGTCGCTTGTATTTACCATGTATGCACAATTATGAGGATCCATGCTTGCTACGCTGATCATCAAAACGCCGCATCCGAGGCACAAGGCACAAGGCACAGGGCACAAGCACTGATAAGATTACTGACCTGACCACTGCTGACTGCACCCAAGCTTGAGACCCAGATCTAATAACTACGTACTTCTAACCCGAAAATAACCGTTCTCGAGAACCTCTCACCGATGACCTCAAGTTGTTTGAAACAACGCAACAGCAAGGCAGAGAGACGCAATTTCGACCAAATCGGAACGCCGATGATGAGGCGTCAGCGGTGTCAGGATGCAGCTAGTGGCCAGCATGCGACTGCAGCAGCCACGCAATGCAGTGGCCGTCGAGGGCAGAGCGTCATTCCAGCTGCATGCGCGGCAGATTGCCAGGCACCAATGTGCCCCGCTCCGGCCGAATGCTTGCAGGTCCAACAACAAACAACATGTCATTGTTGCAGCTCACCGGCAGAAGTCTTTTGCCCGCCTGAAGTGCAAGACTGGCAGATTGCAAGTACAAGACAAAATTGAGGAGGCTGGGGATGGGGCGGATAGACGGTGCTAAAATAGTTAACCGTCGGGTGGCGGTTGATGCTATTGTTAGAAAAGCGGAAGTTGCATAGCTATGTGATATGACACCAGAGTTGATGATGATGCAGTTGACGGTGTTGACTTGATGAGATGAAGTCAAGGAGTCAACCAGGCTGGTCAGCTAAATTTACAATAGAGTACCGGAGTGTACTGTGCTTATTGTGAATTGGACCTGAATACGGTACTTACTTCTCTATGTTGAATTGTTATGAATTGGGAAGCAATGAATTTCGATGCTAAGAAACCGCCTTACGTAAGGCAGCGTCACTTGAGGATGCTTTGACCGCCGCTTGCAGGGAACCAATCAAATCCCCGCACTGGAGATACTTCCAGGCTATCTGCCCGATTGGGTAAAATGGGGAGTGGGAAAAGCGAGAGGCTGGACGATTCATACTCCTCTTCATCTTCAACTTCCAAGCTCCACTACCCCTTCCAGTTCCTGCATATGAGCCATGGCTGTCTCGTGTGCTTATAATCTTAAAAATGCTTTGCCTCCCCATTCCAAGTGACATTCTCTTGTCAATTCCCCAACACGTGGTGGGCCTGCCGATTGTATAAGGTACCTAGGTAGTACTACCTGATATCCGGCCTCCAGTTCGCTCAGACCACTTGCACATAGTTACACGGACGCCTCCAAACTTGCTCCCTAGGCTCGATTCTGGGCTCACTTACCAATATATCATCCCCTCGTTGTGCCTTATAACTGTCGCCCAACTGCCGACAACGTATCTCCTGCTATGCAGATCTCTCGACTCGGGGCCGTCTTAGGTCTCTTCTCATACTTTGGCCTGGCTACGGCTCAGACATACACGAGCTGCGATCCTCTGGACAAGAGTACGTCTTTCAATCTATGCTGAGAAAAGAGAAAGCAAACTAATCACCCTGGTCAGCCTGTCCTGCGGACACCGCACTGGGAAAGTCTGCATCCTATGACTTTACTTCCGGAAGCTCCTCCGCCTTTGAGGCAACGGGTACCCCCACGTATAGTGACGATGGGGTTGCATTCACAGTGGCCAAAGAGGGGGATGCCCCCTTGATTCAATCCAAATGGTACATCATGTTCGGACGGGTTGAATATGTGATCAAAGCAGCTCCCGGAACCGGTATCGTCAGCAGTGCCGTATTGCAATCGGACGACTTGGACGAGATTGATTTGGAATGGCTTGGTGGAAATGACAACGAGGTACAGAGCAACTATTTCGGAAAAGGGGAGACCACCCCCGACAATCGAGGAGCAACCCACAGCGTCGCCAACTGTCATGACGAGTTCCATACATATACCGTCGATTGGACCAGCGAGCAGCTTGTGTGGCAGATCGACGGAAAGACTGTGCGGGTGCTTACCCCCGAAACTGCCAATGCCAACCAGTACCCCCAGACACCGATGGTGGTGAAAGTGGGAATCTGGGCGGGCGGTGATCCAAACAATGCACAAGGCACGATAGGTAAGGCATACCGCCAATGCGCTTCTAGGGTCTGACAGCGTGCTAATTCCTGCGGCAGACTGGGCCGGTGGAGAAACTAATTACAGTGCTGGGCCGTACACCATGTACATGAAGTCCCTCGAAGTCACGGACTACTCGACTGGATCGTCATACTCATACAGTAACAAGAGTGGACTGTGGGAGTCAATCACCTCGGATGGAGGCAAGATCAACGGCAATATTGGTGCTGACACAATCTCTTCCCAATCGGCCCCGACTATAACGGCGACGGTCAGCATCCCGATTCCCTGGCCTGGTACGCATCGCGAGACTTCAAGTTACGTGACTCCCGACGTCTGGCCTTGGGTTACTGGGACAGGAGCAGCCGCCTACACCGGTACTTGGTCCTATTCAGGTTCCGGACAAATCCAGCCGCCAAGTGCGGCTTCCGTGAGTGAGCATCTCCAGTACGAATCTGATGACTGCTTGAACGCAAACTGACTTGAGCCATCAACAGTCTTTCTCCCAGTCTACATCAGTCTGCTCGCGGTCTGTGCCGGCTTCATCATCCCCCTTCGTCTCTAGAACTGGCTCGAAGGTCAGCCTGGGACGGACCAGTACGATAGCGACCAGCTTGATCACGCCGACGAGGACCAGCTCGATAGCGACAAACCCAATCATGACGAATTCGTCTTTGACCAGCCTCACGAGGACCAGCTTGAGGACGAGCAGCGCGATGGTGTCCAGTCCTATTATGACTAGCTCATTGCTGAGCAGTCCGACAGTGGCCAGTTCGATTGTGGCTAGCTCGGCGACAACCGGCTTAATGACTAGTCCTCAATCTGGCTCGACATTCACCGGCTCAAACACAGCCAGATCGATAATGGCCAGCACGACGATTACTAGCTCGATGGTCACTAGCCTGCAAACCGGATCGACCTTGACAAGACCCACAATGTCTAGCTCGATGCTTACCAGTTCTATGCTGCAAAGCTCAACTTCTGCCCTTCGAACCTGCCAGAGCAGTCATCGCACAACCCCCTCATCGTTAACCACGACCACAAAGGCCGGGACCACCAAAGCTTCCACGACTGGAACCTCAACTCAAACCTCGCCGACATCTCCAACTGAGACGCTTCATGTAGCACCCAATGCCAACGCAGCAAGCAGTCTCTCCGACGTTCCACTTTTCATGGCTACCATATGTGTGCTCATCTCGTTCACACGGGCCTTGGTCTGAAACTGGCCCGACCCGCCGCAAATGGCTCACCTTTACGAATTATGTTATACTCATGCATATGATCATTGCGAGACGATATATTACGACATGATACGCAATCACTAATGATGGACGACTTTTAATGAACAATTTATTTCTCTAATATATGTATGACATCGAGGTGCTAGTGAATTTAGAGTCCGCGCCCCACAGGGCTGGCGTTGTCAGGAACCCATGATCTACTGAACCGGATATTAGTACAGCAAAGCAGACTAGAATATACACGCATGACTGGCAAATCGATATAGAGCCGGATGCTATATTTTCCGAGCAAACAATTAATGCACTGTTTGTCTGATTTAGACGTCTTAATACTCTCAGTATCAAGTACTGATATCAAGACCTTGTCAGCCGCTGAGCTATGTACCAGACACCACACCTTGGTCGCTGGAACTATGCCAGTAGTGACAACAGGTGACTTCTCTTGTAAGATGACCTTGAATCAACATCACAGTTAACAAGGCATCGCCACAGCAAGATCAGCAGCTAAAAAGGGTGATCTGACTGTTAGCTACCTAGTCAGGTAATATGTATTTATCCCAAGTGAATGCATCATGTTGGCCTGTTTGTCGATTCCACCTGCGTTTGTCGCCCCCAGCCCACACTTCCTCTCCCACCATCACACAGCAATAAATCCCTACTCTTGTCCTCCTGGCAGGCTCAACTCACTGGCCCTTCCACTCACATCCCTTGGTCCACAGCTCCTAGAAACCTCATCCACCGGTATCTTGTCTCGTCGATTCTTCCCTTGTAACTTCCTACCAAGGCGTATCACACAAGGTCCATCATCTCATTCAACGAACAGCGAGATTCCTCAAGACCGCCATGGCGGACAGCAAGTCCCTCGCCGACCTCACCACCGAAGTAGGAGCGGCCAAAGTAGAGCTGTGTCTCCTCCTCCTCCTCCACCGGCTTGATTCTATCGACGGAAATTGTCTCGGATTTGTCTGAAAAACCTGCCCAGCCTTCCCGTGGGATTGGCAGATTGGTCTTTAGCATAGCTTTGACCCAAGAGATGTTCACTTCAAGCATTGTTTTTCCACCCTCCGAACCTGGAAATGTAACCATCTATCCCATGTAGGAAACTCTCAAAATCAATCACTGGCATGCTCAGTAACCTACTGTGGGTCTTATGTGAGTGTATCTTGTTAGTAAACTAGGTACTCAAACGAAGAGGGCTCAAGTGGCTTGCAGAATACACACACACACACACACACACACACACACACACACACAAACACACACAGACAGACAGACAACAGAGAAACAGACAGACACACACACACACATAGACTCCTTTCTAAAGAAATCATCAAAAGAGCGAAAAATAAATCCCATCACGTACTCATACTCTAGACGCACATGAAATCAACACCCATCTCTTTTACTGCTCTTCTCTCCGGTCCCAATTCCCCCCGGCCTTGGTCTTTACCCAATCAAACAGGACTCTCTTCCGCATCAGCCCGGACCTGACGCCGCCTTCGCCGACGAGAAGGCAGATGAGTCTTGTACCTTCCCCCAAACCCGCTCAAAGGTTGAAGAAGCCGGCCCAGACCCAGAAGCGGGGAGTCGTTGACCACGCTGTCGGTGCCGGTGTAGAGGAAGACGTCGTAGAGCCAGCCGCCAAAGGTGCAGCCGAGGAAGGGGGCGATCATTGGGATCTAGGTTCTGGGTTTAGTGGGGAGAGGTAGTACGGGGCGAGGCGGGGGGGGGAGGGGGGGGAGAAACCATAGATGTGTTTTTATTGGGTTGGGAGATTAGGAGGAATGAGGATTTATTTCATGATATAGATGATCGTGAGAAGACGGGTAAGAGTGACCACTTACCCAGAAGTAATACCCCCCCGCCTTCCATACTTCAGTCCCGTATCCGATCATATATGTCACTAGTCGAGGCCCAAAGTCCCTAGCCAGGTTGATCGCGTATCCGGTTTCCCAGCCGAAGCAGGCGCCGATACCGAAGATGAGGAAGAACATGGCTAGCGGCATCGTAAAAGGGAGACGGGGGGTGGTTGCTGGTGGTGTGGTGGTCGTTGGGACAGAGGTACTGTCGCTGCTGTCTTTTGGGTTGCTATGTTGGTGGTTGTTTTTGGCGGGCTCGTGCTCGGTATTATCCTTTATGGCGAAGATTCCAAACATCAAGATGGAACTTGCTATGAACTCGGAAAAGAAGGCGCCGGTCCGCGTCATGAAGGGCGCAGGGTAGGTGCTGAATATGCCTGCGGTGGCGGTGGGGGAGGAGCCTGGCACTGTCCGGATCGTGGATCCGCCCTCGTAAACGTCGATAGCGGAGCGGTAGTTGGCATAGACGATGGCTGCTCCGCACATGGCGCCGAGGAGCTGGGAGAGGATGTAGATCGGGAACTGGCGCCAGGGGAAGCGGCGGAGCAGGCAGCTGGCCAGGGTAACGGCTGGGTTGAGGTGAGAGCCTGACGGGCTGGAGACGTAGACTCCGAGCATGACGCCTAGTCTGGAGTGTGTGGAATCGTTAGTTCAGATGGACAAAGGAAAAACGTGGCGATGCCGGGGACTAGGTTATGTGCTTGTGCGAGTTCTCGAAAGTTGGGATAGGAAAGCGACGAAAGCCTTACCCCCAGCCCCAGGTGATCGATTGATACTCGCCTTTTTCTTTCTGACTGAGCAGCACCTGCGCTACCACCCCGTTACCGAAGAGCATCATTATCATAGTCCCGAAGAATTCGGAGAAGGCATGGTGGAGGAGACGTCGGATTTGGCTCCATCGCTGCTGAATGAGCATCGGCATGAACTCGTCCCCTGTCAGATGAAGGACAGCAACGGAGGCTTCAGCGTGCTTGCTCGTGCTGGCTAGGGTTATGCTGCTCTGAACGAGAGGATCCGCCATGGGGAAATGCTAGAATTGGTCCATTTCGGAGGGACGGCCGGGTGGCGGGGGTACAGAGAAGTGTTTATGTATGTAGAGGTACCAGGTTCAGGAGAACTCGCCGAGATGTAGAGGAGAAGGATCAAAGGACGTGGTGGAACATGTTGCTACTAGCTTGGTGGTGTATATCCTCCATGGTACGACCTTCACATTCACTCCGTCCTTACAAGTCGGAGGGTTAGTGTCATTTGTCTCGATGGCTTCAAAACGGTACTTCTGGCCAACATGACTGTTTGACACTCAGCACGACTTTGAGCCTAGAGACAGGACTGTTGTGCATCTCCTGAATGAGCTTGTATGGTGGAACTGGGTAACAGACCGGCATCTAACCATTGCCCGATGAGAAGGACGTATAACATCAGGACCGTTGGCCAGCAGCCCGTTGGTACCGATGCGTTCGAGCTAGCTTGGCATTCTTTGTGACAGGGCTGGAACAACCGATGATATGATAGATGTTGCATTGTCAGGTAGTATATTAGATTGATCAACTCGCCTCATAGGACCAGGTCCGCCCATCTCACGAGTATTGGACGTTGCTCTTGTCCTACAGACCTTCTGCTCATTGGGCGATTGAGTATCCTCGCGCGACCTGCAGATATGCTGCAAGACCAACCCGACAAACCATACTATCGAGATCTGGATTCTAAGATGTGAGGTTGTTTAAGCAAAGAATGGCACTGTTCTCAACGTTAGACTTGGAAGAACGTCCACAATCGGTAACCCACCTTTTCACTGCTCCGATGATGTCTTTACAATAGTTTTCTGCCAACCAAAGCACTTTTTCTGCGATGAGATTCCCTAGAAGGCATTCATGGAAAAGGGGTGGTGAGAATCATGCTTGAGGTCGAAGTGGCGGAACGGCCAACTCTTTCTGAGCCGGCGGACCGACTTTCTTCTCCCTCTCTTCCTCTTCCTCTTCCTCGTCCTCTACTTTTACCTCCCCTCCATCACACTTCGTTACTCCAACAATTCACTCGAGACCTTCAAGTCTCTCAAGCCAAGTGAGCATCGAGATCAACCCCAATGAGGCATTTGCACAGCTGACACCAATCTCTGCTGGAGCCATGGCGTGCTAGCGTCAGGCTCTCTGCGGAGTGTGATCTCTTGATAGCTGCCTGAAAACCTACGCCAAACCGAAACCTTGCAGTGGAGCAGAACACAAAGTGTATGGATAATCGGACTCTAATGAAGGCTGACTGCGCCAGGGGTCGCTAATTATGGAACGTTCAAGCGGCTGGCTGGGTTGTACAAGCATGGTACATTGCAGTCGAGGGGGTATGGCCCCCATGCGGCCTTATTCGTATAACACAGAGAGATCATGGTGTTTCCCGTGACTGCTGAAGCCATTTGTTCACAACTCATGACTTGCGCAAGGAGGTTATCATTCAAATCACTCCCAGCAGAATGGACGGACCGGATGTTTTTGTCGGCGCTATCGACCAAGGCACCACCAGCACTCGATTCCTCATATTCAACCAGGCCGGCGAGATAGTAGCATCTCACCAAGTCGAACTTACACAGATCTTTCCCAACCCAGGGTAAGGCGAGTGCATCCATGCAAGACTGCCTATCACTGACACAGTATCAGATGGCATGAACACGACCCCCTCGAGATAGTCTCGTCCGTAGAAACATGCATTGACGAAGCCATTGCAAAACTCGAGGCCCAATGGTTCTCCCGCACAGACGTCAAAGCAGTTGGCATCACTAACCAGCGCGAGACCACCATCGTATGGGACCATGAAACCGGCGCACCCCTCCACCGTGCGATTGTCTGGACCGACACTAGGTCCCAAGACATCGTGATGCGACTCAAACAACAGCCAGGAGCATCGCAATTGCAGTCGATCTGCGGCCTTCCGCTGTCCACCTATTCATCCGCGTCGAAGCTGCTCTGGATGCTTGCGCATTGCCCCAAAGTGAGAGAGGCCTACGAACGGGGCACGCTGGCTTTCGGTACCGTCGATGCATGGCTTGTGTACCAGCTCAATGGCGGCCCTCAGGCGAAGGTCTTCGTATCAGATCCCACCAACGCCTCCCGAACCATGTTCATGAACCTGAAGACCCTCAAGTACGACGACTACCTGCTGGACTTCTTCGGCATTAAAGGCCGCGTCCATCTGCCCAGGATAGTCCCTTCGTCGGACGCTACCGCCTACGGCTCGCTCGCCCGCGGCGCCCTCGCCGGCACGCCTATCATGGGCTGTCTGGGAGATCAATCGGCCGCTTTGGTCGGCCAGAAGGGATTCTCGCCTGGAATGGCCAAGAACACGTACGGCACGGGGTGCTTTCTCCTATACAACGTGGGCGACACTCCGGTCATCTCCTCGCACGGGTTACTGGCGACCGTGGCGTATCACTTCGACGGGAAGCAGCCCGTGTATGCCCTGGAAGGGAGCATTGCCGTCGCCGGCTCAGGCATCAAGTTCCTCCAGAACAACCTCGAGTTCTTCAAGGACCCGCAGGAAGTCAACGACCTAGCGTCGACCGTCAGCGACAACGGCGGCTGTGTCTTCGTCACCGCATTCAGCGGCCTCTTCGCTCCATACTGGATCGACGATGCAAAGGGCACAATCTGTAAGATGCCCAACCATTCCCCGTCTCCAACACATATAGTATCTCCATCGCTAACATCCTATCCGCAAACTCAGTTGGAATCACCCAATACATCCAGAAAGGCCATCTCGCCCGCGCCATCCTCGAAGCCACCTGCTTCCAGACCAAAGCCATCCTCGACGCCATGGAAAAGGACAGCGGCCATACCCTGGCTGAACTAGCCGTGGACGGAGGAATGAGTAACTCGGATCTAGCCATGCAGGTTTGATTGCCAGAGCCCGCTGAGTCCCAGTCCCAGTCCCAGTCCCAGTTCCAGTCCCAGCTCCAGTACCTCCTAGAAAAGCCCTAATCACCGCAGCTAACTGACCAACCATATCCACAGATCCAAGCAGACCTCATCTCCATCCCCGTCTATCGACCCAAAATGCGCGAGACCACCGCGCTCGGTGCCGCCATCGCCGCCGGCCTGGCCGCGGGCGTGTGGCGCAACTTCTCCGAGCTGCGCGCCCTGAACTATGGAGCGGACAGCGGCGGCACGGTGTTTGAGCCGCGAGCGGAAGTGCGCGAGGAGAGTGCGCGGGCGTTTGCGCTGTGGGAGAAGGCGGTGGCGATGAGTCGCGGGTGGGTGGGCGATAACGACAACGATAAGCCTGGCGCGGTTCGGCATCGTGGTAGCATGCCCTCTGCGGGTGCGAAAAGGGGGCCGGCGAGCTCCGAGATCGTCTCTGGCTTGAACGGGGCGGATGGGCATGCTCGTTTGGTCGCGAGTTTTGAAGCTGCCGCAGCGGAGAGTTCTGCTACCGCTGATCTGGAGGATGCGGAGGAGGAGGATTTGTACCTGGAGTTACGGAGGGTGGAGATTCTACAGAAGTTGAGGAAGGTGAGGAAGGGAAGGAAGGCTGAGTTGGCGAGTTTGTGAGACTGGAATGGATTGGGTCGGGTCTCATGAATACTTCCTTGCGGCAGAGTTCGAGACTAGATTTGAGAAGTGAGGTAGAATCGAGCTGTTATGCACAGAAAGAAACTTGCCAAATTATCACTAACTATTGTAGGCAAGGACAGTGAAGCTATGTTGCTCGTAGTGCAGCATAGTGATACTCATCCCCTTGGTCCCGCGAGTTTTGTCATCCCATGATAACCTTGCACCCACGACATGGTGTCTTTGTGCCAGCCGCATAAATTATAAGCAGGCTGCTGATCCTGGCACTACTGTCGCGACTATTCCTCCTTGGAGACAGCATCCCTCTCACCGTGCCGCTCAAAAACACAATTCAACTCCGCCGCCGGCGTCAGCGTTACATCGAACTTCAAGGGCGGGTCCACGACCTCGTCCTGTCCGCGCGCGGGCAAGGCCTGGATGGCGCGGTAGGCCTGTAAGATGCGCACAACCGTGTAGCCCATCTCGATGGTGGCGAACTGCTGTCCGAGGCAGATGCGCGGCCCGCCGTTGAAGGGGATGAAGTGCCAGGGTTTGGGCTGCCAGCCCGACAGCCACCGCTCGGGAATCCATTTTCCAGGGTCGCAGTACCCGGGACTCCCCGGTGGCGGGTAGTTCTCGGGGGCCCGCTGCATGAGGATGGTGGAGTAGACGACTCGGGTGTTGGCGCGGATGCCCACGGGGGAGAGTCCGTCGGGTCCGCCGCCGCGCGGCAAGGAAGTGTTCTTCAGGGAGGAGCGGACGTTGAAGGGTACCACGGGGTACAGGCGCATGGTCTCGTTGAGCACCGCATTAAGGTACTTCATCTCCTTGAGGTCGAGGTAGGTAGGTTTGCGGTTGGCGGGACCGAGCCCCAGTTGCGCGTCGATCTCTGCGCGGAGGCTGGAGACGACCTCAGGGTGACGTGCGAGCTCAAACAGACAGAAGGAGAGAGTTGCGGCTGTGGTGTCGCGGCCGGCGAGGAGGATGGCAACTAGTTGATCGCGGAGGACCTGAGAATCGCGGGTGAAGCGAGCCAGAGCGTCGAGGAAGGTGTCCTTGCTGGAGACCTTCTGGTCCAGCTCTTCAGGTGATAGAGAGAGAACTCTTTCGATGTACGGCTGCAGGAACTCGTCCATGATGCGAAGATTCCTGCGGAACTCCTTGCGGGGAACGAGGAAGTTGAAGGGGCTACGATTTTGAGGGAAAAGGTTAGTCATTGCTTCTGTTCAGTCTTGACCAGCAGGGGACCATACCCCATTCGAAAGATAGTTGTCTGGCAATGCTGTACGTAGCGGAAAGCTTCAGCGAAGATGGCAGTCGGGTTATGAAGACTGTTTGTTCCTTGACCTAGAAGGTAATCTGTCGCAGCGTCCAGAGTGTACCGAAAGCACAGTGGGGTGACATCAACGACCTTGCTCTCCCTGAAGGAAGGCCCTCCCGCCAGAAGAGGGATTAATTTCTGGATATGTTTCTCAAAGAGTTCGGTGTCCACGATGCGTTCGCGAACGAACATGGGGCGGATTAGATGCCTGGAGCGAGACCACAGCTCACCGTCGGTCGCGAAAATACTGTCTCCTAGGAACTCCTTCCAATCCCGATGAAAGTGTTCTCCCTTACCATAGTCGGCGAATTGGCCGGTGAGCAGGGCCTTGATGTTCTCAGGATCGAATGTGAAGATGACTCGGTTGGAGATTCCGGAGTCGATCTCCGCGGTTTGAGGAAACTCCACCCTTGAGGCGCCTTTGGCATATTTGACGATGTCGTGCCAAAACGACAGGTCCTGATGCTTTGCACTGGCAGCGCTGGCCCTATAGATGTGGTCAAACGCTGTTGTTCAGGCCCGTCAGCGTCTTTCTGCCAAGGTGGTGCTGCAATACAGTGACGTACCATATGGCAGCCTGTGCCGCACACGAGGGGCCCTGCAGCCGAGTCGAGAAATCTCAAGAGATACCTGAATTTTGCGAAGCAGGCCTGCGATGAAAAGAACGCCCAGAAGACATACAGCTGCCTTCCCTGGAGTCATGTGGGTCAGGGTATCCTCAATCATGATTATTGCTGCGTTGCAGTGATGTTGATGGCTTCAACCTTGCTAGAATGAGATCAGGGACTGGCATGGGTTGGCAGTGACACCTGGGGAATATAAATGAATGATTGCCATGAGGACTAGGTGAGGGGGAGTCAGGGCGTTCTTGTGAATGAAAATCACTGCCCGGCGTCTGCATGACAAAGGTACATGTACTGTACTTTTCAAGGCTCCGACATTGGATCTGAGATGTTCGATCACTAGTATGTGAAAGTCTTCGCGCGTTTCCTCTTTGAGAAATGTTTGCGAACCCCGCGTGTTGAAGCCGAGAGACCCGCGGCCCCATAGTCATGGCCGAGGCATCTTCAATCATCATGTTTTTGATGGTATTCATAGTGGAGAAATTTGAGACTCAATTCCAAGATGGCCAAAAGCACTGGACAGTATGTGCACAGATGTCAGCATGGTGTGACGTCCAGAGGCCAAGTTGCTGCCTGAACAGATCAGCAGTATTCCTTTTCTTCCGGATTATTGAAGATCAATAGGATCAATATGATATGAGAAGGTCTGTAGGCGGACCTGCAGTGGGTAGAGAGAGGATGGTTGAACAGAGGAAAATAATTACCAAGAAGAAGTCAGTCTACGGACGGAGTATATTCTACGGAGTATAGATTAGGTATGTATAGTTAGATTAGTGACTGTGTAGTTACTACACACTAGTTATGGGGTGTGACTTCCCCTCCCTCCATCTTTTCCTCCTGCCTAAAAAGAAGGGGAGACGCCCGCAGCCACTCGCCAGTTGGCGCGGCTGGAAACTTGCAGCGCCACATCTCACGTGACTACACTGTGGCTGGCAGGGGAAGTGATCTCGGCGGCGTCTTTCATCATCAGCCCGCAACGAAAGTTCCTGCGGTCAATCACCATCCCAAAAACCCAGCGTGACCTATCGTCCCTCTATTTTTATCTTTCTCGCACCTCAAATCTAACCTCGCACTTCCTATCAAACAGTACCTACCTAGCTAGTCTTTTTTTCAAACGCATCAGTGTGGTCAGGCGCGCCCTGTCAACCCAGCACTACCGTCTCTACGACTGACTTATTAAGCCTCTCTTTTCTCCCTCCCTTCTTGCCACAGAGACCCGACTCGCTGTTCTTGCGCATTTCACCATGACGACGATGGTTATAGCAGGCACTCCGCTAGCGGAAGCTTTGGCAAATGTTATTCCCCCGAAATTGGTCGAAATGGGGTGGAGTTCCGACGGCGATGATTCGGCCTTGATAGATTATGTGATCCTCATGTTGGTCAACGGCAAGACCCAGGAGCAGATCGCCAACGATCTCTCCAACGATCTCCTTGGCCTTGGCGAAGGTGATACTCAAGCTCTGGAATTCTCGAGGTGGTTGTTCGAACAGGTCGAAATCCTCAACCAACAGATCAACGGTGGCGGCGCCCCGACGTTGAACGACCCGACTTCGGCGCAAGCAATTCCTTCGTTCGCAGATCAAGAGAACGCCATCCCTCAGCCGACCGGTCCTGAAAACGGCGCACAAGATGCAGACATGGCGATGGGTGATGATACGGCATCGGCAGGTGACTCGATGTAAGTCTCGCTATCAATCTCCACCGAAGAAACCCGGCTAACTAGGATATTGTAGACCAACGGGCCCGAAGGCAATGCGCAATGGGCGCCCTGCTGGAAGGGGTCGGATGCTCAACCAAATAAACAGAGCTATGGATCGTGGCGACCGCGGCGACTCGGCGCTTCATCGTGTTCGTGGGCCTGGTGGTGGGCGGATCAACGCTCATGGGCAGAATAATGGAAAGGGACGGTACAATCAGAATGGCGGAGGAAGGATGCAGGGCGGCCGTCAGATGAATATGGGTCCGATGACGAACATGAGCCCGAACGATCAGATGCAGCTCATGTCTCTTCTAGAAGAGCAGGCACGCATGATGGCGCAATTCATGCCTAACTTCGTTTCTCCTGCAATCAACCCCGCATTTCAGCAGAATGGCCCTCAACAGGGTCGGTCACTGTTCGACCGCGTTGAACGCCAGCATGGTCACCGGCAGCACCGCCATCAGCGCAATAATCGCACGAACGACCAAGACAATGATACCGACATGGACATGAAACCCCAAGGCGAGCAGGACGAGAGCAATACCGATACTGTTTGCCGATTCAATCTTCGCTGTAGCAGGAAGGACTGTCCTTTTGCTCACCAATCGCCAGCCGCTCCCGAAGGCAGCCCGGTCGACGTCTCGGATCACTGTTCGTATGGAGCAGCATGCAAAAATCGCAAGTGCACAGGGCGTCATCCTTCGCCAGCTGTCAAGTCTGCTCATCAGGCGGAGGAGATGTGCAGGTTCTTCCCCAACTGCGCCAACCCCCACTGCCATTTCAAGCATCCTTCCATGCCGTTGTGCCGAAATGGCGCCGACTGCACCGTTGAGGGCTGCAAATTCACACACCTTCAAACGGCATGCAAATTCAATCCTTGTCTCAATCCAAGCTGTCCCTATAAGCATGCTGAGGGCCAAAAGGGTGCCTTCTCCGACAAAGTCTGGACTCCGAATTCTGGGAAACCCCACGTGAGCGAAAGGAAGTTCGTGACGGATGAGGATGGGGCGGAGGAACTCATCAAGCCGGGCACTACGGACGGTTCTCAGAGCCAAGAGATCGTGACATGATCTGATTTGACTTGCGTACCTTGATGACTGCTGTACTGCACATGCCCCCTCATTCGAGACTTTTTGCGCCCACTTCACGGACGATCGATGGAGGGACGAGGCGTTGAAATTCGATTTTGCTTTTTATGACAGAATATCTTGCTGGTTTGTAAATAGAATGGGGATATCATGGCTTTTTCCTACGGCGTTTGCTTCAAAAGGACAATATGACTCTTGTAGTCAATATACACATAATAGAAACCTGTTATCATGATAGCCACGTATCACACTTGACTTTTACTGGATAGTAAGAGGGATCCCGCCCAGAATAATGTAATATCTCACATTGACTTATCGTTTTGACTGGGCAATGGGCGAATAGCTCAGGGTTTGTCTACCTCTGAATACCACCCGGGACGGACTCTAATCTTACCGCCTTATCCTGGAGAGACACACCGCCCATTTCTGCGAGAATACTGCCCGCTGCAAACCACCCCCCCAAATCTCTCCACATTCCATTGCCATCTGCTCTTCCAATTCCACCACCACTCTTTTCTGAGTTTCGCATTTTCCCTTGCTGAAATGCGACTAGCATGTACTTTACACGCTGCACGTAGAGTGGCGCGGGCGCCACTGGTGCGCAGTCGCCACGAGTACCGCTCCTTGTCAACCGGACCGTATGATGCCGCCGTCATTGGCGGAGGCATTACCGGCCTCACAGCAGCCTACCGATTATTACAAGATCACAACTGCGAAAAGATCACGCTGTACGAGTCGAAAGACCGCGTCGGGGGCTGGATGCAATCCGACACGGTGATGGTAGAATCTGGCGGGGAATTAGGGAAGCTCGTTCTCGAACGCGGTCCGCGGACTTTAAGAGCTGGGTTTCCGACATGTCTTCCTCTGCTTGACATGGTAGGTAAATGCTGCAGGACGGCAATCCGTCTAATTCCCGGCTCAAACATCTAATCTGGTACAGATGTCAGAGCTTGACTTGCTTAACGATGTGGTTGTGACGAAGAAATCCTCTCCTGCCGCTACCAATCGGTACATCTACTATCCCGATCACTTGGTGCGCATTCCTCAGCCCCGCCCAGACTCGAGCTGGTACGGCAACATTTCCGAAGCCTGGAAGACTGTGGCTACGGAACCTCTGTTTGATGGGATACTCAAGAATCTCTGGGGCGAGTTGACCAACCCGGCGCCCGAGTCCGGGCAGCCAGACGAGTCGATTGCGGACTTCATTTCGCGTCGATTCGGCAGCCAAGTGGCGGATAACATGGTCTCGGCGGTCATGGGGGGCATTTTCGCAGGTGACATCAATCGTCTGAGTGCACAAACGCTGATGGGTCCGCTCCGAAATCGTGAGAGCGGTGGAGAATCCGTCCTGAAGAATATGCTAATCGACATGCTGCACCGACGTAGTTATTGGAAGATGGATGATCTATTGGCCCTGCAAGCCGGGCGCCCTCGAAAAGACCTTGACTACTGGAGAGCCCTGAAGGCGCTGCTAAATGGTGCTAGTGTGTTTTCTCTGAAGGAGGGCCTTGAACAACTCCCACGCGCTATTACCAAACGGTTGCTGGAATCCAAGAAGGTCGAGATCCTCACTTCGGCAAACATACGCTGTATGTTACAAAACCCTTCCACTCTCGACATTATGGTAAGGGAGCTAGTTTCAAACGTTGGTGCTATTCCCAGTTGGACAAGCTGACCCGGTTGTAGCTCGACCTCGGATCAAAGCAGAAAGTTCGAGTTCACAATCGAGTGATCGCTACCGTCAAACCGAAGCATATAGCAGATATGATTCCCAGTCGGACGGCCAGGAGCCGATTCTATCCTGCTCAGTCAGTACAACATCTGAGGGCCGACGAAAACAACTATGCGGTAACGGTCATGGTGGTGAACCTTTATTACAAGGCCGAACACAAACTAGACATACCCAGAGGCTTCGGGTACCTAATTCCACGAACGGTCCCATTCGACCAAAACCCCGAACTGGCCCTCGGAGTCATCTTCGGAAACGAGACTTCGGCAGGTCAGGACACTGCCCAAAACGTCAAATTGACCGTGATGCTCGGTGGGCACTGGTGGGACGGTATGTCCAAGTCAGATTTGCCGGATCATGATCAGGCCTGCAAGCTCGCCCGTGCTGTGATTGCACGTCATCTTAAGATTGCCGTCGAGCCGCTCGACGCGAAGAGCTACCTCCATGTAGATGCTATTCCTCAGTATACTGTTGGCCATCTGGAACGCATGAACGACCTCTCCCAAGCAGTCCGGGAGGACTTCCAGAACCGGCTGACACTCGCTGGCTCATGGTATGGAACCAGCGGTAATGGTGTCCTTGACTGTGTCCGGCAGGGTTATTTGGCCGCTACCTACGGTGTCGGCCAGACACTCAGTGCTGACTTGGGCTTGACCCCTTGGAGAGGCTATGACTACCAGAGTTGGGATCTAGAAGGCGGCATTGTGACCTCACCGGTGAGATTTGCCGAGATCCATAGCTCGGATCGCAAACTACTTTAATGCCCCCAATCGTCGTCCACTGCCCCCTACCATGCCGAACGTGACCGCCTACTTAGTAAGAGAATCGATCTGATCGTGGAAATATCCACACAAGTCATGCGGAGGTATATAGACTGTAGGTAAACAGACCAGCAAGTTCGATTTGGGATTATGACCTGAACAAAGACGGTAAGGTTTAGGTATATTTTGTAAAGATACAGTGGACAGTTTCTGATTTCTCCGGACCGACATGGGAAGTAATCGGCTTTACCAGCAAAGTCTGTCCCAGAAAGTCGTGAATTCTTGTCTTGCAAGCCGGCGAGTCCTGAGTATAGTCTGATAAGATACAGTACTCACGCTCCCAGGCGAGGAGTCGGAAGAGCGGGCTTGGGCCAAGCGAAGTTTTCTTCAGCTGCAGTTCAACGCCACATCTGCATTTTTGGCAGGCGGCCATAGATCACTGGTATGGATTCCTCAATTAGAGGTAAGTATCGCGGTGGTGGTCCTCGGTGAAAGGTAGCCCAGTGCTCTGGGGTCCTATGGGTCTGGTAAAAAGAGATTGCCACAAGGCGCACCTCAGACCTTCTCACTCTCCGTGGCCTTCTCTTCGGCGGAAGCGTCTTTCTTATCCCCGCTGGCATCGAAACCCAGTGCATCGAGCTGGCGAACGAGTTCCTGGATTTTGATGACCTTCTCAAGCTGTTCCGGCAGCAGAGCCTCGCCCTGGTTTTTCTTGTCGCGCAGATCGCGGGCCTGCCTCAGTTTCTTCTTCAGGTTGCGGGCCTTCTTCTCTTTCTCCGCTTCGGGATCCAGCGCCTGCTCGGTTGGCTTAGCTTCCTCACCGTTGGGTGCAGCTGCTCGCCAGTTCTCAATCTGCTTCACGTCCTTGGCTGCGCCCGCTGATTCTTGGGTCGCTTTAGCCTTCTTGCGCGCCTCCCGACGTTTGGCGTTCTTGTTGCTGGCTGCGGAACCGGATTTGGTAGCCTCGGCCTCGTCGGCAGACTTGAGCCCTTCGGCGCCTGGCACGCCTCCGCCAGTCTTGCCGCGATTCTTCCAGGCTTCAGCCGCGCGGTTCTTGTAGAGCTCGACATCCTCGGGAGGGCGGTAGCCTGGGCGAACGCGGATCTCCCGACGCTTAGAGCCGTCTGCGCGAGTTGAGGAAGGAATGTAGCGTTCTCCGGTGGCTTCATTCGTGGCAATGCCGGAGGAGGTCACCCCCCCAGTGTTGTTTGTTGCCATTATTAGTGGTTTTATTGGCGGCGAAAAACACAAGGTCGATGGCTGTGCGTGAGAGCAGGTTCGCAAATTGTGTTGCGACAATGGAGGCAGGAGGTGGAATGATAAGGGATACACCCGAAATAGTATCTGACAGTAATTTCCAGAACGATTGAAAGCACAAGCGCCCGTGCTAAAGTCAGAGGTGAAGCCGAAGATTTGAAGAGAAGGAATGAAAGATGATGATGATGACGGGTGATGATGATGGATTTCCCGATGATGGGAGGCTCTGGCCAAGCCGCAATCCGACTGGCCAATCAGGGCGCCGGTGTTTCCCGCTGCGGCTTTTCGTCTGGCTCCAAACTGCACTTATCCGAACTTGAGTGAACCTCATTCTTCCTGCTGTACGCTCCCCTCCCAAAGTCCACTGTTTCGCTTCTTCGCACCCTCCCACCTCCATTTTCACCACAAATTCAGCACAATGGCCGGCGCTGTAAGTTGATTTCGCGACACTCGTTGCCCCCCGGGGCTGCTCCTCCTGGTGCCGGTGGTACAATGGCTAACTGCAGGGCGTGTCCGGATCCAGTTCACTACCACTCTCTACCGGTATGTCTCCGTCCTGTCAGGTTTACGCTTGGAGATGCTAATCACAATTGATGCTATAGGAGTCTGTTCCAGCGCAACGCTGTCTACCTGACTGCCATCTTCACCAGTGCCTTCGCCTTCGAGCTGTACGTCTGACCCAACTCCGTCCCTCCGGCGGAAACCACCTTCGCAGGACCAACCCACGGGGCTAATCACGATCTCGGAACAGGGCCTTCGACACCGCTTCCAACCGCATCTGGGATTCTTTCAACAGCGGCGTATGTTCTTCCATACCGAGCCCTTCCGGGTCGGAGAATCTTACTGACGAGCTCTGGCTTCCCCTCCCTACAGCGTCAATGGAAGGACATCAAGCACCGCTACATCAACAAGGCCGACGAGGAGGATGACGAGTAAATATAACGATCCTATCGAGTGTTTTGTGCTGCAAGTGGTGGTGGGATAGACCAAGTGCTGGAGGGTAGAGAGATATCCATTCCCATGTTATTTGACCGAGATCAGGGGAAAGGGGAATTGCGATGATCCATGGTGTTCTTGTACGAGGTAGTCTTTTCTCTTTTTTTTTTGAAACCATAAACTGTACCATTGGGGTGCGTTTCAATCTAGGAGAGCCCTCTCGCGTTGGTGGCGGTAGACGCCGGGCAGACGAAGTGCCAAGCCGTAAGACAGTATTCCGTACAATTGCAGCAAGAGATGACATGCTTTGCTCCTCCTTCCTTTCATTAACACAGACACAATTATTGACCTCTTTCACTCTTCTTTTGTTCTTTGTGCAGCCTCCACTCTCCGTGGAAAATCATAGCGGAGTAGCGTCTGGATTGAAATATAAAGGGGTCGTTGTCCCTGACCAAAAGGCAAGCGGAGCGAGCCAAACGGTCTTCCCCACCGAATTGTGACATCGATGTCGCTTCCTACAGCTGGACCTCCGTCTTCACTGTCACCTCAACTCCCCTCACTTGACCACTTCCACCTGCCTATCCCAACAATAACCAAGTGACTCGACTCATCGGGAGAAAATCTATCAATTCTCATTTTCATCTTCAACAGGTCCGTTGGCTAGTCGTCATCCTCCTCCCCATTCTGTGCGCTTTGCTATTCCCATCGTACCCGGAACTTTCTTATCAACGCCCGACTGAGCTGAAAACGCAGGCCGAATCGAAGATTTATAAACCCCGCCACCACCACCACCAACAACAACAACAACGAGCAAAAAAGCCCACTTTCGGGCTCTCACTTACCTCACCCTCCACCTCCTGTGTTCTCTTCTGTTCTTTATTTGAGAAGCCGGATGGTGTCGCCCTCCACGTGCAACAGCGATAAATGATGCTCACAGAATGTGAGAGGTTTCTCAGCGAACGCCTCCTACGGCTTCCCTCCGACTATAATAACCGCTATGGCCCCGAAGCCGAGAAAGAGCTCCTCGAGATCCTTTTCCGCTCGCTGACGGCTCAAAATGACGAGTATCTTCGACAGTTATTCCCCCACGGGTTGCCGACCAAGGCCTGGAAGCTGGCAGAGGCCCAGGGGGCCGAGGAAGGTGCGGAGTATACCGAGGCGGCGCGGGGCAAGCGCTGCGGCCATATTTTCAGGGCCGGCGAGGCTACCTACCGCTGCATCACCTGCGCCATGGACGATACCTGCGTGCTGTGCAGTCGTTGCTTCGACGCGTCCGACCACACCGGCCATCAATACCAGATATCGCTGTCGTCGGGGAACTGCGGCTGCTGTGACTGCGGGGACGAGGAGGCCTGGCGCCTGCCGCTGTTCTGTGCGATCCACACCGACAGTGAAGACAAGAGAAAGGGGAAGCAGAGAGCCCAGTCACAGCTGCCCCCGGACTGGGTGAAAGCCATCCGACTCACCATCTCCCGCGCCCTGGACTATTTCTGTGATGTCATCTCCTGCTCGCCCGAACAGCTGCGGCTGCCCAAGACGGAAGAAGGGATTCGGAAGGATGAGGAAGCGTCCCGCCTGCGCCCGGGCTGGTATGGGGCCGGAGACGAGGTGGAGGAGGAGCCCGAGTACGCGCTCGCGCTCTGGAACGATGAGAAGCACACCATCAAGGATGTCGCCACCCAGGTCACCCGAGCTTGTCGGGAGACGAATCGGTTCGGATACGATCGCGCCCACGAGACTAATGATATTGGGCGAAGTGTCGTCAAGTACTCCCGGGATCTGCCCCGCTTGTTGGATGTGTCAAGGGTCATTGAGCACATCAGAGTCACCGTCACGATTCGGTCCGCCCGCGATACGTTCCGTGAGCAGATGTGTGCGACTATCGTCGAGTGGCTGCTGGATATCTCTGGATGCAGTGTTGGGGACGATAACGAGATCCTGCGCCACGTTATCTGCGAAGAATTGCTCACGCCATGGAAGCGGGGTAGCGGTGCCTGCAATGCGGACATTGGCTTGAAGGGAATTGATGACCACCAGCTGGACGAGGGCTCCCCATGGCGCACCGTGCTGCTCACCGTCTCCCCTCAAGTGAATGTTGTACTAGCCGCAGCTGGCGCTGATGATGATGACGAGGACGAGGATGTCAACTCGGGCAACGAGCAAGAGCCCGTTAATGACGACGAAGAGGCGGAAGAATTCGAAGAGTACTTGCGTGCTGCTGGCGAAACCAACGAAGAGGATGACGAAGGTGATATGGAGCTGGAAATGAATCGACTAGGTGGTGAATTGGACGACGATAATGACATGATCATGGGTGACGCGGATGACGCTCTACAAATCGCTCAGACTATCGTAGGAATCGCTCAGCGTGAACAGCGCGCACGGCAACAACGGGAGCAGCAGTCGGCACAGTCACAACTACAGCAGGAGAGACGGGGGCAAGAAGAGCAAGGAGCAGAGCAGAATGATTCGAACCATGGGGATGCGCAGCCTACTGCCCATGAGCAGGCCCCCAATGACCAGCACGAGCGACCACCAACTTCCCTTGTGCCCATTCCTAAGACTCCCTCAGGCGTGGTTCGACCTTCGCCTGCGAAAACACCCATTCATTGGCAGTATCGCTCTCATGCTGCAGCAGAGGGACAGACCGTGCCTGTTTACGAAGATCTGCGCCAGCGTACACGTCTCGATTGGATGATCCTCTTCGATCTCAGACTCTGGAAAAAGACGCGTACCGAGCTCCGTGATCTTTACATTGGCACCGTTGTCAATGTTCCCCAGTTCAAGCGGATTATGGGCCTGCGCCTCTCGGCCCTCTACACAGCGCTTGCACAGCTGTACCTGATTGCAGATAGAGAGCCGGATCACTCTATTGTCAATCTATCTTTGCAGCTTTTAACCACCCCGTCTATCACCGAAGAGATTCTGCTGCGTGGGAACTTCCTAACCAAGGTCATGGCCATCCTGTACACTTTCCTTACCACCAGACAAGTCGGCGAGCCTCATGAAGTCAATCCTAACGCAACTCTGGCATTCGACGCTGGCTCCGTGACCAATCGGCGTCTATATCATTTCTTCTTGGATTTGCGATACCTCCTGCAATCAGAATATGTCCAGAATCGGGTGCGTGCAGAAGAACAGTACTTGGCTCAGTTCCTGGACCTGGTCAAGCTCTCGCAAGGTATATGCCCCAACGTGCGTGCTGTAGGAGAGCATGTCGAGTACGAGACCGATGCGTGGATCAGTGCGTCTGTTCTCATGCGTGAAATCAACCGGCTGTGTCGCCAGTTCTGCGAGGCTTTCCGTAACCCTGAGGTCGATGGCGGTGTCAAGCTGCTGCGCGCTATCCGTACAGCCACTATATCTGCTGTGGTGCACTCGTACGGATTAGAGCTTAAGCGATTCAGTCAAGCCGAGATCAAGGATGTTGTGTCGTTCAAGACCCTGCCTCCCTTCGATTTCGAGGTCAATCAGGTGCATGTTCCACGCTACCGGGTCGTAGACTTCGTCGTTGAACGTGGCTGGATGAGCTTTCACCATGCCCTACATTATACGACCTCCTGGTTGCTGGAGTGCGCTCGTAATGTGAGCGGCGAGGTCATTCGCGATGTTCTCGTGGACGCCGCGCAGGCTGCCAATGATCAGCACATCCATGATCCACAGCTGACGCCCGAGGATTTGCTTCTGTCGATGTTCGATTATCCCCTCCGGGTTTGTGCCTGGCTGGCCCAGATGAAGGCGGGCATGTGGGTTCGCAACGGACTTAGCCTTCGACATCAAATGTCCCAATATCGCGGAGTCTCATCCCGCGACTTTGCGTATTATCGCGACATCTTCTTGCTTCAAACTGCCTTGGTAACCTGCGATCCTAGTCGGGTTCTTGCATCTATCGCGGACCGTTTCGGCATGGTCGACTGGATGAACCGGGATTACGTCCCCCGCTCTGTCTATGAAGACCAGCAGATCGTCGATGTGGCCGAAGAATTTGTTCATCTCTTGATTCTCCTCCTAACTGACCGCACTTCCCTCACGGCCATTGACGACAGCGAAGCGGCCACTCGTGAGAGCATCATTCGTGATATCGCGCATGTCCTTTGCTTCAAGCCGCTCTCCTTCTCCGATTTGTCCACCCGCCTCAGTGACAAGCCTTTGGATTCAGATATGTTCCAGGATGTGCTGGAGGAGATCGCCAGGTTCCGTCCACCAGAAGGGGTGAATGATACGGGCACCTTTGTGTTGAAACCGGAGTACATCGGCCTTGTTGATCCGTACAGCGCCCATTACTCGAAGAACCAACGGGAAGACGCGGAGAATATCTACAGAGAATGGATGGCCAACCAAACTGGCAAGAACTTGGCCGATGTGGTATTTGAGCCCAAGCTGCGCCCCATCACCTCGGGGGCTTTCTCTGGGCTTAATCGCTTCACGCGCACGCTGGTCTTCGCGCAGCTTGTGCACCATTGCCTGGACTACGTTGTGTCATGGAAGGAGCGTACCCCGCAGATTGAAAGTGGCCGAATCGAGACTTTCCTGCAGGTGGTCCTGCATCTGATTCTTGTCGCCTCACTTGAGGACAACAGCCACGAGAGTGAGATGTCCGAGGGCTCCTCTGCATCCTTCATTTCCCACGCATTGACCAAGCTTCGACACACCTCCCTGGCTGGTCCAGTGACCATCGTGGGTCTTCTCGAGAAGATATCCAGGATGAGTGAATTCGACTCCTGTGGCGCCAAGATCCGTAATGTCTTGAAGCACTTCTGGCAAAAGCGTCCTAAGTCCTATGCCGTCGCCACACTTTCGCTGAACTTCCCCTTTGACAGGTTCGAAACCCGCTCCCCCGCCGTTGACATTGTGGATCTCGAGAAGGAAGCCAAGAAGAGGCAGGCCTCAGAAAGAAAGGCGCAACTTATGGCACAGATGCAGCAGCAAGCAAAGAATTTCCTCGATAACCAAACCGAAATCGACTGGGGTGTAGAGGACTCCAGTGATAACGAGTCGGAAATCGAGACTGCCACCGAGAGTCAGTTGTGGAAGTATCCCAGTGGCACCTGCATGCTCTGCCAGGAGGCCACAAATGACTCGCGATTGTACGGCACGTTTGCTTTGGTCCAGGACAGCACTATACTGCGACTAACTGATGTGTCGGACGCGGACTGGGTGCGAGAGGCAATTCGGACACCAACGAGCCTGGATAAGTCGGCCAACCATCTTCGTCCTTTTGGAGTGGCTGGTGAGAATCGCACCACTGTCCGCCGGCTGGATTCGACTGGCGGCGAGGTCATCAGCGAGAAGGTCGGACTAAGCAAAGGTTTCAAGGCCCACTACACGTATCCGGGCCCGGTGACTACCGGATGCGGTCACATGATGCATTATTCGTGCTTCGAGCAATACCTCGCTGCCACAGGCCGTCGTCACCATCAACAAGTCGCCCGTGCGCACCCAGAGTCATTAGTGCGCAAGGAGTTTGTCTGCCCTCTTTGCAAGGCCCTTGGCAATGCCTTCCTTCCCATTATCTGGAGAGGCAAGGAGGTGGCGTATCCCGGAGCTTTGGGGACTGCTGTCTCGTTCGACGAGTTCATTAATTTCGAGATCAAGTCGATTTTCTCGCAACCGCGCAACTATGCGTTGCTCACAGAGAACAACAGCAACCCGCAGACCTTAGCGTACCAGGAACATTTCGTGGAGTACTTGGACAAGACGTTGGTGCCTCCGCTGACTTCGCACTTGGGCTCCCTCGCCCTCGCTGCACCCCATTCCCTCCCCTCCAGTCCCCACTCCATGGCATTAGCCCGGATCCCTATGCCTGATCGCTTCCCTCCGGAGGAGACTGTGGACTCGAGCCCGGCCCACTCGACCTTCAACTCGATCGATAACCCTCTACATGAACTGCTGCAGATCTACCAGAGGCTGAAGCAGACGTTGCGCGTCAACCGTATCCCGTCTACATTCAATCATGCTCCCGGTACTATGGATAGCGGTGATTTGGTGCACACCGATTCGCTTTTCCAGAGCTTTGGTTTCAGCATTGCCGCCGTGGAGATTGCTCAACGAGGTGTTGAATCGAACCCCGGAATGACCCTATTGGACAAGATTTCTCCATTGACGCTGACGCATCTCCGCGTTCTCGCCGAGACAGCCTTCTCGTATGCGGCGCTTGGATCCTTGCAGAATGGCGATAACCCCCACAATCTCTGCGCGGACGAGGTGCATGAAATGCACCGGCAGAAGATCTGCCAGCTGCTCATTGGACATCCCTACTTGAGTGGTACAGCACTATTGAGGGAGAGGCGCGAGATCGAGCCGCTCCTGTCCAAGGATATCTTTGTATTCTTGGCCGACTGTTCGGTTTCCCTGCTACCGACCGTGCCGATGGAGATCCGGCATCTGGTCCAGATGTGTTATGTGGCTGAGATTGTCAAGGTTGCCATCACCTACATCCTCTGGCCTGCTGGACTGCAGGAAGAGGTGGCGCAGCATGGCGATGCCGGGTACATGCCAGCGGTGGACGAGTCGAGCCTCCAGTTCGAGCTGACTCGGCATTTCTTCAACTCGATTGTGAATGAGCTCAGGAACAACATCGACCACGATGAGGTCACCTCGTTCCCGACTGAGGACAACTACGTGGAGGATGGAAGCATTGCGCCGCCCGAGGTGGTGATGACCCTGCGCCGGCTCCTCTCCAGCTACGCATTGACGTTCCTCCGCAAGGTGGTGATTCTTCTTCATGTGCAGCACGGCGTCGAGTTCCCCCCTACCAGCTGCCACGATGTCGACGCGCCGGAGCTTGATCGGTTGACCCGGGTCTTACGTCTGCCCTCGCTCGACGAGATCTTTGGGACCATCAACGACATCCACAACCGCGGCAGTGTCTTTGACTCAGTCATCGCGGGCTGGATCCACCACTGGAATGTGTCGCGGCCGGGCATGCCGTTTGGCTGTCATTCGCTGTGGCCTGGCCTCCCGCACCCGGGGATTTTCGAGTTGGTGGGCCTCCCCAAGTACTTTGACAATCTGATCGACGAGGCCAACCGACGGCGGTGCCCGAAGTCGAAGAAGGAGCTGATGGACCCGTGCATCTGCCTGTTCTGTGGGGACATATTTTGCTCGCAGGCGGTGTGTTGCATGGACAAGAACCAGAATTTGGGCGGATGCAACCAACACGTTCCTAAGTATGTTCTTTTTTTTCTCGTTATTTAATTTTGTGTTCCTGATTAACCGGTCTATCTAGGTGTGGCAAGTATATCGGTCTGTTCTTGAACATCCGCAAGTGTATGATCATCTACCTGCACAACCGCGTCGGCTCGTGGCACCATGCACCGTACCTGGACCGCCACGGTGAGGTGGACCCGGGGTTGCGGCGCAACCGGCAATTGATTTTGAACCAGACTCGCTACGACCGGCTGGCGCGCGACGTGTGGCTGGGACACCAGGTGCCTACGACGATCTGCCGCAAGCTGGAGGCGGACATCAACAACGGAGGATGGGAGACGATGTGATGCTGTAGACCCTTGTGGAGAGGTAGGGATGGGTTTCGTGGGATGGGTTGCGGTAGCTGCCCACATATAGTTTTTAAATCATATGGGAAAAGTTGGGAGGCGATGGGGGACGATCGTGCTGCATTTGCTTGGTACATAAGGAGACTGATGTGCGAGTGCAATCAGACAGATTCCATAATCTTTCCTTGAGTTCCATGGGCCAACATTATTTTGTTCAGTTGTGTGCTTGCAAGAAGCGTAACCTTCTACGGAGTACCGACTGATTACAAGCCAAGAGCTTTAACCCAGCCAGTGTCACTGGCAGGACTACTGTATATACTTAGGTTGCAATTGAAACTCTCGGCTCAGTTATTGAGTCGGGAGGGAGCAATAACCCATGTATTGGCTGATTGAGTGATTGAATTGATTGACTTGACATTGACCCCGCTGATAAACCAACCCCTCCGTGTTTTCTGTGAAAGAAAAGTACGGTCGGTGTCTGGACGTACGAAGTACTCGGTACATGCGATGTCGACCGACCGGGTGAAAAATCCATCGGGGGAAAAGATGGAAACACGGTTTTGGTTGCGGTGCATACAGTACATGCATGCTTCTGTGCTTCTGCTCATTTTCGCCTGGACTGTTTAGTTGGTCCCACTGGTGGAATTTTCGGGAATGGATTGGTGGAGAAGAAGTACTACTGAGGCACTGTAGGTATAGTAGGTAAGTATAGCGAGGTGTAGCTCATCCATCCAAAGAATACGGTACCCCCCTCCAGATCACTCAATCCAATCCACACCACATAACCAATAACTAAGTAAGTACACACCTGTTGTTGTACAGTCACTCAGTAGTAGGGTCGGTGTCGGTGAGATATTCTGTAAACAGACCGACAATTAAACTGATTCTCTCTCTCAGTAACGTATCATCCTCTCATTGGCGCCATGGATGTGAAACAGTCACAGACGAGAACAAAGCCCTATTTTTCTTGTTCTGGGCCTGGCTGTTCTCTTGGATCATCATGCGAGGTCTTCTTTCTTGTGGATGGAAATTCCCACTGTGTCCCACTGCGTTGTGCTGCGCTAGAGATGGTTGGGGTTTAGTGAAGTGGGGGGAGAGGGTGGAAATCACACCCCATAAGGAGTGGTCAATGCTATCGCTTGTACTGTCTTGCTTTCCTGTGTTTTGACGGTCGGTCTGTCTGTCGGTCTGTGGACTGTGACTTTGGTGTTGCAAAGTTTTTTTCTGGTGGGGGAGGAGGGGAATTGAGTCAGACGAGGATGAAGAAAGCAGGCAGAAGATGGAAAAATCACACAGGATCCGCAACAGACCATTGATTAATGGATGATCACTGGACAATCATTACTGCCTATTATTTGCTGCTGGGGGGTTTCCCTCCCTTGCGGAAGCGGCAGGATGTCAACTGCCACTGTCTGTCTGTCTGTCTGTCTGTCTGTCTGTCTGTCTGTCTGTCTGTCTGTCTGTCACTGTCATTCTCAGGCACAGAGTATTTCCCCTCGATCACCCCTTCAACTTTCTGTCAGTTATTGGGGTTAAAAATAACCTTCAGATGAGCTGCTGCTGCTGCTGCCCCTGGCCCCCATTTATAACTTTCTCCCTCTTTCTATCGGATGTTGGGATAATTTCCGACTGAGCAGATCGAGTACACAAAGAGCAAAATTCAGGGACAGTCAGGGACAGTCAGGGACAACACATGGTGATGGGTCTGATCGGGTTGCCCTGCACAGACGCACAAATCAAAAGAGACACAGACAAACTCGGGAAAGTGGAGTAGACAACAGAAAAGGACAGAGACAGACCGAGAATGACAGAAGAAAGGCGTTCGTTGAGGCCCACCACTAATTAATTTAGCGCCGTGAAGCCCCGCTGGCTGGGCTGATCTGGAGTCCTGGACTGTGCGGCCGGTGAGGATTGTGAATCTCACAGTCTGCTGGTCTCCAGATTCCATCCTTCCATCCTTCCAAGAGGTGATATCAAGTAGGAATAAGATGAATGATGGATGGATGGTTGTGGGCAGAGAAGCTTCCCCATAAACACCAGGCACAAGAACTCTGGGTGTGCAGGAGAGCCTCGGTTTTACTTGCAGGAACCCGCCAGTTGTTGGATCCATGGGCCCAATGAATGATAGACAGCGGATTCAGGTACCAATGAATCTCGCCGCTAGGATGAAACCCTTGGGAGTGACTGGTCGATTTTCCTTTTTCCTTTTCTTTTTTCTTGTGTTTTTTTTCCCTTTTTTCTTCTCCCCACCTCATTCTGTTGTCACTCCGTGGTTTCTTTCGGTTGGTCCAGTGGTTCAGGTTCCTGTGCCTGGGCGTTTCGCCCGCTGCAAAAGAAGGTCCCTGCCAGCCCTAAAAGACTGAGGATTTTCTCTGGTCTGAGGAAGAGGAGGAGGATGTGCTGAACGTATATATAGTTGCCGAGTCTTCCCCTCCGTACTTCAATTTCTTTTTCTGTCTGTCTTCTCAGTATACTGATCATCAATCAGTAGCCAGTCATTCCTTTGGTCTTTGTCTTTGACCCTTTTAGAACAGTCGATCTGTGCCGTGCACGGGTTTTGTTCATCCATTCCTTCTTTTTGAACTCTACACTACGAAGTTATCCACGACTCAGAGGCTACTTCACTCACCCAGTACTTAGTGATACTGCCAACACACTCCTTCTCCAGCACCCCACAGACAAGACACAGACAGACAATCCGAGAACCGGTTTTCTCTTGTTTCTGTCCTCCCACCCCCAAAAATGGTCTGCTTCACCAAAGCCCTCTGGGTAGCCACCACCCTGGCCAGCAGTGCCCTGGCGATGCCCTCGCACATCCACGCCAACCGCCACACGGGCAGCGGCCACCCCCACCTCCAGCTCGAACACCGCCGCAGCGCCACCACCAACTCCACCGCCGGTAAACGCGGCGCGGCCTACAACGCAGCCAGCAGTGTGAGCACGCTCTCCACCAGCGGGGCGGTGACCTGGGGCTACGACTGGAACATGTACAGCGACGGCTCGCTCCCCTCCACCGTGGAGTACGTGCCCATGCTCTGGGGCAGCAAGATGTTCGACAGCTGGTTCACCGCGATCGAAACCGCGCTGAACAGCGGCAGCAAGTACATCCTGGGCTTCAACGAGCCCGACAACAGCGGCCAGGCCAACATGGCCTCCGCCGACGCGGTGACCTACTACCAGCAGTACATCTCCCCCTACAAGGGCCAGGCGAAGCTGGTCACCCCGGCCGTCACCAACGGGGTCGGCGCCGATACGGGCTTGTCGTGGCTCGAGAACTTCCTGAGCGCCTGTGGCCAGAGCTGCGGCGTCAGCGTGCTCGCGGTGCATTGGTACGGCGACTCGGCCAGTGACTTCATGACCTTCGTCGCCCAGGCGGTGGCGCTCGCGGAGAAGTACGGCCTCGAGGAGACCTGGGTCACCGAGTTTGCCCTCAACAGCGCCGTCACGGCCGGCCAGGGCACCCAGGAGGCGGCCGACTTTCTGACTGAGGTCGTGCCGTGGTTGGATGCGCAGAGTGGCGTCGGTCGCTATGCCTACTTTATGTGCGCCGATGGGTATCTGTTGAGTGGGGAGGCGTTGAGTGTTTCCGGACAGGCGTATGTTGCTTGAGATGGATTTTGGTGGAAGGAGGAATTGTTTTTGGACTTCTTGTTGATGTTGTGTTACTATGGCTTGTTTACTGCACTTGATACCAGTTTGTTTTTTTTTTTTTCTTTTTGGGGAGTTGGTTATTGGTGATCGTTTCATCAACATCATTGTCAGGTAACTACAGTAGTTTGTTGCATGTTTCAGATGTTGCATGTTTCAGATGTAAAAAGACCATTGTCTTGATTTTGGTCTGTCCATGCACTGCAACTGACTGCAGTTGTCAATTGTCAATTGTCTCACACCCCCCCCCAAAAAAAGGACAATCAATGAAACAAAACACTACTTACTGCATTGCTGCAAAAACAAGTTGAACTAAACTTACTACTTCTAACTTGTTGTTCCCCCCCGTTCCATGGAACAATCATCTCCATAATCGTGTCTCTCGCCCAACCAGAATATCCTCCACCGCACGACATCCACGGATGTCGCGGTGTCTGGACTTTGGGCTGTGGAGATTGGGTCCACAATCGGGGTTGGATTGGATTGGATCTTATTATGAGATGTCAATCTCCCTCGGCTCTCATTTCGATATTCCAATTCACTGGTTAATCCATTAAGTAAGTAAATCACCTGCAACTTACGCCGGACAACCCGATGGATTCACCGTATGACTGACTCTGAATGGCAGCGATCATATACTCTCGGGATTGCTCCGTACGTACTGTAAGCGAGCATGAGCTTTGAGTTTGGGTTATGTTATGACTTTCTTGTCACGGCAGGTGAGGGGGATCGTCGGCAAGCTTCTGGACTTTGAGTGTCGGTTTGCAGGAGAAAATTAGCCCGGAATGAGTGGACGGGGAGGACCCATGGATGATTCGGTATACACAGTTGAGCCTAAGTAGTAAGTGAAGAAAGTTCTAGGTGATGTGTGTGATCCATGAGCATTCAATATCTTGTGAAAGACCATCTCCAAGCAATGCCTGTCCTGAGCAGTGAGCAGAGCTACATAAGGCTAAATCACTTCCATCTCAGCAGTATCCCTGGCTCAAAAGACTGGCCCGGAACCACCCACAGTCATCCTCTTCTTCCACACCATTAGCAATAATAATAATCATACATACATGCACCTTGATTCACCAATATGCCCTCCCCCGTCATTTCCTTTGGATGGACCATTCAGTATTTCCCAGTAGTTGTGATCGCTCATCCCTCATGTCTAGTATACAACCCTCAACCGTGAAACGCCATGAACCCCTTGGTTTACACCGCTGTACATACACCTCTTTTAACGAGCTCATCAAACCTCCGAGGTGCTAGCTTCACCCATTTCGGTATCTTCGGGTTCCGGGATACCATCGCGGTGTCCGTTCGTCGCCCCGAACTCTGCATCACCCCCAGAAATGGCCATCGGGCTGGGTTCGTGGGTGGAGGAGTCGACGGGCGTGCCGGGGTGGGAGGCCAAGCCGCCATTGACCACCGTGCCGTTCGTCTGCGGCGCCCCGTTCATCGTCGGCATCTCTTCATCACCACCAGTTCTGAACTCTTCCCAGACGCGGACCGTGCCATCCAACCCACAACTGACCATCAACCGTGTGCCGTGGAGCGAGCACGTATCCACCCCCAACACCACCCCCGTATGGCCCTCGATGCGCTGCAGGACTTGCTTGCTGACAACGTCCCAGCACAGCACCGCCCCGTCCTCGCTGCCGCTGACGGCAAAGGCGTACACCGGCCTCCCATTTCGAGGGTCTGCATCGCCGTACGTGCCAAACCCGCCCTGCAGGCTGTACTTCCGGTTGCGGTGACCCTGGTAGGTTTTGATGCACCGGCCCGCGACATAATCCCACAGTCGCACGCAGTCGTCCAGCGTCCACGCCAACACGTACTTGCCGTTCGGGGAGAACCTGACCGCCGTGACGGGCGGGTTGTCCTCGTGCACCAGCGTGCGCAGACACTGGCCTGACGCCGTATCCCAGATCCGGATCAGCCCGTCCGTCGCGCACGAGGCGATCAGCGTCCCGTCCCAGACCACGTCAATGCCGCCCACCGGATCCGAGTGCGCCGGCAGCGACCGCATCACCTGCGCCGACCGCACGTCCCACAGGAACACCGCTTCGTCGTAGGACCCGCTTACGAGCATGTTGCCTTTGGGGGAGAAGGCAATCTGGTAGACGTAGTTGTGATGGCCGACAAAGGGGATCGGATGGGCCTTACCCTGCAGGACGTACATGTTAGTTTCAGGGCCGACTCGTGCTTCAAAGCGGGTTGACTTACCGTGAGGACATTCCACAACCGGATTGTCTTGTCGTCTGACCCAGATGCGATTGTCGCGCCGTCCGGACTCCACGAGATCGTCGAGATTCCCGCCAAATGGCCCTCGAAGGAGTGGATCAGTTTCCCTGTCACCGTATCCCACACTTTGACTGCCCCATCCGCACCTACAAGTCGTTAGCATGTTAACCCCGGCAGTGAAACACACACGACGCTCACCTCCACTGGCAATCATCGACGCATCGGGCGAGAATCGCACGGCGGACACACCCCGCAGATGGCCCCGGAGCAGAAATTTGGGGCGATAATCCAGCTTTTCTGGTTTCGACGGCGGCGGTGACGGCTGGGAGACCGGTGTGGGCGACCGGTCCGGGTAGGACTCTGGCGTTTCCTCCACGAGCTCGCCATTCGTGGGTTCCGGTTCGATATCGAGGTCGTCGGCGTTGGGGATGTCCTCGTCTTGGCTGTGATTGTGATTGCCATTGGGGGTGTCTCCTGATTCACGTATATTTTGTGTGTCTTCAGACGGTTCTTCGCGCGGAGAATCGGCGGTTATTTCGGCGATGGGAGAGGGGAGAGCGACATTGGCAGTCTTTTCCCCGTCATCTGCATCCAGATTCATTTCGTCCTTATCCCCCACATCGTCCTCTTGCGTGTGGTCGTCTTGCGTGCGGCCCTCTTGTGTGTGGTCCTCTTGCATGCGGTCCTCTTGCATGCGTTCCTCTTGTGAGCAGCCTTCTTGTGTGCCCTCTTGTGTCCGGCCTTCCTCCTGGGCCGGATCCTCTTGGACCTGGTCCTGCCGTTCGTCCTGGTTGTGTTGAGCCTCATGCTCGTGCTTGTGCTTAACCTCGTGGTCGAGGTCTTGCGCCTGCTCTCGCTCCAGCTCCGGTGTTTCAACCTCAACCTCCTCACCCCGATCTCCATCCCCAGTTTCAACTCGCTGCTTATCCTCAGTAGCTTCCTCAGTAGCTTCCTCAGTAGCTTCCTCAGTAGCTTCCACCTCAGCGGTTTCATTCACATCCTCATTCCCATCCCCGGTTGCAACAGGCCGCTTGTCCTCGGTAACATCCACTTCAACGCTTCCATCCGCAAACTCCTCCCCGTCTCCATTTTCGACCCGCCGCTTGTCTTCAGAAGCGTCCACCTTGGAGGGTTCATCCACATCCTCAACCTTAGCTCCTTCAGCCACCACCTGCACCTCGACCTCCTCCTTCACCTCGACCTCATCCCCAACCCCATTTTCCAACTCCAGCTCTGACCCCTCTTCACCCTCACCCTCCACCTCCACCTCCACCTCCACCTCCCTTACCCCCTTCCTCCCCCTCATCGGACTAACCGCCACCGCAACCGCGGTCGCCCCACCAGCAGTAACCCCCGAGCCCGACCCCCCACCCGAACCCCCAAACGACCCTCTTGCTCCCCTCCCCCCTCTCCCCGTCGACCGCCAATAGTCCACCGCATCAATCGTCAACTCATCCGGACTCTCGGAGCCACTCGCACTCCGCGCCCCAGCCGGCGGATACGACGGCCTCTGCGGGGGAAACACCTTCTTCTTCTGAATACTCCAGCTCGCGCGCCGGCGTTCAGCCTCATCATGCTCGGAGCCGGCGGCGAGTTCATCCGAGGAGTCGGAGTCGTCCGAGCCGGCTCCTCTTCCGTTACTGATGGCATTGATCAGGGTGGGTTTCGCTTTGGATGAGGATTTGGGTTTCTTAGTTTGAGCTGGGGCTGTAGGTGTAGGGGTAGGTGTTGCTGTCGCTGTACGTGTAGCCGGGGATTGGAGTCGGTGATAGCCATTGTTTCTGGTCGCGGTGGTGGGTTTTTTATGCGACGAGGATGCTGATGATGGGAAGGATTGGTGGTGGTGATTGCTGTGGTGGTGATGTTTGGGCGGCGTGTCCAGGCGACGGCGCTTGGGACGATGGGTGGATGACCCTCCTCCTCCTCCCCCTCCTCCTCCGCCGTCCATGAAAGGCAGATATAATTGCTCACGCTTCACGGAGTGGCGGTTCAATCAGTATCCTCTCCGGAAATAAAGCTGCGCGCGTGTGAGTTTCCGTCAGGTAAGAAAGGGACAGACAGGATGTGTAGCGGCGCCAAGATTTCAAGATCTGGAATGAAGGTGTATGGCTGGGTTTGTGGAGGGAATCAACACGCAGACGGACGTAAGACCACCCGCCAGGACGAAAAAAAGGAAAAAAAAAGCCCGAGAAAGAAAGAGAGAGGAAAAGAAAAAATAACAAGAGCAGGAGAATGGAAATGAGCAAACAAAACCTGTGAGGTGTTGCGCGTGTTGTTTTTTTCTTTCTTGGTTTCCTGGATTTCTTTTTCATTTGAGCGGCGCATATCCCTCGTGACGATCGGTCGGGTTTGGGAAGGCGGTCAGAGGATGATGTGGGTTGGGCGGTGAGGGATGATATCACCAGGTCTCTCTCGTCAGTGGAACGAACTGTTGTGGTGATGTGTACGGATGAATGGCAACGGGGTGTTCACTGTGTTGCTTGCTGCTTGCTTTTGAACCAGTTATCAACATTGGGGAGTTATCCTGCATGCAAAGAATACTTACAAGTTAAATTTCAAAGGATATGATCTGATCCTCCCCCCCGCTCTCTCTCGTACGCATAACCAACGAAAACCATCATGTCCGACACGACCGCCGCCGCCGCCCCCGAAACCTCCCCTCCCTCCACCGCATCCACCACCACCACCAGCCCCTCGCAAATCCGCATCCTCACACTCAACTGCTGGGGCCTGAAATACATCGCCAAACACCGCGCCGCGCGCCTCACTGAGATTGGCCGCCGTCTCGCGCTTGCCTCCCCACCCCCCGAGATCGTCGGGCTCCAAGAATGCTGGACGCAGGCCGACTACGAAAGCATCCGCCAACAAACCCGTCACATCCTGCCCTATGGCAAGTTCTACTTCGGGGGCATCTGGGGCGCGGGACTAGCCATTCTCTCGAAATGGCCCATCGAAGAGAGCAGCATGTACGGGTACCCGCTCAACGGGCGACCGACAGCCTTCTTCCGGGGCGACTGGTACGTGGGGAAAGGGGTGGCTTGCGCGCGGGTGCGGCTTGGAGCTGGGCGGCACGAGGTCGCGGAGGTGTTCTGCACGCATCTGCACGCCCCGTACGAGCGCGAGCCCAACGACTCGTACATCTGCCACCGGACGGCGCAGGCGTGGGAGATCGCCAAGCTGATGCGCGGCGCGGCGGAGCGCGGGCATCTAGTGATTGGGCTCGGGGACTTTAATATGCTGCCGGCCTCGTTTGCGCATCAGTTGATCCAGGCGCATAGTCCTGTGCGCGATGCGTGGCAGGTCGTGCATCCGGATTCGTCGGTGGGGGCGGCGATCGATCCGGTTGAGCAGCAGAGGGGGCGTCCGGTGCCGTCGGCGGAGTTCAACATCACCGTGAACGGCGCGACGTGTGATGGGAGGTTCAACACTTGGCGGTGGAGTAAGGAGGAGCAGAAGCGGCTCCTGAAGAAGGGTGAGGAGGTCGAGGTCGATAAGGATGCGCCCTGTCCGCGCGGGAAACGTCTGGATTATATCTTTGTCGGCGATGGCGGGGTGGGTGCGCCGCACAAGTGGTCGGTGCAGGAGGTGACGTTGAGTATGATGGAACGACATCCGACGTTGCGGTGCTCGCTGAGCGACCATTTCGCGGTGGAAGCGCGGATTGTGCGGTCCTCGGAGCAGGAGGCTACCACAACTGAGGCCCCTGGGGATACTGCTGCTGCTGCTGCTGCTGCTGCTGCTCCTGCGGCTCCCAACACCGCCCTCACGCCAGAGACTTATGATCTGATCATCGCGATGATCCACAAGTATGTGCAGCGGGAACGCTCGCAGCGACGCTGGCGAATCGCGCACTTCGTCGCCTCGGTGTTTGTGTCGATTGGCTGTATGGTGGGCGTCTGGTGGACGGGCGACCATCTGCCGTATGTGGCCTTCATCCTGCTCTTCGTGAGCACGTTGAACTTCGGGGCGGGGATCTTGGATGGTTTGATTGGAGGACTGTTTATGAGCAGCGAGCTGCGCGCCTTGAAGGAGTTTGAATGGGAGGTCCGTAATGCGAAGCAGATTGCCGAGGCGGCCGGTGGTGAAGGGGAGTCGAAGCGGATGGAGTGAGCTGGTTTGGTCGTGTAGTATGACTTTTTGTATAATATTTGCTACATATAGGTACTTTCTACTGTTGTCATTGCGAGCTGACTGGACCCATCACATCACTTAGCATATGTTATGTTGAGCAGGCGACAGTAGACTGCAAGGAATACTGGAAAGAAGACTGATGCTACTAATACTATGATATGCCACCACCACAGGAGCAAGAGATCAACCCATGTAAAAAGAACCAACCACACAACACCATGAAACACGCTCTATATCATATAGCATAACTTCAGTCCACCTCATAGTCACTCGCATACTCCTATACCTCCAACTCCCATCCACTCCCTCTCCCACTTATCATCGATCCGCATCTGTAGCCGGTTGTCGTCATCCTCGTTGTCGTCTCATCGCATCGAACCTAGACAAAAAACCCGGAAAAATCCGTCAGCGACGACCTCGTCTCGCTGAGCAAGCACCATCCAGTTCCTCTCCAAAGTGCAACCTTCAGCGACTGCTCCCCGGGGGGGCGGGTTACAGCGGCATCTCCAGTTCAAAATCCCAAGAAGCATCCACGGTACCGTACTTCACAACGCCTACTACTCCCGCAGGGGATCGGTATTCTCCAGGAAAGTCACAAACAACAGATGCAAGAGGGGGTGTGTGAGAGTTCCTCTTGATCGGCCTGGAGCTGATCTCCATTCAACCACATAGGAATGTGTGTAGAATCCCATTTGCTTCGGCGGCTTCCCTCCCCGACGGACGAGTTTGTACCTCCGTCTTTCCCCGCAGAGCTTGTCAGTCGAGTCCTAAGTTGGCTTCGTTCTTGTCCCGTAAAGGACAAGTTCTCAGCACTTATGGAGCATCGTCTTTCGCCCTCTGTGTATTCCTGTCCTCTCCCAGAGGATAAACCCCCGCGAAAAGGGGTTTGAAGGCAGGCTCTGGGAACGAGGGTGGAGGAATGTTTCGGTGAAAATGACAAGGTAAAGCAAACCCACCCTACCGTCGGGTCTGGATGTCACCATCTCAGCCCAGGAGAGGTTCGACGGAAAGTAAGAGGGATATAAGAGAGAGAGATTGAGGAAGGAGTCGAGTTTGAGGCTGTTTTGGAAATGGTTCCTTCAGTGTACTCACCTGGTGTTTTTTCTTCATTGGTTCCGGAGGAGGGTCTGCGTGCTCGAGATGTGTTGTCGTAGTGAGGATGAGGAGTTAGAAGAAGAGACGAAGAGATGATGAAGGGAATGGGGGAGAGAAAAGCTGGGATTCATCCTGATGGCTGCTTGACATAAACACTCAGGTAGAGTTACAGGTGATGTAGGAATGTGTTATGAGGAAGAGAAGAAGAGAAAAAGAGGAAGAAGAAAGGGAGAAATGGGAGATTATATAGCCCAAGGCTTACTGGCAAAATAAAAAAAATCATGGCCTTCATTTATTGGTATCATAACACAACATTCACTGATATTCACCTTCACCACCACCGACGACATCATCTGACGACGCCACATCGCATCGTTCAGTCGTTGACTCACAGACAAATCATTCACTGGCCCTGCTTTCGACCCTCCATAACACGCAATACATCTGACGCGCTGTTCTTGTCCCCCTTCTTCTTCTTGGGACCTCGTTTTCTCTTCTTCCCGCCCCGGCCCTCGCCCTCCAGCACCACCTCTTCGTCATCCTCTTCATCGCCCACGCGACTGCCTCCGAAGCCCATATCCAGGTCCATTGCATCCAGCGCCTCTCGCCGCCGAGCCTCCTCGAGGAACTTCTGGCGACGCAAAGCTGTCTCCGCATCGACATCCTCCTCGCCCTCCCCAGCAGCCTCTTCGGACTGCCGCAGGGCCGCCGCACGTTTGAGAGCTGCTAGTAGCGTAGCATCCTTGGCCAGGGGATTGGACCGGTCAATCTCAGGGACCTCGTCCGTCGTTGGCGTAGAGAAGTAGTTGCGTGGCCGGCCGGCCGTGTCCTCCACAGTTGCCGACGTCTCAGCAGTAGCAGTGGCCGCAGTGTCCCTCCTCTGGATGGGCTTCTTCTGAGCAGCCTCGTCTCCACTCTCATCCGACGACGACGAATCGTCCTCGTCTCCGAGCTCTGCGAGGGGATTGTAGTCCGCTCCCACTCCCGCGAAGATATCATCATCGTCCTCTTCCGCCGGCGCCGCCGCAGCCTTGGCCGCGAACTCAACAGGAACCTCCATACCCAGCGGCTTCGCAGCAGGAGCAGGAGCAGGCGCCTCGCCCGGCTTATCCAGCCATCGCACCTTGCGTTTGACCTTGCCCTGCGCATCCGTGATCTGCAGGATCTCCTTCCGCCGGCCGGTCTCATCCTGCTCGATCCAGCGCTTCTTCTCGACCTTCGACTCGCCTCCAATCCTCTTGAACCTCTCCCCAAGCGCCGGCTCAACCGGCTGCTGCTGCTGCTCCTCAGCCTCTGCCTGCGCAGCAGCAGCAGCAGCAGCAGCACGACTAGCCTTCAACTGCCTTAAAATCTCATCCCTCGACCTCGGCACTTGAGACGGAGGAGGAGGCGGAGGCGCCATAACCCCCTTCTTCTTCACCTTCTGCTCCCTGGGTGCCGAAGGCAAGGCACCAACGCCACCTTCCTCTTCCCCAAGCACCTTATCCAACTCATCATCCACATCCCCAGCCTTGTCCTCGTCCTCCCCACCGTGATCCCCCTTGCCCTCCGCTCTCGTAACATCCTCCCCCCGCCTCACTCTCCGCAACAACTCCCAATCCAACCCCTTCACCATATGGGTACTACCCAAGTCCCCGCCAACGCCCATCTCACGGATCAGCTTCTCAAAGGTCCCCTGATCAATCTGCCCTAATTTGACCATCTCCTCTAACGCCTTCACGCGCGTCTCCAGCTCTTCCCCGGTTTTCGTCGTCGCCGCAGCTCCATCTTCTTCCTCGTCCCCCAGCTTTTTCTCAGAACCCTCCCCTCCCTCGCGCAGCAAGGCCGCCCGATCCTGATACCCAGAAGGTAACCTCGTCCCCTTGGGGGCAGCACTCGACTTGAACCGTTTCGCCGCTGGCTGCTGCTGCTGCTGTTGCTGCTCGGCCAATTGCCGCGCGAATTCATTGTGGAGGGATGTTCGGGTGTTGTTGACGGCGCGTCTAGAACCTCACCACAAAAATTGAAGTGTCAGCTTGAGATTTCAACGCATAACCAGACTCTCTTCCGGACGGGCTCTCCCCGGGAAGTACAGCGTGAAACATACGGCGTCATAGGGATGCTAGAGCGTACTCGCGAGCCGAGCGCTGCAGAAGGGGTGCGACCCCCTTGGTTGGTGGCGTGGGTGGTGCGCGCATTGCTGCTGCTGCTGGGTTTGTTGGTCGGGGTGTCGAGGACGAGGCGGCGGAACTGGTCGTTGTTCATTGTGAATGGAAGGTTATGGTTTTGTGTTCGGTGGAGACGGGGTTAGGGATGTGAAGAGTGGATTTAGATGTGCTGCATTCTGTGGTTCGTTCTTGAGTTTAAACAACTAAACAAAAAGGTGAGGGTTCTGAGTCGGGGGTGAGCAGCGGTATCTTGTTGCTTTGCTGCGGCGGCGGGAAAAGAGGGCCGACGTCAGGTTCTCCCGCGGCTTGGCGGCGGTTTCTACCTACCTTATGTATAGGTTGAAGTTCACTACAGAGGTTTGGCTAAATGTACTAGGGATTCGTTGAGGATAGCACCACGTTGTCGAAAACGGATCTTGAAATCCTTTTTTTTTCTTTCCTTTTCTAAAAAAGGGAATTGCATAACAACACTACCATTACACACTACGTCGCAGAATCTAACAGTCATAAACGAGTGTTCATATTTGCCTAACTAGTCATCAATCACGCATTCGTGCCAATTTACTGACTTCAACCAGGTAAATCATAGAAACAGTAGCACAATCTCATCAGTCGTTTTGGTAGAGCGGACGTTAATCCATCTACTCGGCGCACTCACGCTGGCGCTCTTCGAACACCTTCAGCGCCTCCTCGGCCGCCTTAACACCGCTGAGCACCATCGCACCAAAGGTAGGTCCCATACGGTTGAACCCGTCGATCTCCGACAGCTCCATGCCACCGATGATCAGTCCCTTGGTCACCTCGCGAGTGTTCTTGACGATGGCGTCTTCGGCAGAGTTCATGTCCAAGCCGCGCATGCCGCCCAGCTTGTCCACGCTCGCCATCGAAACCAGTCGCTTGGCGCAGAAGGCTCCAAACGGACCGTCGTGACCAGTGGTGCTAATCACAAGAGGAGCGTTGATGGTGTTGGGGTCCATGCAGGAATGGTCGTCGTGGTGCAGAGTAACCAGGGTCCAGTTGGTGACCACCCCGGCGATGCGGGTCTCCTTAGGGTTCCCGTTGGGCGAGGGACGCGTCACCAAGTCCTCCACGCTGGTGGCGTTGAAAAGCTTGACGTTGGGGAAGGAGAGGACCTTGGACAGCAGAGTCGAGGTGAACAGAGATGCATGTTTCACCACGACGTAATGGGGGTTTCCCGGGTCTTCCTCGTACGGCACGCCGAGTGCATTCAGAAAAGCCTCGGCGGGACGGCGCATGACCATCGCAGAGAAGAGCTGGCCACCCAGCCAAGCACCACCACCTACGACGGGTCAGTTTCGACGTTGTGGTGCCACTAGCAAGGTAAATGGTACGAACCAGGAGACACATTGGCTTCGATGATGGCAATCTTCAAATCAGGGCGCGCATTAGCCAGCACGAACGCAGTACTCAGACCACAAGAACCAGCGCCGACAATGACAATGTCGCTCTCGGCGTACTTGTCCAGGTCTTGGAAGTAGCGTCGGGTCATGGCGCGAGACACCTGACTCTCACGGATCGGTTCGAACTTGAACTCATCCCACTTGCCGCCGAAGTGGTCAAGCAGCTTGGTCTGGGAGTTTCCTCCCATCATCAGAGCAGTCTCGGGAACGATCACCTTGCCCTTGAGGCCAGCGCTAGGGGCCACAGGGGATTCCAACAAGGCAGCGGGGGGAGACATTGTTCTCGGGTTGGGCAGGTAAGAGTTCGAGTCACGGTAGTGACTGAGACTTGTTAGTCATTCCAGCAGACAGGGGGGAACGAGGGAAGGCATGATCCTTTCGCTGGTATTATCCAGATCAAGTTTAACCGTATAATCTCAGAACGAACCCAGAGCCACCAGCGTGCAAATCCCAGGCGGAAGTACTTCCGGCGGGGAGTATGCACGCTGGCAGATGGGAACGAACACCGGTCCATAGCCAAAGTTACCTGAGGTACCTGATCGTTGAGTTGCCCAGCTACAGGCATTGCATGACTTCCACCGTCAAGACCCGCGAGGGTCGTAGTAGGTAGTGATTACATTGGATGGATCGAGTTTTCCTGTAGCACGGTTAGTCAGTTCTCCTCCACGGGTAGAAGAGAATCAATCTGATGAAAGGGATCACGACTTCTTGAGATGGTTTCTGTCGAAGATGGAGACGATGGAGGAAGTGAGTGAGGTGATGCAGAGGAAAAGAGGAGAAGAAGCGGGGTGGAGAGGAAGGCCAGCTTAAATAGAAGCCCAATACGTAATGCCTGTAACATCCTCATGCTTGACGATCAATCAACTAACTTTCTGACCCTCCGATTCTGCCCGCATATGTCTTAAGCCGGTGAACTCAAGGAGTAAAGTAGTTTCAGGACAGAGACTAGGTGAGTCAATTAATCCCGACAATCATGATGCACCACAGTAGATGGGACAAAGACCTATGATGTGCTCGCGATTAGTATGGCAGGCAGCTACGGAGTACACTGTCTCGAAGGTCCGAGGTCGGGATGAATTGATCCTGACGGAGCACAGTACTCCTTCCTACAAGTTGTAAGTTGTTTTCGGCTTGTAGTATACTGCTAAGGGATCTCCTGGAGTAGACTAAAACTGAAACTAAAGAAACACCAAGAAAGGATATCAATGAACGAGGTGAACTCGTAAGTAGTAATTCAGTCATAGCATCCAAGCATAGAGATCCCCCGCATAGCACAGCATATTCACATAATGCACATTCTGACTCATCCCTCCATTATGTAAACTGAAGCTAACCGAAACCGGGGTGGGGCAGCGAACCCGCCGCCGCACAAACGCGTGACCCGGACCCCCATCGAACGAAACAGCGAAAATTCCCACCCTCGCCTCTCCCACCCCCCGACCGTACGACAAACCCCCTCTCGACAGATCCCCTTTCGTTGTTCTTTTGAAGGTCATCACATAACGCCAAAATGGGTAAGGTAAGTGATCAAACACCAAATATGATATCCCCAATGAAACAAAATTCATCTTTCGATAAAATGAAGATGAGCTAACTGGTTGGAAATAGGTTCACGGATCTGTAAGCGCTCCCCTCCTCCAGCTCCTATTATCCTCTCGACCAACGGAAAACGACGCACATTCGGAAGTCGATAGTCGATGATCGATAGAAACACCAAGAGAATCGAAACTAATAACGTTTTTCAACTTCACAGCTCGCTCGTGCCGGTAAGGTCAAGGCCGCCACTCCCAAGGTCGAGAAGCAGGAGAAGCCCAAGCAGCCCAAGGGCCGTGCCTACAAGCGCGTTGTCTACACCCGCCGCTTCGTCAACGTCACCCTCACCGGTGGCAAGCGCAAGGTATGAGAAAACCGATATCCGCCAGAGGGAACACCAGACAATACACGACGAACGGAGGAACAGCGGAATCAGCATCCGCCAGCTTGAAATATGCTAGGCACCGCTGTGGCTGGAAACGCTGTGTCTGTCTGGGTGTTTCTTCGAAAACAAGAGCGGAAGAGCTTACACATATTTTTTCTGTTCAACAGATGAACGCCAACCCCACCGCTTAAACGGACTGTCCACGAACAAAAAAACCTCTCGAAATTTGATTAAGCAAGAGAACTCGATGACAATTTTTTTGAGCAACGACGATTCCCCGGGTCTTGGCGTGATGGAGAGGCTGAGGATGTGATGCGCTATTTGCGATCGAGGGGGGCGGAATTGGGGTATGTCAAGTCTCTTGTGAGAGCTTGCAGCCTCGTTTTGCCCTCCCGATCAAGAAGACAACAGCCCTTTTGCTCCAACTTACGACGGATTTCGCCTTCGGTTTTAAAACGCAGTTACGGTTTCTTTCGTGGGGAACGAGTGAGGGATGGGTGTTTTCATTTTTTAGCAAGAGGTCGATTAATCGGACTTTCCAATCTGGCGATGCAAATACCATCACTATTTTCGGTCTCTCAGATGCTTCTGGGTCTATTTGGATTTTATATTTGACGTATAAGCTATGGTTGCAATGTGCGCTGCGATCTGTCAACGTAGATGGGGTTCTCCTGTTTCCTGCATCTGAGGGTCTGGGTGAGTCGGGTGGCAAATCGTGTCTGATATGACCCTCGGATTGCATGGGCTTTCCCAGCTGCTATGCATAGCATGTACTCTGTAGATATCGAGCATGCAGCTCGAAGGCACAGACTGATGAGTCGATATCTTATGACCGTCATGCATAGAACCACGAATGCAGCTAGACGACAGCCCGATGTTCATCAACTACACAACAGTGACCTTCACCTTGACCCCCTGGCCATGGACCCAATGCTTCTTCTTGCCCACCTTCTCCAGTCCCTCCGCCCTCCCCTTCAAAATCGCATGTAACATGGACGTAACAGCTTCACCTCGCCTCACCGTCAAGCGCAACACATCGCGAACCTCCTCCTTCTTCTCGACCGAGCCCCACTCCGCCTCCAAGCGCACCCTCCACTGCGTCCCCTCGGGCACCCGTCCCGCAGGGTACACATCCCCAACCATGGCCGCCACGCGACCCAAATAGCGACACCACCACGCCTCCGTGTGCGATACGCACCGCGCCAGCTGCCGATAATACACCTCGTCGGTGGGCGCGAGATCCCCATCCCAGCGCTCACAGAGCACCAGCGCGATCAGCGCGCGCTCCACATGCGACAGACAATTCGTGGCCGCCAGAATCCCCGTCGCCGTGCTGTGCAGCGCGGCGGCGGCCCGCGACTCCCGGGGCACCTTCGCATGGGCGAACAATAAATTCGCCAGCGCAGGGAGCAGATTTGTCTTGAGGATACTTTCCGGTGGACGGAGCGAGGCGTTCGGCGAGGACGTGTTGGGCCCCGGCAGCGCGGACCGCAAGAGCGCCTGCATCGCCTCCGCGGACGGCGGCGCATACGGCAGCGTCGCCGCCAGCAACGGGTCCTGCGCGCGCATGGCCTTGGGCAGGAAGCGATCGTACAGAAATCCCTCGCGGACGCCGCCCTGGCAGAACTGAACGTGCGTGACATCCGGCAGCGCGGCCATGATGACGTCCACCAGGAACGCCACGGCGGGGATCTGCGAGGCGCGGCGCTTCGAGACTCCGTAGATGTTATCATCTGGGGAGGTTGCCCCCGCCGCCGCTGCCGACCCCGCCGTCTCCGCCAGCACGGCGGCAGTGTCGTGGAAGTCCGCGCGTGGGACCCGGAACCCGTTGATGATGGGGATCGGGTAGGGCGCGTGCTGTTTCTGGGAATAGGTCTTCATGAGCACGTATCCCCAGCCGCGGAACCCGCCGCCGCAGAGGTAGAGGTTCATTCCTGCTGTCGCGGTATCGGTGCCGGAATGTCGAGGGAAAGCGGAGGTCTTAGGCACCGCCAACTCTCGGTATGCCTCTCGGAACTCCCCCGTCATTTTCTCCCTTAGCTCCTGCAATCCCCCGCTGCCCTTGCGGTGGGCCTCCTCCAACAACCGCCCCAGCGCCGCCGCGCCGTACGGGAAACTGAACGCCCCGCGCTCACTCGTTCGCACCGCCCCATCTTCCTCCACGACCACCCAGGTGATCTGCGTACTGCCCCCGCCCAGATCCATCGCCACGCCGGCCACGGACGCAGAACTGCTCGCAATCCCCAGCGCCCCGATCCGCCCTTCTTCTTCTTTGTCGAGTAGGCGCACCTCCCAGCCGGTGTGCGCGCGGATCGCGGCCCGGAACGCCTCCGAGTTGGGCGCGGTGCGCGTCGCTTCCGTGGCGAGGACGTGGATGTTGCTGTCCGGGACGCCGAAATCGGCGCACGTGGTGCGGAAGTGCGCGAGGTGGTCGAGGACTTGGCTGATAATTTCCGAGGGGATTGGGTTGCGGGGGCTGTCTTGGGGGGTGGATGAGGAAAACTTCGTCGTGGAGAACTGGGCGTCGTAGAGGGAGATTCCGGCGCGGGATTGGTAGACTATGGGCATGATGCGGGCGGTTGGTGGGGAGAGGTCGGTTATGGAGAAGCGGATGCCATTGCTATTGTTTTGATGATTAGTTTGGATGTAGTTGGGGAGTGAGGATTCAGGGGCAGGGGTGGAGGTTTGGAGAGTTGTGTCGGTGGTGGTGATGCCACTGTACTCGCTCACCTTCCCATGTCTACAATTCCGTAGAGATTGGGGTTGGCGGTTGCTGGTCCTGCCATTGTGGAATCTCAAGATCCAGGGACGGTAGTGCTGCGTTGATGATAGAGCTGGCTTGATCTTTAGGGTGAGGATAGCACAGCACCGCAGGAAGTGCTTTGATTCAAGGCGCGCTGTGCATGGCTGGCTCGGTGCGACTAGCTTTGGGGGATCTGCTAGCTTAGGGCAAGAGAGATGTCGATGATGTAAACTAGGCTCTCAGTAGTTAGGCCGCGTTACTATTGTCAAGTGTCATAGAGGTGGATAGAAGAACTTGAAGCGAAGAGAAGCGAGGTGTGATCGATTCGTTGAGGTCGTCGAATTGGGTGGTGGAACCGTGATATATTCCAGCTGAGGTGGAGGATGCGGGCGTTTTTACCCCTCCATCGCGGGGCTCACCGCACCAACACACTCTCCCCCTCACATTCAAGTCAATCTTAACACCACTACTACTAATGAGACTGATTCCCATCTTCCACGTCAGCATACCTCTTATTATTCCGTCAGATGTCATAACTTCGTTACCGGCAACCACTGGCATCTATTCAAGCACGCTGAGACGCAAACTACAGTACACACCCTCAACCTACAACACATATCGGAAACCTGCCCCATAATTCTCCTCCCCCACAGCGGTATCATCCTTGGCTCCAGCTCCCCATTCCGCCACCGTTCCATACCGCTGATCGAGACGCCGGTTTTCCCAGGCCAGAAGCATCCGTAGACATAATGCAAGAATCGTGTTGAAGAACATAAAGGCCGCGCAGATCGACAAGCCCCGAGTGTAGCGAGGCGCATCGCCGGATGGGAAGACATTCGTCCCCAGAAAGGGACCGCACTGGCCAATGACGTTGAGAATGACAATTCCCATGCCTCGTCGGCTGTCCGAGCCTTGATTATCTACACGGATTGATGTTAGTGCGTGGATCGTCGCGGGGAAAAGTGCAGGGCTAGTTGGACGTACTCAGAGTCCAAGGCAGAATGTTGGCGATGGACGGAAACACCCCGATGGCAGCAAGGAACACGCCAAGGTAGCGGACCCCAACAGAGCTGCAGGCCGCCAGTAATACATAGCCCACAGCCCCGACCAGCGACGAACAAGCAATCACGAGACCTCGCTGCTGGATGCGATCCGCGACCCATGTCGTAGCAATCGTGACGAGGAAGGACGCAAAGAACGGCGGGGCTGTGAGACCTTGAGCGTTGATGGAGGTGAATCCCATGTCCTCCAGGATCGTTGGCAGGAAGACGGGCAGCGATGAGAAGCTCACGTTGCAGCTGAAGTACATGAACTAGTGCAGTGGCAGGGTTAGCATCCCGCGTGCGTGCGTGCGCAAGGCTACTGACTGATCAGAGAACATACCGCCAAAAGCCACGCCTTCGCATCCAGCAACGTCTGGCCCAGTTCCCGCCAGTCGATGCCGCTGACGCGCTCACTCTCACCACTCCGTCGAAGTGACCTGGCCCGCGTAACCTCTTTTTCTTCTTCCGTCAGAAAACGTGCGGATGACGGGTGGTCTGGCAGGTAGAACCAAGCTAGAACAGCCGCCAAGAGTGACGGGCTGCCTTCCACCAGGAACAACAGTCGCCAATTCGCTATCTTAGCATGTCCGGAGGTGATACCGTAAGCCAGAGCACCGGCAAAGGTGTTTGCCAGAGGCGCTGCGGACAAGAACATGCCGCATCGAAGCCCTAATTCGTGGCGGCGGTAGAAGAATGATAGCAGATAGGGACTTCCTGGGCCAAAGGCAGCCTCCGACATGCCCAACAGAAATCGCAGAGCCATCAGACCGCCCCAGTTTTGCACTGCCGCCTGGCACGTTGCCACAACACCCCTAGACAATCAGGCTATGTCCCAGATATGAGGTAGAGGTCGGATCCGAACTTACCAGCTCAACACAGTGATAGCTGCCCATCTGTGCGGAGGCATTATCTTCCACATCAGCGCCAAGAACTCAAAGAGCGTGTACGATATGTAGAAAATCGTCAAGAGCCAGGTGTATCGATTCCCAGTGAGATGAAGATCCTCTTCCATTCCTGCAATTTTGGCATTTCTGCTTGCTCGTTAGGATGAGGAATATGAGGTTTCAAGTGCATGACGAGCAAGCCTACCCAATGTTGCTTCTATCAAGAAGGGATAGAAGATCTGTGCGAGTACCGTCAGCGACGAAGCCAACCACGGGAAACCCAAGCTTGCAGGGAAGCGGAATGTTCTGGTGGATAATGTAGCAGGGTAATTGAACAAGAGGCAGCATACATAGAAATCCTAACAGGGTCGGGACCCTGAGATCCAGTTTCCTCAGCACTCGAGCTTCAAGTGCAGGATCTATAGATCGTGATGCTCGATGACATTGCGGAAGTGCTGTGTGGGCTTCTTCGCGGTGCATCGGCTGCTGCTTCTCCGGATCGCCATCACTCGGGGCCTCGACTATGGCGTCGACATCCTCAGCAGGACTGCTAGGGCCGTCTTTCCTCCCCAAAAACCCCATAATTGACAGTCGGTTAGTGCGATGAGGCGCGTCGGGAGTTTGATGACAGCAACAGGTGATGAGAAGACTTCTCGTGGAAAAGGGGGGACAGGCCGCTTTATGGACGCGTCCACGCCAAAACCTTCACACGCTTTTTTATGGAAGGTTCTTGCACGGCGTGAGTCAATTGGACCAAGGTGACCAGCCTGATCTGCGAGGTTTATCCGACCACACGCTCCCCACGTTGAGCTAGTCTAGCGAGGGGTGACGTGAAAGTTGGCGAGAACGAAGGAGGGGGCACGCGGTCGATGGGTGGAGCGTCCACTCATGCGGAGTGAGAGCCACTTCCCTCAGAAAGCTCAGAACTGTGTGCGTGTGATACGTGGGACAGAGCTCACGTCCAATCATCCGAAAGTACAAACGGTACACTACGCTAAATGGACCGAAGCATGGGCAGATCTACTGGGGAGTTGCTCTGCGGACCTCGGGGATACAGTATGATGACATGCTTTTCGCACATCCGATTAGGGTCAGTGTCGGTGCTTGGGTGGCGGGCCAAAGCTTAAGACGAGACCATCCGGTGGGCGCAAGGCTTGGTCCGAGATGTGAGAGTTGATCGCATTGGGCGATAGCCGAGGTGGAAGAGGTTGGGTGTTCCAGTTCTGATTCGTTTCATCCCCCTGGCACATATTGATGCATGCTCCCCCCAGCACTGCATCACAATTGGGTCTGGATTCAGAGAGATCCTCTCGGAGGTGTATAGCAGAGCAGCCCGTGGGGACTGCCATGTCGCTGGGGTCTTCAAACTGGGTAAAAGCAAGCGTATTTCGCGGGAAGAGTCATACCTGACTAAAGAGTACACAGTCAGTGAGTTACTTGGTTGAATGTAGATCCAGTAAACCTTCATTACAGTTAGTCGTCGGCGATGGGGCAAATCGAAGCCCTTCAAATTGCGGGGAACGACGGGGAGGACGATCTTCAACCGAAAAAGGGAAAAGCTAGTCTAGATTCGGGATTCATGCTGAGGCCTGAGATTCTAGGCACCCAGATTGCATCTCCGGCTCGGGTGGACGGCCGTACCGCTCCAGACTGAACTGGGAAAGGAACCTCAAATTTCCGCGTCGCGTTGAGCATTTGGTGTCTTTGACTCGGCAGACGTCGCTGGGTGCATTGGTTACAGTCTCTCTTGCTTCTCAGAATCTCTCTTTCTCCTTCCTCCAATCCATCCCGGAGTTTTTGCGACAAGTGGAGTGCTTGCGATCCTCCGCCATCGGGGCCTCTCTAAGTCAACATGGACGACCCGGCGACCCGTGTTCCCGCGCAGCTGGTAAGTTGGTCACCATCAATGGAGTGACTTTGTATAGGGCGTGAGCACTGACTTCAAGTCATCATGACTCCTCCAGCTGCCGCACATGCACTTGGTTTCGCGGCAACGCTACCCTATGATGCATATGATGCCCACAGACACTGTCGTCGAATACCTGCTCGGCGCTTCCAAGGTCGTGCGCGAGCAGCAACCGATGCACTGGACCTTCCTGGATGCGCCTCCAGATGGCTCGGTTATGCTTACGTGGCAGCCGCTCAATCACCTCGGGACCAATTTCGCCAGTGATGGTTATGTCTGGGCCGATGTCGAACAAGCCTTTACCTTTGATGCTCGCGGCTATGTAGGTTACTCCTGCTGCAGTCCTAGCCTGCGGCTGCTCTCCAGTTCAGAGCCAGAAGGTTACTAACTGGGTGGCATAATAGACAGTCGAGATGTGGCTGCACCGTAGCGGATACCATCCCCCGAACGAGGGTATGGCGATCCATTGCCGTCGGCGGTATCGGTTGCTACCACCGAAGGTTCCCAATCCCAATCTGCCCAACCCCGATCCCGCCCTCTGGATTGTCCACTACACGAGAGCGCCTCCCGCAGATCAAATCCCCGCAAACCGAATCCCCGTCATGCCCCAAGTGCAGAACATGCTAGCGCAGCGGCGGTTCTTGCAGAGCCAAGGCCAACTGGCCCGCAAGGACTTCATGCTGCACGATCGGAACAATTGGCCAGCCATCAACTTCCCCCCACATATGGCACCCCAGGGCTTCCCCCAGATGCCTGGCGCTTATCCGAGCGCCATGGTCGGACGTCAACCGTTCTACCCTCCACCTGGACCAGGCGTGCCACCCCCCGCTGCTGCCCCGCCGGCAAAGGCCGCTCGCGGCAATCGCGCTCCCTCCGCCGCGGTTAACGCTGCCACCGCAGACTTCGCACTTGAAGATGAAGACGTCTCGGCGGGAGACACCATGGATCTCCTTACGCCCCGTGAAATCAGCAAAGTTCGTTACACGCAACATCATGAGTGGATGGAAGAGATATTCGCTTCGCCTTACGCCATCAGCCAAATCACACCCGTCTCTCTAGGTCTGGGCCGGAAAGGAGAACTCGAGTCACTGACGGCTGGGTTCTTTGAGGCACCGGTTGGACCCGCTAACGGAGAAAAGAAGGATGCCAATGCCACACAAGCTGAGAAGTTGGCACCTGCCAAGGCCGAGGAGTTCGCGGACCGGGTCGCCAAGAAGGTCGCTGATATGACAGCCGAGATCGAGAAGCTGAAGAAGCGCCACGCACGCCGAATGGAGAAGTTCAACCGCACCTCTTTGCTCAAGGACGCCGAGGTCCGCCTCCGTGAAGCCGCAGCCGATCCTGCAGAGACTGGTCCGGAGCCGTGGAGATTGGAAGGACGCTTGGTGATCCCTTCTGAGGATGATGACTCGCAAGCGGCTTACGTTGAGAACCCCGCCAAGTACAAAGTTGACGATATCGTGCGGGATGTGGAGAAAGTGTGGCAAAGACAAATTGTTCCGGAACCCAGAGTCTCTTGCGTGCAGAAGGGTGGCCTGCTCGAGAAGATCGAACCAGAGCAGAGACCCGAGACTCAACCGGAGGGTGATATCGAAATGAACGGTACGGATAGCCACTTCTTGGACCAGCTGGGCTCACCGGAAACAGCGCCAGGTGCCTCCTCAGCGGTCCAGGATGGCGGACAGACTGGAACATCACACGTTCCCACCTTGGGCGGCGCATCGGGACCGGGTGGGGTAGTTCCACAACCGCCTCAACCAGCCAACGTCCCTCAACAAGGTCTTCCTGCCTCGTTGGATATTGAGATGGATATGGGCGAGACACAACCCGCCAGTGCTGCCGGAGAAACTGGAGACTGGGTGATGGTCAATGAAGAGAAGAAGGACCAGGCTTTACCTGGTGATAACTCTCTACCCGGTGTAGATACTCCGGGCAGCGGCCTCCAAGGATTGACCCCCGGCAACGCAGGTAGTACCGGGGACAACGGTCTTGATGGAGCCAACTTCGATTTCACCAACATGGACAGCGCGGGTGACGCTCTCGCCGCGTACAGCGAGCAGAACGATGGGCTCGATTTGCCGGATCTGGAAAACTCTGCCTTTGGCGATGCGTTCCATGCGTCGGATAACGAAAACACGCACCATCATGACGCCGACGATATGTCGTAGAATGGCCAGCTGGAGGTTCCGGAACTGCTTTAGATGCTTGGTAATGAAACGGAGTGGTGTTGGTATGGTATTCAACCATTTGGCTTGGGCGCTGGGGCTTGTTTCTTGATCGTCTTCGACCCTCGTTGTATTTGTCACGACGAGGTCGAGGTGGAGATCAATGTAAGTTAGAGATAGGAGTTGGCCATTTCTGTCTGCTTTTGCCGGATACGAAGAACATGGGACAGACTTGCAATCTACCTTTAATCCTTTCCATTTTACTTGTATCTTGTATACACCTGACAGTGTCTCGTAGAAGCCAGAAGTGTCTGGTCAAATGACTGGAAGAGTCACTTAGGGCAGAGCGGTCTGTCTGTCGCACGCCGCAGTCACATACCACATCACCCGCCATGCACGCTCTTGATGTCTGTGGCTTTCACCCCAAAGTCAAGCGGAAATCCATCATCTCCCTATCACATTCTCCATTTAGAACCCTCCGTGGTCAGTAAATCCCGTTTCATCACCGGGTCCGATCACCCGCAATGAAACCCGTGTCAAGTGATCCCGTTCCGGATGAAGCCATAAACCACCAGCAGTTGCAGTGTTCGATGTGCCTTCAACAACCCAGACATACAATCCTTTTGAGAGACAGATCGAGAAGAAAGAATATCCAGGGCCTGTGTGCCAACTTTTCCAAGCGTTTGCGCCACGGAATCTAAAACGTAGGGTCGCTCTGGAATACTCAAACCGGGTTGTTTTATGATATTTGGCTGAAGACTGATTGCTAATGTCGTGGTGAAGATACAGTCACTGCAAGACCGTCCTTCTTATTCTCGCTGTGAAGATCGAGTCAGACCGACGAGCATCCTTCTTCTTGTCATTCTGAGGTTTAGGGCTGGTTACTGGAGGGCGAGCTTAACGCCAACTTGAACTGCGGATGATCGCAGCCTCTTCGCCTATACTTCTATTGCTCGCGGACAGAACTGCTCTAACGAGATGTGCTTCACCGACTGCGACGACAGTATCTCTAGTGTTTCCCGTCACAAGGAATACCACCACCGCAGCAGCAGTTCCCGCCGTGGAGGGGGTCGATGTGATAGCGGTGGGACGAGCAGCAGCAGCAGCAGCAGCAGCAGCAACAGCAATACTCACAGCCCCATCATCCCTCCTCCTCATCCTCATCCTCCTCCACGAAGCTACTCTCCTCCTCACTCCCCTCTGCGAAACCAGAACCACTTTCCCCACCCTCGCCGTACTGCACCACCGCTCCTACCGCCCTCATACAGCACCGTCCGCCGCCGTCGCTGGCGCACTATCGAGGAATCTCTAATTCCGGTGCGCGTGGCACGACCCCAGCCGACGTGGGTGGATGTCCGTCGCGCGGATCGGTGCATCCCAGCGGAAGAGGTGGAGGTGGCGGGGGAAGTGGAATGCGTGGGGGTTTTGGAGTCGGTGGAGGAACGGTGTTTGATGAGACGTGGTGGTCGGTGTGGTTGTAGTCAATGCGGCCGGGGAAGGGTTTGGGAGGTGGATGTTGAGTATATTCCTGCTAGGAGTTGAATTGAATGTCTGCTGGTATATACTATACTATGGAGTGGGGTTGAGGAGGAGCTGTCGATGCTGGGGCAGGAGGGTTTCTTTTAGGCGAGGATTTGTTACTGGGAGTTTTGTCTATGAGTACTAATGGTTTGCTGCTGGTTCTATAGCTATTGGATTTGAGTTGATTGATATTTGGTGATTGTTGGGTAATCTGGGAGACTTGAGTTGTACTATCATGCATGTCCTCCGACAGTACTGTGTCCACTTTAGGAATCTTACTCATGCTTCGCAGTTCGCCATCTTCAGATCTCGATTAAACTCGATCCACCCAGGGATTCGCAGCAACTCGCAAGCGGACGATGACTTCAACAACATCCGCCCATGCCCGCATGACGTCACCCCATCGACGCCATCGATAACGTGGTGGATCTACTTATACTCATACTTATACTTATACTTATACTTACACTTGGACAAGTTATACTTACCCCATTGTTCCAGATAGATTAGTATCCCGAACGGTGGAGACACTGACTACTACGACTTTTCTCCATACGGAATTATCTGCTAACTACCCGAAGAAGGCGCGATCCGAGCTTGATTGTGCATTGCTTCTAGGTTCGTCAACGATTGAACTCCTATCGCAATTGCATCTGCTCCTAAGCACACTATTCTCCTGATCCAGGATCGTGGAAAAGGAGAAACCACCACACTCAAAGTAAAAGGCCATGGCAATCATGTATGCAGTGTCCGACTGCCAAAGACTCCCTCCCCAAGACACCGTCTGACTCGGACCCCAGGAACCGAAACATGTCCATCCGCGGACGCAGGAACTCCGTCCCCTCGCGGACCCGGTTCAGCTTCTCCACGCTGCGCGGCCACCAGCAGCCCGAGACGAGCCGGCGGCTCAATCAGCTCATCAAGAATGAGAACACGGCCATCAGCGCGCATGAGAAGGCGGGCCGCGAGCGCGTCGCCATCGCGAATCAGCTGTCTGACTGGGGCGAGTGGACCGAAGACGACGCTGTCTCCGATATCTCGGACAAGCTGGCGGTGCTGATGGCGGAGATGGGCGAGCAGGAGGACAACTTCGCCCAGTACCTGGAGGAGTCGCGCGTCGTGCTGAAGCACATCCGCGACACCGAGAACTCGGTCCAACCGTCGCGCGACCAGCGCGCCAAGATCGCCGACGAGATTCAGAAGCTGAAGTGGAAGGAGCCGCAGAATAACAAGATCGCCATCCTCGAGCAGGAGCTCGTGCGCGCGGAGGCGCAGATGTTGGTGGCGGAGGCGCAGTTGACTAATGTGGTATGTGTTTCGTGGGTTACCCAGTTTATGGGGGGAGTGTTGACTTGTGCTGTGTGTGTTGCAGACTAGGTCGAAGTTCAAAGAAGCATACGATATCCATCTGGCGGCGGTGATTGAGCGGGGCGAGAAGCAGATCCTGCTGGCTCGCCATGCCCGCCGTCTGCTGAACCATCTGGATGACACCCCGGTTGTACCAGGGGACTCGCCACGGGAGTATGACCAGCTTCCAGCGACCAAACAGATTATCGAGGATGCGGAGAAGGAGCTGCATGCGTGGGAGAGCAGTGCAGAGCCCATTCACTCGTCCGCCGCGGACGTCCCGGACAGCACCCTGTTGCCAAGGTCCGGTCGTGGTGTGCGTGATTCGCGAGGCGCATACGCGGTTGAAACCACTGCTTCAGACTCGGTGCGCGACGTGAACGGTTCAGCCGAGGAATCATATGCTCAAGGCACTGGTGCGAATGAATATGCCCGTGATACCCCGGCAGAGCCATATGTCAACGGCCACGGCACAGAGCCAGTGACTGACCAAAGCCATCGGGAGTCGTATGCTCAAGGAGCGGATCATGACCGCTATGTCGAAGGCGCGGGCTCGGAGCTGTATGCTGACAGTACCCCGCCGCCGGCTACCACCAGTGCTGCTGCTGAACAACACTATACCAACGGTGTCCCTCAGGATCCAGCCGTCATCAGTGGAACCGAGGCGCAATCCAGCACCATCCCCCACGTGGAGAAGTACACTGGTGAGGGTCTGCAGGGACAAGCCGCCAACGGCCTCGTTTCGGAACCTGTTGGAAGATCCGAAGAGCTGCCGCGCGCATCAGAGGAGCTGCAGTCATCGAAAGCTCATCGTGAGTCCGAGGTCCCCTATGTGTCAAGCCCGGCTCCAGCTCAACCTATCGCCGTACCAATCTGAGTTTCTGCGTTTCTGCTCGATTCTGGTTTTGGAGCTCTTGTATCTTTTTGTGCCGCCCTTGCTAAGTGACTAGGAAAACTCTTGAGCCAGAAGCTGAAAGATATGGACGTAGATTGAGTGTACTTAGTTAGTAGTGTATGCGCCGCAATGTGATCCAGTGATTGTTTCTGTCACGACCATTTACTATTAAGTTAGTAGATACATGCAGTGTACACCGCCTTTGATTTCCCGTAAAACACTCACCGCCCGACTGGGCAGAACTTCTTGACTATCAGAATGTGCACGTGACCCAGGCGGAAGCGTGACGCGGACGGAGAGTGGGAGCTCCCAGCATCATCCACCACCAGAGCTCCCGAGCTGCTTCGTCCATCGCCATCGCCATCTCACTTCCCTCCCATCATCCCCCACCCTTGATTTTGCTGCATCTGTCCCTTGAACCTCTCTTGTCACCCTTCACCGAACCTCTAACCACCCTTGCACATCATGGATAAATTGGTTGCCCAATACACGCGGGCGCCGCACCAGAATGAGTTCTACTCCGAGCAAGAACAGCGTGAGCTCACCGAGAGCCTCCCGCCTTTGTCGCTGAAGTTCAACCTTCCCCCGGTCGATAATGTGAGCTCTCCGTCTTGAACCCGACGTGCTGTCTCGGCTTTTCCTTCCGGCTGGCCTCGACGCAACCTGCCGTTCGGAGCAAGCCGCCGCCCGTTCAGACCGCCGTGATTGTGTCTCCTTCTTCAAGGATATTCCGAATGAACCAGCTAACGCCTCGACTCCAGTCCAGAGCCTTCCTCCGTGCCATGACCGATGACCACTCGAATCCCAGCTGCCCGATCAAACTTGCCCACGGAACGACGACGCTGGCCTTCCGTTTCCAGGGTGGAATTGTATGCCATCATCACCATTATTCTCGGTGTCTCAGCGGGGGACGGCTAATGCTTTTTACTGTCTCCAGATTGTCGCGACCGACTCCCGAGCTACCGCAGGAAACTGGATCGCCAGTCAGACCGTGAAGAAGGTTATCCCTGTTTCACGGCTGAGCCGCGGGGAAGACAAGCCGACTGACAAGCCGACCCCTGGTCTTCTGGGGACCATGGCCGGTGGTGCTGCTGTGTGTATTACCCGTCTCGTAGAAGTGCAAGGATTGAGCGACGGGGAACCTTCTTCAATGGAAGGGATGAAATGCTGACGCAGTGTGCTTCCAGGATTGTCAATATTGGTTGAGATATCTGAGCCAGCAATGCACACTTCACGGTGAGTTCGATTTGTGGCCATCGCCGCTGTTGCTCCGCAGTTGACTAACCATGACCTCCGAACTTGGTCGTGTATAGAGATCCGACACAAGCGCCGTATCACCGTCGCCGCTGCCTCCAAAATCCTCGCCAACCTCACATACGCCTACAAGGGAATGGGTCTGAGCATGGGAACGATGTTAGCAGGCGTACGTCCCCCTTCCCGCTCGGGACTCTGTCTTTGTCAGTCGCATCGGTTCTAACCACTACAACCTTCAGATGACCCCCCAAGAGGGCCCCGCGCTTTACTACATCGACTCGGACGGCACCCGGCTGGCCGGCAACCTCTTCTGCGTGGGCTCCGGTCAGACGTTCGCCTACGGTGTCCTGGATGCCAATTACCGCTACGACCTGACTGAGGAAGAGGCCCTCGAGCTCGGCCGCCGAAGTATCCTGGCCGCCATGCACCGCGACGCCTACTCTGGTGGTTTCATCAACTTGTACCACGTCAAGGAGGAAGGGTGGGTCCACCACGGCTTCAACGATATGAACCCCATATTCTGGAAGACGAAGTTGGAGAAGGGCGAGTTCTCGAACGTTACGTCGGAGTTGTAAGTACTGGGCTGGGAAAGTTGTTTCCAGCTTTGAGTCTGGCTGGCTGGGGCTGGCAGGCTGCGTAGGTTCGGAAGCCGGAGCTCTGGGCCGGTCGGGCTTTGTATGGAGAAACTACTTTTTTATGGAAATGATTAGCTTTGATACTCATGCTCCTATTTTGCTGTCTTGCTTTCTTCCCTAGGTCTGGCACTTGATGGCTGGGCGGTTGTAGTAGCTGTTCGATTTAAAGCAAGCCCTAAATCTGCAGTATCCTCCTGTACGGAGGTCACTTATTCGACGGTGATCTAAACTGAGCCAGATTTATCCTTCAACGACGGACACACAGCTCCTCACCAACAGACCCTTACTCACCCAACGATAGAGCCAAAGGATGATTCCTACTCACAGCAACAACAACAACCGAAAAAAAAAGGAAAGCAGAGTCAATGAAATCCATACTTATGTTAAGTAAGTACTCCGTACATAGGTAGCAAGCAATTCAAAACATCTCACCCCAACCCGAACACAACAAGAAACAAAACAAATGTTGCTGCTGAATTACGCCTATCTATGACACACACACACAAAAGGGGTACGACAAGGAAAAAAAAAAACAATCAAATGCTTTTTGAAAAAGAACAAAAAGAGAACACATCCAACAAACGTCTTGCACAAGCGGGAGCTGGCTATCGTGCCGCTGGGCTTCTCACAGGGGATCAATCAATCATGGTAATCTTTATACTCGAAACAGGCACACATCCTTTCGTGCATTGTGTGGTTGCTGGTGGGTGGGGGGTTTAAAATTAATTTTCAACCTTAAACTTCATCCGAATACCCATCGCCGCGAGTTCGACGTCCAAGTAGCGCAGCACCCCCGGCACTGCCACGACGGTAACATTATCGCCCCCGACGTAGCGACGGCCATCGCCATCCTCCCAGAGGACGGCGCGGGAGTCCTCGAAGACCGCCTCGCGGGCGCAGCGACGGCAGCGGACGAGGGCGGCCATACCTCCCGGCTTCTCGGAGGAACCGGCGGACTGGTTGGAGGCAGCCTTGGCGGCGGCGATGCGGGAGGCGCGGGAGCCGGCGGCGGAGGCGACGACCTGGGTGGAGAGGAAGGAGCCGCAGTCGCGACAGATCCAGGAGCGGGTGGCGTCGGAGCAGTTCATGAGGCGGTCCTGGAGCAAGAACGCGGCGCCGTGGGCGATGAGCGAGTCGCGCTCCATCTCGCCGACGCGGATACCGCCACCCTTGGCACGACCCTTGACGGGCTGGCCGGTCAGGTTGTTGACGGGGCCCGTGGTGCGGACCTGGAACTTGTCGTTAACCATGTGACGCAGACGCTGGTAGTGGACCACCCCAATAAAGATGTCCGCCGCGAACTCCTTGCCCGTGATGCCGCTGTACAGGGGCTCGTTGCCGAAGTAGTTGTACCCGGCCTTGCGCAGCTGCTGGCCGAAGTAGTCCACCGCCGTGTTCTCCTCGGAGAATTGGAACGGGGTGCAGTCTTGCGGGTGGCCGTGCAGGGCGCCGGCTTTGCCGGCCATGGATTCGACCATTTGGGCGATGGTCATACCTGGTAGAGATTTAGTTGGGTATTTGTTGGTTGGGGAGGTAAACGAAACTTACGCGACGGGAAAGCGTGCGGGTTGATGATCAGGTCGGGCTGGATGCCACTCTCGGAGAAGGGCATGTCCACCGCGGGCCACAGCTGAGAGCAGACACCCTTCTGTCCGTGACGAGACGAGAACTTGTCTCCAATGATGGGCTTTCTGGGAATGCGGTACTTGACGCTGATGGATTGGCAGGGCTCCACACCGGACTCGGCGCCCAAGATGCGCAGGCTGTCGATGTAGCCTTCTTCCGCGTCCTTGTACTTGACGAAGTGGGTGACCCCGTCCACGTTCACGTACGAATCGCTGGCCGCGTCGTACCGCACGTTGTGCCACGCCGCAACGTAGCTGCCCTCCTTGACTTTGGCGCCGATGTGGGGCAGACCGTCTTCGTCCAGGGTGGCCCGCCATTCGGCCTTGATCTGATCGCCGGGGGCGAAGCCGAAGAGCTTGGTGATTTCACGGCGGGACTTGCCGCGGCGAGAATCTTTCTCGTCGAGGCCGTGCACCTTGGTCTTGTAGATTGTCCCATGACCGAAGCCGCGTTCGTGAGAGGATTTGTTGATAATCATAGCGTCGTCCATGTCGTAACCGGTGTAGGAGATAATAGCAACGACAGCGTTCGTGCCGTTGGGGAAGTTGTCCAGGCCGTAGGCGTTGTAAAGCGGCGACCGCACGATCGGCGTTTGACCGGTCTGCAACCGGTAGAGCTTGTTGTCGGTACGGTAGTCGATGGCAGTACCGGGGGTACCCATGGTCTGTTTGCTCATCTGACACTGGTACATGTTACGAGGGGATTGGTTCTGGTCGGAGAAAGGCGTCATGTTGGCAACAATGGAAAGCATGTTGGTGGGTGTGAATTCGATGTGAGTGGAAACACCCGAGATGAGATCGTTGGGCATGCAGGCAATCTCCATGAAGGGCTGCTCGAACGGACCGACATAGTCGAGTTTGCCCAGCGCCAGATACTTCACGGGTCGGTACATTCTGGCGGCTTGCGAGAACATGTAGATACCAGGGTACTGACCACCGTTGGAGTTGGGAACATAGCCGATCTCCAGCTCAACAGGGATGCGGTCATCGCCGGCCACCTTCCAGCGTCTTAACGTGTTAGCGATCAAGCCGGCCTGCCGGGGAGAGCAATATCCGATAATGCGACCATCCAGCTGAACAGTCACGCTCTCCTCCACAGACACCGACGACTCCGAACGGACACCCAACTGGACCAAGGCCTTGGGAACCTTCGATACGTCAATGTCGCTGGTAGCGATCAAGCACTTGTGCGCAAGATGGTTGAGCAGACCACAAGGCGCTCCATCGGGGGTGTGGACCGGGCAGAAGAAACCCCAACTCTCGGGCAACAGCTTACGGACCGTGGTGGTTTTGAGCTGGGCGAAGAAACTACCTCTGTGAATCATGCGGAAGTGACTGATGAACCGATAAAAGTTGATCTTCTCCGCCATCACGGTGTAACCGGATGCTTGTTGTAAATCGAGACCGGTAGGACTGACAAGGTTACCAGTGGAAAGGAAGTATTCGAGCGCTCCTCCAATGTTCTCGTTGGACCGCTTCACGATCTTGCTGAGGAAGTCCCGCTCGAATGCGGAATCCGTGAACCTGGCGCCGCTGTTACGGTTGGACCAGTCCCTCAGGATGGGCTGGAACGACCTCACCCACTCCTCGAGTCTTTCCTTAAGAAGCATGCCGTAAAGGAAACCACCAAGCAGGATTTCCTGGTTAGAGACCGCATCCGGGTTGTCCGGAGCGCAATCTCCGGCAACCAATGCGTACAGCTTTCTGATCATGAATAAAATCATCTTGAACTTGTCGTAATCCTGGGTCTCGCTGACGTTGTGGCAGCCCAGGTGGGGGAGGACAACCTTGCGAAGGAATTCGGTACCAGCGTCTTCGTTGGACATGTCGGCTGCGACTCCCAGCACAGGCTTGAACTTCTCTCCGAGATATGAGCGGCAGGCGGAGCGGCTGTGCTTGTTGTATGCCTTGTATGTCCGAAGCAACAACTCCACACGATCCGTAATGAAGGTGTTCTTGATGCCCTCGGACGAAGCACTGCCCACGATTCCCTCGAAGATCTCGCGATCGTTCGTCTCCACCAGCGCCTTGAGGATCATCATCACCGGGATGAGATACTCGTTCTTTCTCCACGAGAACCGGAAGGTCAGGTTGCCGTCCGTCAAGTAGTGTAGGGAGTTCGTTTGCGACGTCTGATCTGGGCGCACAGACCGAATCTGGATACCGTATTTGGTGTAGGTATGGCCACGCTTGACGAACGAACCACGGATGATCGCCATGGGGTAGTTTCGCTTGCCGACGACCAGCATTCGAATGAGTTTCTCGTTTCCGTTGACGATGAAATAACCACCCAGCTCCTCCGATTCTTCCTTGTGCTCGACGAGTTCATGGGGAGTCGCCTTTTCCAAGTGACACCGGTTGGTCTGCCAGCGTGGTCAGCAACTGAGGGCCACCATCTTAGACGAAAGTTTCCTCCCGCATTGTCGACTTACCCTCAGCATGATGGGGACCTGGCCCAGTTCTCGGACCGACTCCATCCAATCGCCATTGTTGACCTGCCACTCGATGCGAGCGCGCAGCTTTCCACGGTAGGTGGCATGTCTCTCGCGACACTCCGAGGGGTAGATGTTGCGATTGCGGGTCGCGAATTTGTTGGTGGGGGGAAGAGCAGGCTTCTCGAGGAAAACCTCGCTGATCCGAACGTTGAGCCGGTTGCGTCGGGGTGCCTTGCGGCCCTCGGCGATGCGAGCCTTCTTTTGTTCAGGTGTCTCAGAATCACCGTCGAGGAAGGTCTTGGTGCCGATATCCTTCAGAGCCTCTTCCAGGGTCTTGGGGCCGTCGAAGAGCGCATTGAAAGAATCGACGTGCGGCCGGATGGAGGCGGCCAACGCTGGGTATGCGGTGTGATCGGTGGGAGGATTCCTGAAGAGCTTCTCGCGCTTCAGGGTGTCATAGTTGACAGACCAAATGGTGTCTGTCTCAGTCGCTGAGGGAGCCATGGCGCGAGATCACTGAGCAGACTGGAGTGACACCCGCAGTTCAGTCGGAGGAACAGACGAAGCCTCATCCTCGACCGACGGGGAAATTTTTCGAGGTGGATCCGACGGACAGATATCCTCACGTGCTGATAGACTGGGTGCGGGCTGCCTTGTTGCCTTGTTGCCCTAGGCATAACTACTAGGTAGACTTCTGCACAAAATCACCCTAGATGATACAGAGTATACGGCGTATTCTGCGGTGACGGCGAATGACTTCGGCATAGTGCCTTCTTGCCCTCTATTTATCTGATGCGTGGAGGAATAATAGCTACCCACTACTTAATTTGGTCACGGTGTGAAAGTAAGATTACTTACTACATTAACTATTCTACTACCTTGATTACTTTGTTAATAACTTTATATATGACTATTAATGAAAGGTCTTAATCTGCAAGTTTCTACGGTTCGCTCCTCTGCTTTCTTAGCTTATACAGATTACCAGGTATTTTTCTGAGGTAGAATATGTGACACTATATCTGTGGGTACTAAAGGTACACTTACTTTAGTTACGCCTAACTTATCTTCTCCTTCGACGCTGATTCGTTGGTCATTCGTTCCGCGTAGTTACATACTCCGGAGGATGTCATCCTATTGCAATGATCCTTTGTATAGGACAGTACTGAGGCCTGAAGGACGCCTTCCATCCACCAAGGACCAAAGTCAAGGTGACCTTGACCTGTAACCACCTTACGGATTGCTCTATACATTACTCGCTCACTCACTCAGTTAGCAATCTCTGAGCAGTTCCTGCTCACCGTGGTAACCCGGGGGACGGTGATGTGATTCTAAACCGAGTCGCTGAGATCGCGAGGCATCATAGCTTCAATCAGAAACGAGTTAGGTAGGCGAAGAGATCAACTTTTCAAGTGAATGCCTGGAGTAAATCACTTTCTCGTCTTACAATTGTTGCCCCTTCCGCCTTTAACTTGTACGATTTCCTTTTCTTCGAAAACACTTGGTATATTGTAAGCTTGGATGACACACTAGGTATTCTATTCCAACTACCCTATCAGTCACAAAGACGAGATTCAGATTATTGCGAACTGCCCTCGGAGTGTTCAGAATATGACTGAGTAAGGTGTCCAACAAGCAATGGCAGGCTCGTTGGCTGTCAAGCTCTTACTTCCATCACCTCCGCCTTGCAGTCCTCCTTCCTTACAGTCTTCTCCTCCATCTCCTTCCCCCGCCTCACGCCTGTTATCCGCTCACTCCTCTGCCTCGCATAACGACTCTTTATCCTCCGGACATGACTGTCTGAGCTCTGATTCAGATATAAGATTTCGGCGTATCCGTGTGATCATGGCCCCTGTTGTGTGTTCATTCCGAAAGCTAGTGAGACACGGCCACTACCATACCGATCTCCTCTACATCTTGCCATTGAGGTTCGGAAAAAATTCAATCCCCACCAATTATCAGAACCTAAACGAGCCTTCAACGTGATACATCACCACTTGAAGACCAATATGGCAAGGAGTTCTACCGCTGTATAGATGAGATCTTACGCGGTCGGATGCTTGTATCACCGGAATTTGCGATTAACTACGGAACTCAAAGTGGTAGTCTGGATATTTATATTTCGGATATGAATTGGGGTATTAAACTCTTGAGAGACAATGATCAGATCTCAGAGTATCTTGATCTGTTTAAACCCGGAGGACAGGACCACTGCCTCGTACAATATAACGTCATGAAAGAGTGGATTGTTCTTAATTTCACAACCAGAAGACCTTCTCAGAAACGAACAGTTACTTCATCGTGTGTCCCTACCTCTGAAACTCATCTAATATCTTCTTTAGATTACTGCGGTCGACTCTACCATGTTGTTTTCAGATCTGTTGAATTTCTTCGTGCAGACCTTGAGCTCGAATCAGCGTTTTCCTTATTGGAAAATCACTCTCATTTTCATTTGTTTCTGAATGAGGTTCCTTTGCGCGTATGAGTTACTATATTTTATCACTAATCGTCTTTGTGGTTCACAGCAGTTCTCAAGCCACCAAGTCTGGAGACAAGAAATGTACTCGCGACGGTCAGCCTGTTGAATGCGGACGCGTAGAAGATTGAATAGGTAGTATTAGTATTAATAAAACTCGATGAAAGACAAAGAAGAAACAGAGAAGCGATACGAGCACGACTTACTCTGTAGATCTATTTCCTACGCCTAAATCAGCTGCCAGAGAGTTGTCTCAGGGTCACCAAGTAAAGAGTCCCGCTACCTCGGTCAGTCAGTCACTGAAACAAACCCCTTGGTAACTTATCATCAATGCCAGTCAGATCCGGCATGTCAATTCCTCTAGCCTGACCGGAGTGGTTCTACTTATTGCGTGAGAGATGCATATATCGTCAGTCAGATGGTACTGATTTAAGTATTTTTCTCTGGTCGAGTCCTATCCGCACAAGCGGCATGGGTTAGGAAATTATATTTAGTAAGTTGCAACTCTGCATCAAGCCCAGCAGAAAGGGCAACCCGCCTTGATACTAGCCTCTTCCATGGCGTCTACGAGACCCTGAACAGCTACATCCATCGCCCTTGGATTGGTATTGTCTTTCTTCACAGTCTTCCATTACTGTCGTTCATGTCCTACTATATATGAGCTGAACCTCATCGGTTATCCTATCTCCTGAACTATCGGGTCACTCTGGTGGGACTGAGGAAGGGCGGATCGACCAGGTAGCGGAGGGTAATACCACCTGAGCTCCGAGACATTGATCAGACTTCCAGCGCTAAAGCCAAGGGTGATTCCCAACGGAGACTTCAAGAAGACCAGGAAAGGAAGGCCATAAGGTCACAGCTACGCGATGAGGATTGTGTACTACTACGGTATATACTAGGTAGAGGTACAGTACAAACGTGGATTTATTCAGTGACTTGGAACAGTAGGCGTCATAAGCTCGAGACTGAGCCATATACATCAGTTTCCGGTCTGCATGAGGCTACCTTCCCAGCTGATTCCACAGCAGCACATCCGCAATTCAGCATCAACCCTATGAGTAAAGTATAGTAAAGTCCAACGCATCAGCCCCATTGAGGTATATAGCATAGTACCATCACCGCCAACCAGCCCAAACCACCTAACTTCTTACCAGTACATACATCCTTGGAACATCGTAGATATTCCCCCCCATCTCATCTCATTCCTAGCTACTACCTGCTAGCCAGCAATCCTCAATCAAGCTCCAAAAAGACCTACTACGTACTACCTAAGTAGCACCTCAATCATCTTGAGAATAACCCCCCCCCTTCCCAACAACCCAGGAACCAACTATACCCATGAAGAATGCAATGCAATCCAGGCAAACCAGGTACACCCTCCTTAAGCACACATTCCTTCCCCCCTTCCATTCCATCCTCTCTCAACTTCATCACCAAGAATGTGAATGACGTTATTGACGAAGACATGGTCTACAATTCTACGCCCCCCCCCCCCCCCCCCCCAAAAAAGGAAACCACGGAAATCTTTTCCAGCATTTCCAGCGCCTCACATTCATGGGAATTCCAGCATACCTTGGTTTAGTCTCGCTGAGTCGAGTATAAATCAAAGACTAAGAGTGGCAGCAGATCTTGTCCGCCGCGGGAGGAACGGGCATGGCGTAGCATGGCGTAGCATACGTAGCATGGCATGGCATACATAGCATGGCATATATAGCATGGCATCGCATCGCATTGCATAGCCCGCGTCGGCAACTGCTCGGTGTTGCTTTCACTAGGGAGTAGTTCACTGACCGACCGAACCGGACGACTACAGTTTCTGGAACTACTCCGTTGCTCAGGTAAATTAAGATACGTTAGGAGTGGTGGCAGCCAAGGAAAAGGAAAGGGGGGTTGGCGGGGGCGGTTTGGAATGTGGTCACTGGTAAGTGAGGCATGATGAATGGCGCAATCAGTTACTGAAGAGCTGGTACGTAGTGTTCAATTCTGTTTTTCCAAAGAACAGCTAGGTAGCTGTAGGATCTATAAAGGATGATGCCATGGATGTCATGCCATTGGCAAAGGTACGGAGTATTGGCCGGAGACTACAATAGGTACTAGGTAAGGTAGGCACGGTTACAAGGCAGGCAGGGAGGATTGGAGCCTGAATACCGGTTGCTCAGCGGGCGGGCGTAGCATACTATGTATTATTATGGTGTAATAGTGTACAGCATAGCATAGTACCTACAGCATCACATGGTTGGGCGGCGGAGCGGATCGGTCCTCCGGTTGAGATGAATGGTATGTACTAGACCTCTGCAGGCTGCTTCATACTATAGTCAGACGCGGGACTCAGGGAGAGGACTGATATGGATTTTATGGGAGATAAGGCATAAAGAATTGGGTTGGATAGTAGAGTATAGTACTGCATCGGTATCAGATGGCGATAAGGCTTCGGTTGAGTCGGTTGGCAAGGTACTGGACCGTAGTGCAATAAGCATTGCTGTACTTGAGTTCTGGTGGTGATGCGTGTGGACAGGATCTATCTCCCCTGCAGTCCCAGGAGTACGGAGAACATATGCATTGATGGTGTATGGACATTTTTTACCCCGGAGGAGGTTTAGTTGCTGGGTAGTAATGAAGACATACAATGCTCTACAGCAACACTAGTGGTGCATGCAGCATCGTCCTCGATATGCAAACTCATACCTATCCCAAGCGAGGCATCCCTAGACAGATCCAACTCAAACTCCCTCCAGCTCCAGTGCACTGAGTTCACAAAGCCATTCACCGCGACAGGAGGGTAAGGTAACAAGCTCAATACATAACTTATACCGACAATGCAACGCTAACAGAATCCTGCCCTGATGCTTTCTGCCTGGCCAGTTACACCATGCTCGACGGTTATGCGTGGTGGTGGTGCATCATAAGCCCCCCTTGACATGATAGACATGCATCTCCACCCAGTCACACAATAAGGCGTCGTCAAGCAAGGATCATCTTAATGGTATATACAACATGCATGTTTCATTGGCACAGTGCCTGGCTGCTGGGATCACCCCCGGTGCACCCTGCAGGTGCGAAATCTGGGGTTTCTGGGGAGAAGGAGAGGGGGCCGCTGTGCCTCTTCCATGAACTACCGTCTCGGAGAATTAAACCATGCAGATGGATTGAATAGCTTAGGGTTTAGGGTCAGGGCCTACAAAGGGATACAAAGGGAGTATGCCACCCCCCCACCCCCCTCCCCCCACGGTAGGGTACGAAGGGGTGGGTGGATCGATGTTCGTGCCCTTGCGGACTTTTTCTCTCTTTCTGTCTTTCGAGGAGGGAACTGATCCATCCCTCAATTGAATCGAGCAACAAGGCAATAGACTTGCGGGTGGCGTTGGTGGTTATCTTGATCGATCTACCGATCTAAACTACGCCCCCCTCCTGCCCCTCCCGATAACTGGATGCAGCGATGATCTCGATCAATAGTTGGAAAACCATAGCCGGTGGATCCAATGAGAGGGGCAAGAGATATATAGATATACTTGCATATAGATTGTTTTAGCTTGATTATCTCGAGGAGAAGCAAGTTGGGGGGGGGCCCACGAGGATGGTAAGAAAGAAGGGGGGGGGGAAGCGGAAGGAGGGAGGACCCTGCACAACCAATAGTGGAAAACAGTATTGCACAACAATTCCCTATCAGATTTGAGTTCAATTGATTGTTCGGTAATAGGAAACCTTGATTTACTTGCATCGGAAGCAAAGACTCGACATGAGAGAGATCGGTGCATGCTCACACTCGTGGTGCCAACTTTCGACCAGAATCCCCCAAACAAGGGGCGAGTAAGTTCGGAAGGGAGGTTGCATACCTGCATAGTCGGCGCTTGTTCACATAAGCTTTCCTTAGTCTTCCGCTTGTGCATGGAAGGGTTTTCCCCTTTTCAGGAAAGCAACCAGCGCCTCCAGTTGGAGCCCGTCCAACTCCCAAGAAGCGAGGGTTGTATGTGCATACGTATAGTGAAATGGGGCCACTGGGCCCGGCTTCTTGCTGGCCCTACGGCAAGACGGGAATTTGGCAAGTCAGTTTCTCTAGCCTGGGCACTAGAAGAGGAGTCGGGCCCCGGTGGAAAACTCTAAGCCGGTTAAGAGAAGTGGGTAGGCATTGTTGGACTTCTTGGGGTACGCGTGGTCATCGGCCGAAAAGTGGCCGGAGGAACGAAGTAGACCAGTCTGGATGCCATCAAGCGACTCAAGTACGTGTGTGTAGTTACTGTGTATCAATTATTGTTGTTTGTTTTGAAGATCAACTTCCTCGATCAGATGGAGCCACCAGGATCGAGCACTGATAATCGCAGATGAAGTAAACACTTTTCCAGGTAGGCGCACTATATCGTCATCCAGGAGGGGAAGCGAACAGGGCTAAGCTTGATAGGACACGGTGGGGGAATCGTCGCATCGGGACCGATTTTCGATATTACCCTCTGACATAATATGTCATTGGGGCGCCGCAAGGATAAGAGACAAGCAAGGTGAGGATGAAGGAGTACCTAGAAGGGGAGAGAGGGGGGATGGACAGCTGGACAGATGGGCAGACAGACAGACAGACAAGACAGAAAGGGATGTGATGTCATGCCAAGATTTCGTGACAAAAGAAACCTCAGGCATCAACCGGCGTCGCGTTACGGTCGGGGATCGGGAGTACTTCCTCAGTACCATGGCTCATTGTACCCTTCCATGTTTATGTTTACATCTCAAACACGCGAAGGATAAACAAATGGGCAGCTGTACAGATCTCGTGCTGTGACAGCCAACACATACATACATTGGCATTGGCGGGGGAGAGAAAAAAAGCAATCGCGTCCACCTGCAGGAGAGGGATTCCCTTCCCCTCACTGACATCACGACTGGTCAGTGGGCGAAACCGGTTGGGAGCAGCTCCGTCCGTTTCCCCGTCACTGTAGGGAGAGTCGACGACGACATCACTCGCAATGCGCTGTAGCTAAATGAAGTTGCAGACAGTCATCATCCTGGAGCACGAGCACTAGGGTTGCATTGCTGGTCCAATCACCGCTCATATCACCCCCCGTCTAGAACAAACCAACCCCCCCCCGCACCAGCGCTTCCTACATGGTCAATTCCTGTTGACCCGCCAAGGCTGCGCGCTGGATGGAAGCTAACTAATTAGTCTGTCTTAAGTCTTACGTCTGTTGTGATTTTTGAGTGTGCCCGACGCTGGTGCTCGGTCCGCCCAGGTGTCTGGGCGGCCTGCCCGACAGATAACTGACTGATAACAGCTGCACATGGTCTTGACACCGCGGCACAGCGTTGCGAGTCAGCCACTCCTGTCTGCAACTCCACCAACATATCCGAGGTAGGAGCACTAGTTCTCTTGCACGGCTCACCATCGCGTGAATTTGCGCCCATGGCAATATCCGGCGCGGCTGGTCAGCGAATCGAACCTTAGCCACACAGCGCTGAGCTGAGCTGAGCTGACCTCTGGGCGAGGCGAGGGCTCGGAAGCCTACGGATCGATAGCTTGGCGCATCCGCCGATATTGCGCCTACCCCTCGCACCCTCAGTGGTTGCGACGCGAGGCAGGCGATCAAGGACATACCGAGTGATCATTATTGGGGGCTAGCGCTCCTGGCGGATAAGTCCGACCTTTAAGCCGCAAGTCCGGCTGGGTCACGGAGCGCCGCGATTGTGATTAGTGTTTGCGCGAGCTAGACCCTCATGAGCTCCAACGCTAAAGCGGTCGACGCGAGAAGGGATTTGCACGAGGACCGACCAGTGTCTCAGAGATGAGGGGTTTACTCCGGAGTAGGTGTGGAAAAGGATCAGAAGGTCACAGGAGAGGGGCCCAAGTGTGATTGCTGTGCATACGAGCTGACCGATCTCACCATTTGTGGCGGTGTAAATCGTAACAATCAGAGGCTAAAATCAAATCTCAATCCGGAGAGGGGCTGATTGGGCAATTGCGGGATTCCGTGCCCACGGGGTGAGAGGGAGGGGCAGCTGTTAGTCTCTGTGCCTTCATTATGACGATCTGATGCACGATTGACTGAGCCCGATCACTGTAGAAGTCGACCCAGAAGAGCGGAGAACACGAGAGCTACTTTCTTTTACCTGCCGGATCAACCGTGACCACAATAAGACGTTCAGTAGCGTCATGGTCGTGAGCCGTCCGGGCGGAAGAATTAGACTTGACGGTGACGTCGAGAGGACCTCGGGTAAGATGGGCAAGCTCGCGGCATTAGTTAGTTAATGGGGGAGAGATTGCTTAACCCCACACTAGGGAAGCGTGCTAGAGCTGGGCTATCAGACCAAGTCGCGTTCGTTCAGCTGAGAGAAAATGGGCTTGGACCGGCTCGGGGATTCTTGCTTATTATCTGCGATAATGATAAGATTTGTAAGATCAACTGGAGGAACTGAGCCGACGATAGATTAGACCACTGAACCTGGGTCTCCTGGATATCCGAGTACAGCACAGGCTCGCAGCCGATGGGCAAAACCACCCCTGATCGCATGATCGGCGGGAATGTCGAGAGTCGAGACGAGGAATTTCAGGGTATGGGCGCGTGTCTGGTGAACGGTCCACCATGCGAACAGTGCGTGGCGAGCACGGGATTTCAAGATAACTTTTTGGCGGACCACCGGGCACTCAGCCATCGTCATCTGTCGAAAGAATTTTGTTAGCCCGGCCGCTTGATCAAAGCGTCGGATGGTTCTGCACCAGGAACCCGGGCAAGGTCGACCTGGTGAACTGTATAGAGTAGATTGAAGATGTCGCTTAGGACAGTACATACCTCGAACAGCGGTATCTTATCGAATACCGTGCTACCGGAGGTAGTCGGCCAGGAAAATAGGCAGAGTTACTGCCAAAGCGAATCTACAACGTCAATCGGCTTGAAGATGCGGTCTCCCTTGAAGGGGAAAGATTCTTGTAGCTCCGTGAGAGCTATGAAGAATTGAAGAATTAAGCGCCTGGTATGTCCGGCCGACGTTCTTCCAGAGGCAGGATTGCCCGATTGGGAATAGAACCCGTTCCTTGGGGCTTCCCGACCGGACAACCATCCGCTGTACGGCGTAGAAGCGCAGGTATGAGCCATGTAGTACTCAATAGTCCCTCTAGATGTCGGTATGCAGGATCGTCACTTCTACCGAAGTACAGATTCCCCAATCTTCACCGATTCTCTTGCTTTAACCCAGTTTCTCATTGGAAGGAATGGAAGGATAAATGTGTGAAATACTCCAATCCTGAATTGTAGAGCCAAGATGAGGGAAGGAGAAGATGAAGGGGAAGAGATTAGAAGAATCTTGAAAATAAAAGAAAAAAAAAAAAAAAAAACGGTCGACACCTTACGTATGAATGACAGTATTCTGGTTTTTTCCACAGCTTCCAATTGAAGAGACTCGTTCCTGAAAAGAGACCGGCCGGACAAGCTCTTTTTTCCGACCGAGTGGACCCGGTGGAGAATCCTATCTAGTGGTAGATTCGATCGTCTCGTTTGGGGTTCATGAGAATGATGTATAAAAAAATACCCATCGAAATTCGAACGGCACACACGGGAACGAAATTTATTGATCCATTGCAAAATTTATCCTCAGGCCACATTTCGCCGTACTGGTGGGTTCGGTCAACAAAAGAGAGAAAAGCCCTCTCTATCCCCTTCTCTAGTTAATCGATTTTTTGAGTCTAGCTAGGGGTAGTGGATATTCAGACCATACTCCGTAGAGCCTCCTCCAGACACGCAGAGGTGATAGACGACCCTGGGCTGAGTTCAACCAGGAGAAATGAAGCAACGTGAACTAAAAAGTAGAACCCCCATAACTACTAGCACCTTGTCCTACTTCTCGTACTTTCGAACATGCCAGAGCGACAGGATGATCCCTGAAACGGGCAACTGGTCACTGGTCAGATTCAAGACTGCTTGCTGGGCAAACGTCAAACATGGACAACGGTTTCTACAGCAATTAGCAGTGCGACTGTTACACAGGTGAAACCTGTCAGAAAAGATTGAGAATACAGCGGGGAGGGCGGACCCAGTGACCCAGCGGTGTTAGTCATGGAAAGAAAAGAAGGCGAAAAGAAAAAGAAAAGAAAGTCCAGTACTCCGTACAGTAATATTCTTTTCTGGTGATGAGACAGGCACGATCCATGCATCAGCCAGCCAAAAGGGAGCGTAAGGACGCTGATAGGCGGGGGGTTGCTGAGCAGCGGCTAGCGTTTATAATGGCGGCAAGGGAGTCCCGGCAACGAGGATACTTACGGAGTACTACTGACTTACTGCCTATACTAAGTAGGTAGTAAGTGGTAGTGGTAAGTACTGTACGGGTACCTACCGGACTCACTTTCTTACTTTACTATACATACATCTCTGTACTGTACGAGTACATAACCTAATTCCCTCCAGTTCCGGTCGGCTTTTGCTCCAGATGGAGAAATCTCTGCTCTGCATGAAGAAGGGGAAAAAAAAAAAAGGCAAAGTGCAAAATGCAGAATGCATCAATTGATCGGATGGGTCTTCCTTTTTGCCCGAAAGTGGTACCTACAGGTGTCAGGTCAGTAGTATGAAGTCAAATGCTAGAAGCCTTGAAGCATTGAGAGAAAAGAAAGGATGGGGAATCATCTTCTCCCCACAGCAGGGCAAGGGGAAACTAGTTTTCTGGAAAGGATGAACAGCAAGACTAAGTAAAGAGAGACTAAGTTACAGAGTAAAAAGCACTGGAATCAAGGCCTGAGGCCCTATGCGGTCATGGCCTGGTTCTGGTTCTTCTCTCATCCACTTCGTCTTCCACTTCTTTTTCTTGGTTCAATAATGAATTGCTAACTACTTACTTACCTACCTAGTAACTAAATAGTCAAAGAATGAATTAATGACTTACTTATTACTACTTATTACTTATTACTTACTTATACTTCAAAAGTTACTCCGTACGTACCTCTCAGTTAGTGACTGGTTTCTGACACAACCAAAAAAGACCCAAACCCAGCCCAGTAGGCACTAAACCCATCGTCGCTTAAGCTCTTCTCGAGTATCTGGAGATCCCTCCCCACTTTTGCGTTGCCATTGCAACAAGGGCATCCCTTCAGCTTCACTTTCTCCATTGTCTTTTTTCCCTTCTCCTTCTTCTTTTCTTCTCCTCCTCCTCCTCTTCTTCCTCCATAGACAGCTCTGTTTCTTCATAAGAGCGTCTTCCCGTCCGTTGCAATCCCATGCCCCAGGCCGTGAGCTATCTTCAACTCCGATCCCGTCTTCAGCCCTCGTCTCTTCGGTAACCTTACCCTCCCAGTGCATTAGCGTACCATATCTATGCTGCCAATCCCTTTCCCCTCTCCTCCAATCTCCCTCCCCTGCTGGTACGCTCTCCAAGGACGACTCCTTTGCTGACTCGACCCTCTGTTGTATATTTAGCCCTTCCTCCCGTCCGGCGTACTTCCTGTTCCAGCCTATATCCCATCCGAAAGTACCTTGAGATCTAGTTCCCCGTCAGCCAGCCATGTCACTTTGAACCCTTGGCAAACCGTTCGTGAGAGAAAAGTCTGGGTACAGGCGGGTTAGCTGAAGACCATACACGCCCGGTGCCACACGTTGAGAGGTTGGAATTCACTTTGACAGTGGAGAAACGAAGGAGAACAAAAGGAGCTGCTGGGTGGTGGTCAATCTAGATCGGCTGCCTGTGTCCCGCATTTGCCGTGCATTGCATACAAGGGAGAGAGAAGCAGACGCTCGCCGCCCTGTGACGACTACTGGTGATCGACTTGGAGCCAATCTGCGGGCTTGAATGATCGGCAAGGAAGAAGGAGTCTGGCCCACCGACAATGGAACACTCGTCCCCGTTGGCTGCGATGCAGCCGCCGTCTGTGATGTTCGGCCATTGCTTTCGTCCCGATGCCTCGACCTCCTATACTTCGTTTAGTCCCATGGCCGGACTGGCGCACAACAGCTTCAACTTCAAAGAACTGTCCATGAAGAAGGCCCATGGAGACTACTTCAATGTGAAACCTGTGCGGGGCTCGTCACCAACCGCGAGTCTTGCAGCCGACTTATCCCAGAATTTTCACATTGATCAAAGGTCTGTTACATACCGTGGATCTCCTTTGTTCAGCCATATGGCTGGTGAATAAAGGGCCCGCTGACCAAAATTAGCCCGCAATTGGCAACGCCCCGACGGTCTTTGTTCTCGTCGAGCCTCCTGGGAAAAGCCAATCGGTGTGGTATGGGAGAGCTCCTGCTTCTATTCTAAAAAAAAAACTGCTGGCTGACACTCGATTGTTTAGAGTCAATGACCACACCTCCGCTTCCCTCCTCGCCGGCTCCTACAATGGACGCTATGGAAATGTCTCCCTTGCCGCACAAGCCGGCGTTCAGCCTGGTCAAGGAAGTCGAGCTGGAATCACCCTCTCTTGATCACTCGATGGACACACCTATGATCTCCGCCGGCCCGAGTCCACTGGAAGAGTCGCCGCTGGTGAACTCGAAGGACGGCCAACAAGAGTAAGAGAGGCAGCCCGGGTGGAGTCATTGGAGGCCGACATGGATCTAATCACACGGTTATCTGTAGGAGAAAGCGTCCGACATTCTTACGGCCCAGCCTAGCACGGAGCAAAGCCCAGAGTTTCCAGCTTGGAATGAACAAGCCGGCCCCGGAGTCTCAACCACCTCCCTTCAAGTTCCAGAGCCGGGGAAATAGGACGACCCTTGGCGCATCTGCCACGTTGGAGGACATGTTCTGCGAGTCATCGCCTCAGAGGGAGCGTCCGTCGCTCAAGAATAACTCCACCGGCAATTTGTTGTGCGGCGCTCGTTTGAAGCCACCGTTTGGAAGTAGCACCAGCCACGCCCGTGGAAATGGGTCCCCCTCCGCGGCGTCGGTCCGCAAGAATGCACACCCCACCATGCGCCCGCGTAAGCAGTGCAGACGTTCGTTGAGCATGTTTGAGCATCCCGAGGATGTAGTCGAAAACGAGGCCACTCTAATTACAAATGCACCACTCCCGTCGATCATCGACATTGAAGGATCCCCCAGCCTGCAGCTTCCTCACGTCTTTTCGGAGGACCAGGCAGATACGTTGCCTCGTATCGACAAGAGCATTCTCGTAGAGCTCATGGATGGAAAATACAACGATCGTTTCGATAACGTTATGATTATTGACTGCCGCTTTGAGTATGAGTACGAGGGCGGCCACATCACGGGGGCCGTCAACTACAACGACAAGGACCACCTGGCAGCCGAACTCTTCGCCTCTCCCAAGCCGCGGACGGCCTTGATCCTCCATTGCGAGTACTCGGCCCATCGAGCCCCGATTATGGCCAAGTACATTCGTTGCCAGGATCGCGCATTCAACGCCGACCACTACCCGCTACTCACCTACCCGGACCTGTACGTGCTGGATGGTGGCTACAGTTCCTTCTTCTCCGAGCATCGATCACTGTGCTTCCCGCAGAACTATGTCGAGATGTCCGCCAAGGAGCACGAATTTGCATGTGAGCGAGGCCTTGGTAAGGTCAAGCAACGGTCCAAGTTGAACCGTGCTCACACTTTTGCCTTTGGAGAGAGCTCGCCTCAGATGGAAGACAGCCCCACTGGGCGGTGTCGCAACGGGCCCGGCGAGCGCAACCGGTTCCTGGCCTCTCCGTTTGCCGAGAGCCCGGCATCGAGCCGACTTTCGGGCCGACGCATGCTTTCATACTGAACTAACGAAACCTGGTGCAACATACCGCGCCACGCAATGATGTTATGACTGACTTGGGACAAACCATGCTGCGACCACTGGATCGCTTTCATCTGCCCTTGGTCCTTTCCTTTTGCCTCTCAGCATACCCAAAATGGCCAGTGCAGGTCAATTGGCTGAATAAGTGCATTTGCGAGTTTTGGCGCACGCGGTTACATCCTTGGGCTCTGGAGGTGAACGCATCGATTCTTTGGATGTGGCGTTCTACCGACACCCCGTTCCGCTCATTTTGATTCTCGGTTTTTTCCTACCTATGCCTTGGGATGTGGTGAAGAAAGAGGACGACACGAAATTTGGCAGTTTGCTTTTGGGTGGGTTTTGACGACCCGAAATGATGATTCCGACGTGGAACACGACCCAGAACACCACAACCACGATCGATGTTGAACCGACATGACATCCCTTTTCACCGCCCACTCCCTTGGGACCTTTCCTATGTCTTTTTTGAACGAGGCCCTCTGGATGATGCGTCATGCCATCCATGGAAGCACCTCACCGATGATACCTCGCCGTCCGGCAATTTCCTTTCCCAGGCCTTTCCTATTTTCTTTACGTCTTTAATCATCCTCCCGGTTTCCTGTACAATCCGAGGGAGTGCGCACTGCTCGCCGTACGAAGTATATATCGATGTACGGCTCGTCTAGTTAGACGATAATTTTGTGTGCAACGGCCGCGTCGCACGGCGCTGACTTGTGGGTCAGACTAAAATGATGACTGAGGTCGTGCGCAGCTGTACATAGATGAGATTGGTCGGCTTTGGCCGTCTGTAATGGGGGGTGAAGATTAGAGACAGATTTCCTATGTTGGAATGAAAGACGACTTTTGTTTTGATTGAGATAAAAGTAAATGAAGGTGGTGTGTAGTCACGCGTATAGTACTTTGTGTACTCAGTACTCAGTAATATTTATGGGAGTTCAGCGGAAACCACCAGCCTGAGGCACCGAAAGCGGGGCGGTGATCTCTTGAGTCGGAGATTCCGCCTCCGCTCCGCTCCTCTCTCTCTCTCTCTCTTTTGTCGTTCATTTTGAGGTCGTCACGCACGCAAGCATATTTACCCTTCAGTGCATGACTTTTCTTGAATATGGACATTGACGACATTCTCGCCTCGGTCGATCGCCACGACCCTTCCACTCCGGAGTCCACCGCGCTGGACCACCAACTGCTCACGCGGTTCTGGGTCGCCGAGCGCGGTATATCGGAGCTGCTTCCCTGGCCGGGGGCATTAATGGACCGCATGATGGAGCGAGTTCGACGACAAGTACGCCTCCTCCCTAGCACACAAATCCAGCTCCCTTTCTACCCCATCTGCCCCAGAACATACCTCTCCCCCTCGCAATGCAATAACTAACCAACCCCGGAAAGATCGAAACAATCGAAGACCTCGCCGCCGCCGCCTCCTCCGACCCATACACCGACCCAACCACCACCACCACCACCACCAACCCTACGAGAAACACGCACCAAGCAACCGCAAACCTCACCCTCTCAATCCTCCAAACCGACCTCTCCCGCACCCAATACCTCCTCCGCAGTCTACTGCGACAACGTCTCTCAAAACTCACACAACACAGCATGCACTACCTCCTCCTCCTCAGCGCCCCGTCCCCCAACACCAGCCAATCGCAATCGCAATCGCAACCCCAAAACGACGACCTGAAACCCGAAGACACAATTCCCACCCCCGACACCACCGGCCCGAATCCCCCGCTCAGCGCGCCAGAGGTACAGTTCCTGCATGCCCACCAGCTCCTGCTCGCCAAGCACTACGGGGATGCGTTTCTGGGGTCCTTCCCCCCGCAGCTCCGGCGGTTGGATGATAATGCCGGCGGGACGAGTATGGTGCAGGGGCCGGATGCGAAAGAGGTGGTGTTTGTGCGGTGTCTGGTGGAGGAGGTGAGGGTGGTGGTACCGCCGGGGGATGGGGTTGAGGAGGAGGTGCTGGGGGGGACGGCGATGCGGATGGGGGATGTTTGGGCGGTTAGGTGGGAAGGGGTGAGGGGGGCGTGGGGGAGGGGGGAGGTTGAGGTTCTCTAGTCTCTTTCTTCTCTCTCTTTCCCTAGGGTTGAGGATGGACATGGCTCATCGAACTGGGGTTGTTTTTCTGGTAGAAGGCCCGGTCTTGTGTCTGATTGTTCTCCCAGGTGGAATGTTCATGCATGGTGGCGTTTTTTCCAAGTTAGGTTACTTGCTTTTCTTGATTTTCTTATGATACCTACTACCTACACACACTTATGCATATCAACCTTTATTTACCTATGCTTATGCCTACTACTACACAATTATAGCAAAATCATGTTGTAAAAAAAAAAAAAGAACATAGGCTCAGGCCAACCTATACGGAGTATGCATTCAGAGAACCCGTCTCCGGAAATGCCCCCCCACAATATCTATAACAAACACACCAACCTTGCGCCTCAACGCTAAGCTCATGTTCCCGGCCCCAAACGCTCAAGCAATAAAATCCAAAGCGACGAAGACTAAGCGACAATATCATGCAACGTATCCATACGTGGGAGGATCTTCCTCGATTCGCTCCAGATACTCCCGGTCAATCAGACTCTCGATGCGCTTCTTGATCATGTTGACATCCGGCACGAACCGTGCGGAGAGTTGACTTAGGACCTCGGTCATCAGCTTGGAATGGGTAAGGGATTTGCGTTGCCTAGCACAATGATTGATGATTAGTAGCGGTCACTCCGATAACAAGTCCAAGAGCACTTACTTCATGATGCGAACAATCGCGGCCTCAATACTGGCACCACGCTCTTCACTCATCTTCTTCTCCGTCTCCTTCCGCTGATCCTGGTTTTCCACCTTGTTGGCGCTTCCGCTGACGACGCCAATGCGGACCTTCAGGAATTGGCTCTGGAAGTCGTGGTTGAAGAAGAACTTGTCCGTAGGCTTGACGTCGCGACTCATGGGATCTTTGCGCAGGACTCGTGTCTTCGGCGCGACGGCAAGCGATTGCAGGTTGCGAATGAGGTCGTGATCCGGGATCCGGGTCTGCTCCTTGATCTCTGTGTACGTCAAAGACTCGCCCGTGGCCACCTCGTTGAACAATAGTAAGATGACCATGGCATAAGTCGAAACGTTGAGCTCGTGCTTCTGAATCTTCCCGTTAGACCGCGCAAACTCCAGCCGGATATCGGCCGTGCCCATGGTGGGCTGCCACGAGAGCTTGCGTCCGCTGTGTTTGCCCAGGTAGTACTGTTCGAAGCTCTGTTTGACGCCCTCCACTTCCTTCGGGTAGATGCAAGACAACTGCACGTCATCGCGCGTCGCACTGGCCATGATCTCCATGGGCCACATCGTGCTAGTGAGGACGTTGATGTCCAAGTCGATCCGCTTCGTATCAGGGTCTCCGGTCTTCTTGACATGCTCCTTATAGCTGGCCGTAAGATCCTCCGAGATGGTCATGTCCTTGAACATCGCCTCCAACCGCTGCGTAAATTGATTTCCGACCTCCATCTTCATTTTCGAGATCATCTGACGTTCCGCGTCCATGCTTACGGAGCGTTTCATGAGAAGACGACGGGAGAGGTGTTTCTTGTAGTACGCCTCGAACATGTCTTTGTCCTTGACGTAGCGAAGGAGCGTGATGCCGTTGTCCAGCAAAGAGTCGACCTCTGTTTCTGTCTTCCCCTTGATACCCTTCTTCAGATTCTCGTCAAAGAACAAGGACAGGTACTCTGAGCTGCGCGACTCGGAATTGATGAAGTCCGAGAAACTCGTCGTGATCGCACTCTGCATGACATGATCCGATTGGAACGAGGTCTCCCAGATGCTATCGAACTTCTTCTTCAAGCCAAGAATGTCGTCCACCCATTTGATAGCGGCAGCAGTCTGCTGATTGACCGGTTTCTCTTTCTCGGCCGGCCTTTTCGCCGCTTCGCTCTTGTCTGTCGAGGTCTTCTTCGGCGCGGGGATCGCTGCCGGTGTCTGTGCCAATGCAACTGCCCCCGCATTGATTTCCTTACCCATCTCCACAATGCGCTTCTGCACCGCGGCGGTAAGGGGAGTCTTCTTCGGGTCAACTCGTGCGCTCAGCACATAGATACTCCGCAGGTTATCCAAGCGATCGTTGTCGAGCATCTGCCGGACCCCTGTGCCTTCCAAGTTCACAACCTCGCTGATGTTACTCGCGATCAATTCTTTATCCAGCACCTCCTTGATCTTAGACTCCGTCGATGAGGAGAGAGTATAGGTGCACCGCTCCGTCTCCTCGGCGAGACGGTCTGTGGCGACCTTGCAGAACGTCGCAGCATCCCCCGTCTCCAGCAAGCGCCGTCCCTCAGCCTGGTAAAACTTCTTGCTCGCATCCAGGAACGCCGGCTCGAAGATGGTCAGGTAAAGCTTGGACGACTCTTCCTCGTTGCTTGACTCGTACAGTCCTTCCAGCATGTAGACGCAATGGCGAATCAAAACGCGGTCGATGATCTGCCCGGAGCGTTCAAGCTGGATCATGAACAGGATGGTCGACTCCAGCACATCCACCACCTTCGTCTTCGAGTCCGATCGAATCGGCGACTGTAGAACATGTTCGCGGAACAAAGCCATGGCTGCCGCGTAGATCGACGGCTTTCGATGATCGGTCGACATGAATCGGTCCTATGCAACCACGGATAAGTCAGTCTCAGTGCGACTCGGGTCCCAACTTCAATGGTCACATACCATATACATAAGCACGTCCGTGATCATACCCATGCACAGCTGATGATCCTCAAAGGCCTCCCGCATCGCCGCCAGGAACCTCTCGCCGGCTTCCCGACGCTCATTTGCCTGCTCCTGCACCTCGGCCAGCTCCTTCGCGAGTAAGAGGCTCGAGGAGATCGCCGCCGTGACCCGGGTCTTGACCTCCGCGTCCAGCCATTCCTGCTCCAATTTCTTGATCCGCTCGTAGAGATCCTCCCCGCGCGCCATCAACACGATGTTATAAGAGTTCCGGTAGAGCTGCTCGAAGGAAAGATTGGAGGCATCTCTGGTGTGGATCTTCTTCAATGAGGTCGACAGATCGGCCCAATTAGTCTCGAAATCGTCGGTTTTGCTGGCGGGGATACCCTGTGAAGTTCGCGTCAGCTAATCTGCACCATTTCGGTCCTAGGATTTATTTTTGGTGGTGGGAAGCGAAGTCGGTCGTCGGTTGCCACTCTCTACTGCCACCGGGCGGTTGTTCCGCTTAGAAGACCACGAAGACAGTAAAACGTAATTAAGATAAAATGAAGATAGAGCCAAAAATACAATAAAACAAAAATAAAATAAATAACTCACCCTGCGCGGCGCGCGAATCCGTTGCCTCGCTCTCATACTCATCCTGAATCACCCAAAATAGCCTGGGGTGGAGGTTTTGCATGCGCGGGGCAAGAAGCTCACGACGGGGAGACGGGCGGAATCGAGAAGGAAGTGTACAGTATGTACTGTGTAGGCGAACCAGTGGCCACGAGGAGAATCAGCCAAATCTAAGAGACAATAAGAATTATCGGAATGCAAAGATACGCTGAAGCGATATTACCACATGAAGACCATAATCGAGTCTAGTTAATAAGTTGATAAGTTACTCTCTCTCTCACTCGTAGGTTTAGTAGAAAACGTGCAGGCGGAGGCGAGAGGCCCGCGGAGGAAATGGCCTGGAAGAACTTATCTCCGGACGTAAACTCCGGCCCTCAACTCCGTCATTTTATTTGACAATCCATCCATTCATTCCCCTTCACTCGAAGATCTTGAAATTCCCCAGCCGGCTTCAACCTTCAACTGTACTCAAAACCACGCCCGCCAGAGCTGAAAAGCATCAGATCCCAACCCCTTTCCCCACTTCCCTTCCACAATGCGCTCAATTCAATCTCTCTCGCACGGCCTGCGAGCCCTCACCACTCCACGCGCTCTTCTTCCCTCCCGCGCACCGACCATCATCGCACCCTTAGCATCATCCCGCACCCTCTCCCACCTCGTCTCCCCCCTTCCACGCGGAGTAGCCACCAGAACTCCCAGAAACACCGCAAAGTTCCCATCCAGCCGTTACTACGAATCTACCACCACCACCTCCTCCTCCGCCAGCACCGACAACAACAATCTCACCGACCGCCGCACCGACGCCGCCACCGACGCCGCGCACGCAGAGCAGAACCGCCTCCGTCGCGAGCAGGAACCCGCCTACCAGATCACCTTCACCTGCAAGCCCTGCGGCGAGCGCTCCACGCACCGCATGTCCAAGCACGGCTACCACCGCGGCACGGTGCTCATCCAGTGCCCCTCGTGCAGCAACCGGCACGTCATCGCCGACCACCTGAAGATCTTTTTCGATCAGAACAGCACGCTGGAGGATATCTTGGCGAGACAGGGCGATAAGCTGATGCGGGGTTACACCGATGGGGATATGGAGTTTTGGGAGAATGGGGAGGTGACGGAGAAGAAGAAGAAGGAACAAAATGATGCGGAGGCTCCGGCGCAGCAGGGACGACTTTCTTGAACTCCTTGTGGGGGGATTTCTTAGGATGTGTGTGGGTTTGGTGTGCGATCGACCGTGGAAAAGAGATGAGTTAAGTGGGTTGGTTGGATTGGCTTTCGCAAAGTACTAGGTATTCAAGCGGAGATTTGTATAAAGCGTGGTGCTAGAGGCGTTTTTTGTTTGGGGGGTTGTCTGTTTCACTGTGAATAAGACTCTTGTATAGATAGACACTACTAACATGACTCTACTCTAAAGATATAATTGGGGCTGGATTCTGGATCATGTGAAGGTCGGACCTGAGGTGAAGTTCGAAGTAAAAGACAAAATAATAATCATTGGCTGTGATGTTTGTCATATACTGGAATGATGGAATGATAAATCTCCTATGATCCCTCTAACGCCGGGACTTTTGATATGGCTGCTCCGGGAAGTAGAAAAACAATTGCTTCATCATGTAAGAGAGACATCCTCCCCCCTACCAACCACGTCTCTTGCCGCGGTGCTCCGCCCCCCTCTCCTTGCGCTTCTCGCGCTTGCGATCGTTTCTCCTCCTCTTGTCTTTCTCCCATCGCTCGGGCTCGGCCACCGCTTCAATCCGTCGCTTGACGCGGCGGCCTTCACGCCGCTCCTTGATCGCGTCTTGGACTAGTCCCATCTGTTTCACAAACTCAGTAGTGCCGAGCTTCTTCTGCAGGATGTCGAGTACTTCGTGGCAGTTCGAGACGAGCGATTTGTAGGACTCGCGGAACACTTCGTCGGAGGAGCGAGGCGCCGGAATCGTGTTGTCCGTCATATGCTGGAGAGGGAGCATGATCACAGGCAGAGACTCGCTGATCTGGTCCACCTCGAGGTGTCGGCACAAAGAAGCCAGAAGGCCGATGGCAGCGATCTTGGGCACCAGGGATTCTGCCCGGGTGGTGATGAGTTCTCGCCGCAGAATGGACGATGTCTGCTCGAAGATATACCGAATGGCGGGCTTCGACGAGGGAGACGACTGCTTAGCGCCCGCCTGCCCCTCCTCGTCGTCGTTCTCGCTGTCACTGGCGTCCAGCTCGGCGTCCTTGCCGTTGGCCCTGGTGAACTCCAGGCCGTTTTGAGCACAGCATCGGCCCAGGAAGATGAGATTGCGCACGGATTGCATGGCAAGCTCCTCGCTCACTGCTGGGGTGTGGAGACAGCGCAGACTGGCCCGGATCAATTGCAACATGGCGTCTTTGTCGAGAGACAGCCCCGCGGATCCAGCCAGCGGGATGGAAGCGTAGCCTTTCGTGGCGTTGGTGCGTGCCAGGTCTGCAAACCAGGTGCCGATTAGATTCGTCGCGCAAGTCTTGACCCAGGCGTGAGTGTAGAAGAGACTCTCGCGGACAGCAGCCCAAATGGGCGCACGCTCTGGGGAGAGCGTCATGGTAGGGACGGTCTTGCACAGTTTTGAGAACAGTTGGAGAGCATAGTACAGGGTCTGCCAGTTCTCATTGTCGTCAGCCTTGAGAACTGGCTGCATGATGGAGGGCAGGATATCCAAAATGAATCGAGCCTCCTTGTCCTTCTCCGTCGCCTCGGCTTCGAAGTATATCCTCATGGCCTGAAGACCAGTGCTGTTCAAAAGTAAGTTGTCCGTCTGCTCCAGCCAATAGTGCAGAGGCGTAAGCATGGTCTTCATCTGTTCCCTGTCAGCTCTGGAGTAGAGCTCTCCTAGCAAAGCACCGGCCATTTCCCTGCACTCAGGCGCATCGTCGTTTGACATTACAATAACAATCGGGAGGAAGAAGGTGCTGACGATGTCTTGAGCCAGTTCGTCGCCCGTCTTGGACAGGAGCATGTGAATGGCTTCCATGACGGATTGACGTCCGTCTTGGTGTTTGTACTCCAGGTTCTTTGCCAGGAAGCTAAGCTGTTTGGTCCATCTGTTCTTGGCCTGAGGATACTCGATCAAAAAGTGGATGTACGTGCCCCGTGCTAGATCACGAGCGGCGCGGGTCTGGTTGGTGACCATCATCGTAGCGATGCTATCAGCCAACTCATACATTTCAGCCACGACGAATTTGCGAGACATCACTGCACGAATGAAGTTGAAGGTCACGCCTTGACGGTCAGGCTCCTCAATGTCCGAGGTCAGACGTTGGAGGAGATAGGCAAGGTGGCCGTCCCTGATCTTCGTGCTTTTCCGCTCTCGCAGCATAGCCGAAATAAGCTTCAGAGACGCTTGCGCAGCTTCGGTGTTGGTACTCGGTGCTTCTTTGACGACCTTGACAGCCTCAGTGATATACACATGATGATTGGCGTCAATTTCTGGGAGGGGAAGCTTGATGATTGTTGACAACAGGCGCAGGGCCGAAGTCTTGACTTCCTCGTGAGACTGGACAAGTGAATCACCGATGATGGGGATGAATCCTGCCAGGTTCCCGGGCGTAAGCAAGGAACTGTACTTGTTCAGGACAGATCGGAGAATGTCGAGGGAGAAACGTGTTAACTTGTAGAGGTAAGACGTCGTGCTCCCCTTCTTGTCGCTTCGCTTGTGGAACTTGAGGTCAATCAACAAATTCTCCTCCTGAGGTGTCTTAGCAGCCTTGCTCTCGGCTTGAGTCGGTCCTTTATACGTCTCCTTGATGATCTCGTAGCAGAACATCAGGATGTCGCGACTTTCCACACCAGGGTTCCTGAGAAGACCCACGCCAATTCGTCGCAGTAGCTCGTCAACTTTCCGAACAATATTGGAGTTGAGCTTCTCCAGGAGAAGCGACTGCAGAGGTCGGAGCAGCCTAGCAAGGTTGGGAACAGTAGCATTCTTCGCCAGTAGTTCCATCGAGTCGTAACTCTTGCTGCTTTTGACTTCTGTCATTTTGCTCACATACTCTTCCGCTTCCTTTTCTTGGCCTACGGCGCCAAACGTGTCGTCCATAATGACAGCACTCAGGTCTGTCAGGCAATCATCAAGGTCGCCCTGCTTATACTCGTCGGTTGTAGCAACGAGTATGGAGTGAACCGTGAAGGAGAGCACGTGACGCTGATAACCCTTGGTCAAAGTGGTACGCAACTCCTTTAGAATGTAAGCGAAGTAGCCCGGACCCAACAAGAGAGCGATCTCGTTGAGTGTTTTCCTAGCAGAATCCCGCGAATCCTGAGCTTTGCTCTTGAGAATACTGCAAACATCGAGAAGTACCGGAGGCAGACGAATAGCCATGTCTTCCTCAGGCAACAACTTCAGTAGCTTTATGGTCGTGACCGCTGCTGGCAAGCGGAGACTCATCTGCGCTTCATCCTTGTGATGGATGAAGCTGGTCAGTTGAGGAATGAAATTGGTGGTAAGCTCAGTCGCCACCTTTGCTGGCGATGGGATTGTTCGAGCAAGCGTAGAGATAGGTTTCGACGTCTCGAGGCCATCCATGCCACTCTGCGCTGCTTCCTTGATGGACCTATATTGGGCCATCGCATTGGCTAAGGAATCAGACATCTTGCCCAAGAGTCTTAGAATGCTCTTCTCGATCTCGGACTTGCTTTGCATGTACGCGCGGTATCTCCGGAAAATGGCACGGAACTGGCTCCACTCCAACCATTCTGCAAGAGTGCCGATGGTATTCACGGCCTCTGCAATCAGGTTGTGAGCGGCCTCGTCGGCTTCTTCATCGAAGGCAAAGTGTTCGTTGAGAGGAATGAAGATGGTGCTAATATTCGAGGCATGGAGCTGGCCATTAGCCGCTTCGCTTGCGAGACGGCGCAGGGCACGCAGACGACGATGTTGCTGAATGTGTAGCACGTTGTTGAAGAAGGAAGCTTCTTCGTCATCGCCCACTAGCAGTACGTGCATGTCCTTCACGTTGGGCCGCTCGGGGTTCAACTTGACGAAATAGCCGAGTGCAGACACAAACTCAGAACGGATGAGCTCCGATTTCTGGCGGACACCGGCCTGCAAAGCAGGAAACAGAATATCTGCCACAAGTATCTCCATCTCCTCTTTGTCGTCAGGAAGAATTGCCCGTTCCATGAACCTCTTCAAGCCAAACGCAGCACTAGATCTAATTGAGAGTTCTTCTTCGTCTTTGACTGAATACAAGACGTTGTAGAGCAGAGGGCGCCACTGCTTAGCATCAAGCTTGTCCCACAACTTTTCGTTGATTTCCCTGAAAGCTTGCAGTCGGCGCTCGTAGTCAACTTCCAGCTTCTTCATCGCGATGGAGTTCAAGTCTTCGCAAAGACTAGCGGCCTTAGTCAGATGCGAGTCGTGGGCAGCAAATGCCGTAAAGACCCTAGCTAGCACCTCTCTATTCGCATCATCGCGGAAATAGTCGAAAAGAGAAGAAATAGCCTCGAACACCGCTTTGGTGAGCTCCGCGTCCTCCTGGTGGTTGAACAAGGGTAGGAAATGCTCCAAAGAGCGCAGGAGGCCAGACTTCGTTTTAGGCGAGACTCGGTCAGGAGGCTGGCGGAGAAGATAGGTAGTGATGCTGATGAGGCTGTAGGTCTCCTTGGAGGATTCAACACAAGGCGAGATGAGGGAAAGAGTTTGGACACCCGAGACGAGCAGTGGACGAGATGGGCCACGTTTCAGGAGCTGAGCCAAGTGAGACAGAGTATGTTCAATATACGGACCCAATACCTGGGACTTGATTTCGTCCGCAGGAATGTCGCTCATGGTTTCGTTTTCCTGGAGCGCCTTTCCGGTGGCCAGACTGACAAGAGGATTCAAAACCTCGTCCATGACGAAGACCTTAACCTCGTCCCGTGCAGACTCGACGCCAAGAACATCCACTACCTTGGTCAAAAGGCTGTCGTTGAACTTGGTTAGATAGAACGCCGATCTTGGGGAAGTAGCCCAGGTATGGAAAAGCTTGAGAAGACCAGAAACACCCTGAGCGGTCTCAATCGCGAAACTTTCTAGTCTTGGGTTGATCACCTCGTCAAAGATTAGGCGAACGTAGGATGACCAGTCGAAATCGAGAGAAATCGCAAAGATAAGGTCGAGGCAGCGTATGCATGTGTAGCGGATGTTACGAAGCACGGCCAGCTGGTGTTCTTGCGGCGCTTCTGCGGCCGTTGCTGTGCTCTCTTTTCCAAGCTCTCGACATGCGCGCACGAGACAATAGAGCACCACGTTCATAGATTTCTCTGCGTAAGGGATCATTCGGCTTTGAAGCGTTTCGAAAACAGTCTCAATCATCTTTAACAAACCCGTTTGTTTTCTCGGACTGGCAAGAGACTGCTCGAAAGCTTGCTGGTCAATTTGGCCATCGCGGACAAGATTGACATTGCTTAGCGGACCGAATGAGACTTGCATGAAGACCCCAAACTCCATGTCAGGTAGCTGTGACAAGGTTCGCAGGATCGCTTTTCTCCGTCCCGTTTGTCCTGCCTGGCTAGAGGTTGCACCGGCCTTGGAAATCATACGGCCGTACAGTACGCGGAGGAGAACAGGGACAAGCTCTGGCCGGTGTGCTTCTTCGATCAAACTGTCTTCGCCACCAACGCGGACGAAGACGGACAGCTCATCTCTGAAGCGGTTCTCATCCATGATATTCATAAGATTTTCTTGGTAAGGGACAATGCTAGGCGACTTCCACGTGAAGAGAGCTTTCAGTGTACACTTCTGAATGTCAGAGTTACCATGGCAGAGTAGTCCCAGAAGAGCATCGTGGATTTCAGGAGCTTTGTAGAGAACACGAGGATTGACGAATTGACCCAGAAGCCTGAGGAACGCCAGACGATCAAGGAAACCCCAGGGGATGAAGTCTTCGTCGGACGGACTTTCGTCGTCGTCGCGTGAAGCCCACTGGAGAAACAGAGGCGCGATTTGGCGGAAACGTTTCTCTGCAATATTGGGGACCGCGTTGAGAACACGCAGAGCATGAGTCCGAGGAGAAGCTGGAAGTGCATCTGTGAAAGCATGGTCTTTGCTATAATCATCATCTAGCATGGAATCGGGTTGCTCAGGACCTTGGAAATATTTGGCGGATATGTCTTCAATCTTAGCTGCGTTGAAGCACTGGAAATATCCAGAGCGGTAGTCAGGGGTTTCTTCCTCTTGATCAGCTGCGCCCGCATCAACAGAGCCCCGTTCAAGGAGCCAGTTCATGGCAAGATCTGAGATGATCTTTTCTCCCTCAGATTGCTCGCACATTGTTTTCAGGGCCTCCGCAGAGTCGTCCCACAAAGGTGTCATCTTTTTGGAAAAAAGTCCAAAGCAGAAATTGGGGATTAATCTTGCCATCCATCTCCGAGACACCACCTGTGGGTAAGCTATCGCAAGCTTACGCACTTGCATTGCCAGGACTCTGTGGCTATGAAGGGTCAATGGACTCTCTTCGATTTCAATGGCCGTGGAAATCAACTCAGCATCGTCGCCCAACGCTTGAACAAGTTCTCGCAATATCTTCAGAGACAATAACCTAATTTTCTGAGACGGTCCATTCAGGTTTGTAATGAGCACGTCAGCGAATTCTTCCAGAGTCGGACTCTCGAGATCCAGCTCCCCCTTCAATGTCGAAATGTAAGCTAACGTTGCTTCGAGGAACACCGGAAGACGAGCGTATGTGACGGCTACGGCACTGATCTGGTTCCAGAGAGAGCGATCGAGTTCCTCGGATGGCGATTGCGAGGCAAGCTCGACATATGCCTTGAAGCCCTGACCAAGGTAGAATTTCGTCGTCGCAGACGTATCGGGGTTTTTCTTGTTGTTCTTCAGTGTGCGAAGCAGATGGCCATGCAGGGTTTGTACAAGATCGGGCAGAAGAGATGGTTCGGTTGACAAGGACATTGCATTAGGAAGCTTGGAATACGCGTTGACGAGACTTAGTTCAGTGGCATTGTGCGTGGGCTTGTTCAACGTATCCTTGACACGCGATTTCCATGATGGAGGACAGGTAATGTAACCAGGTTTCGAGGCCTCCGACGTGATACAGCCGGCCTGGTTCAATCGTAGCAAGGCCAGACAGAGCTCATGTTCATGCTCCTGCCACAAGGTGTTCACAAATTTCTGGAAATAAGGCAGGACAACGCTATGGAATCTCTCCGGACCCCACTCTGAGAAGGTGGCGCAAAATGGCAAGAAAAAGGATGACAGTTTGTCGTTCGTAACAGCATCCATGAGCGAGCGCATGTATGGTAGCATCTCGTCCATTGGAGAGACTTGAAGTGCATACGCGACTGCGGTGAGCAGCTGCGGAGCAGCCTCGGCGTACGCATCGGGCGCCTCTGCAGCCTTCTTGAGCAGACGCAGGAGGATGTTGTGGACAGGCTTCCAGTTCTTGACTCGAGAACCCTTGCGAGTGGCGATACACTGGAAAATCAAGCGACAGCATGCATTCGCATTTTGCTTGTCGGTCTTGGAGCACGATGATTCAATGTACGAGCGGACGGTCTCTAGAATCGGTTCGAAGGTCTCGGCCGTGGTATTATGCATAATGTTGATAAGCAAACCGCAAGTGACATCAAGCGCCAAACTGCTTTGCAGATCGTCGCCAGTGCAGATATGTTCCAGAATGCAGGTCAGGATGTCGGTTCCGTTGGAGTGAATGCCGTTCTTGACGCCCTTGATTGCGTCGGAAAACATTGCCATAAGTCCATCCTTGTAAATATCGACATTCTTGTCATCACCGGCCGCTTGGCGTAAATCCTCCAGCAGAAAAGAGACCGCACGTTGCAGGGGAGTGGCATTCTTGTAATAAAGCAGCCCCGCCTTGCGGATCAGGAACGACATGGACTCGGCGGCAAAACGGGCAACATGTGTTTTTTGTCGTTCTTTGCCGAGGTAGGGGGTCATGATGCCCAACAGTTGTCGGAGGTCTGGGACCAAAAGTCGTGACAGGAACTTGAAGATCCAGGCCAAGCAGCTAAAGCTCCATTCCACCACTTCGACGTCGGTATGAGTAGCGGCAACGGATGCGACGAGGGTGACCGCCGTGGCGAAGTGTTTCTCGAAACGGACGCCCAAGTCTCGCGCGAACTGGGCGAGGAGAGCCAAAAGTGGTTCTATCGACAACTGATCTCTCTTCTCGATGAACTCCACGAGCAGGTTCATAATCTTGTCCTCGTGGTACAGGATCTGCGCCAGACTCTCGCACAGCGGGTTGACTCGGCGGGCAAACTGAACGAAGTTCTCGGAGAGGTTCAGCTCGACCCAGTGATCGAAAGCCGAGCGGAAGTAGGAGGAGGTCTCATCGCCCTCTTCACCAAAGCTGGGGCGGCGCACGCGATGGATGGGGTCGATCTTGAGCTTTGCGACGCGCTGCGAAAACGGCTCGAATCGGTGCGACTTGGTTGTCTCTGTTCCTCCTTTGACCCGCTTCACGGCCTTGGGCCGCGAAGTGGACGACGCTGCTACCATCTTTGAAGGTTGATGGCGGGCGGGAAAAGAAAGCAGCGCCGCTATGAATATAAGTTTGGGGAAACCAACTGTAGGAGGGACTTCAGACGATCCCCACCTCCTCTTTTGCCGTATAGACAAAAAAATTCATCGGCGGCGCAGCAACCTTTGTTCCGAGTGCGGAGATTGTCTGCTTTAGCGCCGGGGTTAAGAATTAGAGGCCGCATCACGTGGCAAGCAGTGGGTCCGACGGGAGCTTCTGTCCATCCATTTTTGGTCAACTTCATGTCTCTCTGACAAACTGAAGTAACTGAAGTCAGTTACTATCATATTATCTCTTATCCAGGCCCATTGAGCTCCCAGAGCACAAGACAGACCTTCACAGCCCATAAGAAACACTCTTTGGCAAGGGGACAGTACTTTCCGACTGACTGTTCACCGTATCGTCACTGAGTCCAGCGCGACTCCATTGCGCCCCGAGGGATTCTTGCATCATAGTATCGCATCGAAGCATGGCGTCCAAAATGTCAGTGCGCCGGCCACAGTCCTGTCAACCATTGACTAACACAAGCTTAGAGTCGTCATCGGGGGCGTCAACTGCGAGCTGCAGGACGTTTTCACCAAGCTTGCCAAGCTGCACGTCAAGCAGAATTTCTCCTTTGCCATCATCGTCGGCGACCTCTTCGGCGACTGCGCGACGGAGCATGAGTTGGAGCAGATCTCCGCCCTGCTCTCTGGCAGCATTGCCGTACCGCTGCCAACATATTTCTCGCTGGGCAGCCGGCCCCTTCCCACCAGAGTGGTTGAGGCCATTGAGGCCAACGACGAAGTCTGCCCTAACCTGTACTTCCTGGGTCGTCGGGGCACCCTGAAGACGGCCGAGGGCATCCGCATCGTTTCCCTGGGAGGCAAGCTCGCGGCCGACAACCAGGCCTCCTCCGACAAGTACGACCCGAGCTACACCGAGGCCGACGCTCGCACGCTGCACGGCGCGCACTCCGCCGACATCCTCATCACCAACCAATGGCCCAAGGGGATCCGCACGGGGTCCAAAGCGCCGTTTCCCGAGGAAGCCTCGACGGCGCCCCCTGAAGAAGTCCAATGCATATCCGACCTCTGCGCGACGCTGAAGCCGCGCTACCACCTGTCCTCGACCCCGGACTTCTTCTTCGAGCGCGAACCCTTCTTCCACCTCCCCACCACCGAAGACGACCCTCCCGATGCGAAGCCCCTCACCCGCTTCATCAGCCTCGCCTCGTACCGCAAGGCCAGCAAGCAGAAATGGATGTACGCCTTCACGCTCGACCCCAAAGCCGCCGCCGCCCTCACCATCCCCACCGGCGCAACCGCCTCCCCTTTCCCCGCCGCCGCCCTCGCCCTCAAACGCAAGCCCCTCGCCAGCCAACAGGACAGCTACCAACGCTTCGACCAAAGCCACAACAACCACGAGCAACACCGGCCGCGCAAGCGCGCGCGCAACAACAACCAACCCCCGCCGGGCCCCGACCAATGTTTCTTCTGCCTCTCCAACCCCAACATCGCCACCCACCTCATCACCTCCATCGGCGAAGAGAGCTACCTGACCACCGCCAAGGGCCCGCTCCCCACCGCCCGCACCTTCTCGTCCTACAACCTCCCCTTCCCCGGCCACATGCTCATCATCCCCTTCACCCACACCCCGACCCTCCACACCATCACCGACGCACCCGCCCGCCATGCCACCTTCGCCGAGATGACCCGCTACCGCACCGCCCTGCACGCCATGCTCCACCGCCGCGCCGCCGGGGCCCTCGGCGCCGTCACCTGGGAAGTCAGCCGCGGCAATGGCATCCACGTGCACTGGCAATTCCTCCCCGTGCCCGCCGCGCTAGTCCAACGGGGCCTCGTCGAGGCTGCTTTCAAAGTGGAGGCCGAAAACCTCAAATACCCGCGCTTCGAGGCGCCTCCCGCCGCCACAAAAGAAGACCCGAGCAGCGAACCCGGAGGGGACTTTTTCCGCGTTTGGATTTGGAGCCCAACCCCCGCGAATAACAATCCAGACGCACCCGCTGCTACGGGAGAAAACTGCGATCCAGAAGGACCAGCTGGCACAGAGAACACCCTCCTCCTCCCCCTCAGCCCGGACTTCCGGTTCGACCTCCAGTTCGGCCGCAGGGTCATGGCTAAGCTGATGGAGCTGGAGAAGCGCATCGATTGGCGCAAGGATGTCCAGTCCCAGCAGCAGGAGGAGGCGGATGCGGTGGCGTTCAAAGAGGCGTTCAAGGAGTTTGATTTTACTTTATAGGTGGAGTTGAAGGGGGATATACCTTATGAAAAACTCCAATCGACAGAGAGGATATAGGAGGGCAGATGAGTTCACGTTCAGGGTTAGTTGAAAATGAGAGAGAATTTGGGTTATGCATGGACCATCATTTGGGACTGGCCCGGTCGGATAGGGTGGACTGTATCTGGACAGGTATCGATCCAGGTGTATTTGTTCATTGGTCAAGGGGTTGATTTCTCTAGCTCTACTACGTCAACAGTCGACATCTGGAAGAGTATCATGGTGCAATAGCATGGCATACAACCAACCCTGACTGACATCCCGCTGAGAATTGGACATTCCGAAACAGTACTGGTACCCATCCTGTTCGTAAGATTCAGTCATCATTGATACTAAACATACATCATGCTAAATGTTGTTCAAAGAGGCCACATCGACCAAGTCATGTACAAGAAAGGTGTATACAAGGGCATGCACAGCCAAGTAGCCCCGTGAGAGTACTAGCTCAATGACCCTTACCATTGTAGCAAATGCACGTGCCAAGCTGAACTAGTTCCATCCGTGCTTGCAATTTGGCAATGGCTTGCGTGGATTGTTTGCCTTGAAGAAAATGGCTCCCACTAAGTGTAGCATGAGCTTGCCTCTGGGTATCTAAATGCCATAGTAGCTCATCTCTGAACGCCAAGAAGTCTACTTCGCTCATCATGGTTGCATTTTCATAACTTCCCTTTTCGAACCTGTCAAAAGAAACAGCAAAAACAGAATGGCAGGGTATCAATCCATGGTCATAACAGATTCAAACGTCCCTGTAAGAGTTGGGGACCGGCCTTCGTCCGCTTTGCAGGAGACTCGGGGGCCTGCCCGGGTCACTAGATTCATGAGGAGCCGGCATGGCAGCAAAAGATGGTGGTGACGTCGGGGTCACAGGAGACGCTCCGGGGTAAGCTGTATATTGGCTGATCGCAGGGGAAGGTTGACGGTAAGGGACGGGGCGAGGGGCGTTCATAGCCGATGAGAGCGCCGGACCTGGAGACCTTGTCCGGTCCATTGGCATATAGGGTGGGAGCGGGGTATCTGAGGGAGTGTAATGAGGATGTTGGTGCTCCACGTTGCCATAAGCCGGTTGGGTGGTGTAGGTCGGAGCTGGAGACATGGCCTGATACCGTTCTTCAGGAGGGAAGTCATGGTGGTAAGGCTGCTCATCGTATGGTGAAATGGGAGGCGGCGATCTAGGGCCGTGGTGATTGTACCCGTATGTCTCGGGACCATCATACCCATAGGAAGGCTGTGCATTGTACCCCTGAGGTTCGGGATAGTGGCCAGGCGTGCCTCTGTCAAAGTTTTGACCAGGGGTCCCGGTTCTAGCGGGATATTGACCAGGTGTACCAGTTCTGGCAGGATACTGGCCAGGGGTACCGGTCCGAACGGGATATTGACCGGGTGTACCTGTTCTGACCGGCGGAGGGCCCATGTAGCCTCCACCTCCCGCCCCTCCATTCATTCGAGGCGCAGAAGGCATCCGACGAGGTTCGCGACCGATATGGTGCATGGTCTCCAACTCTACCGTCTCAACGTGGGGACCCGTATCTTCCACCCTTTTCGTCACAGCAGTATCCCAACTGGGCATGGCAGGCAATGCATCCTCGTTGTATTTCAATCCTGCAGGACTCGTGGGGGCGTCAAACCGAGCGACTTCCGTTCCACGATACACAGGGGGCGCCTGCGGCGGTTGATACGGTGACTTCACCGGCATGGGAGGCGGCATACTTCCTGGCATGGCCCCTGGCATAGACCCCGGCATATCCGGGGGTGGGTACGGGTCATCCAAATGCTTGGTCTTGCGCTGCCTGTTTCGAGGTGACGGGCAACACGATGAGCAACATAGACAGCATTTGCAGCATTGAATACCACAACATAGACAGTTGACCACACATGCGACAATGGACAGAACTATCAACGCGCCGATGATGATGGCCGCGATAACAGGCCACCTAGATTTAGTCAGTGCCAATGTTCCCTCTAAGAGATGGTCAACTCAAGTCACGTACTTGCAGTAAGCCTTGGACATGCAACTATCCCAACTCGAAAATGTGGAAGTAGCGTCCTTGAGGTCGCTGACTATATCTCGCGCCCACAAAGGGGCGGGGACGGTATCCACCGGACTCATTATAGCCATGGCAGTCCGTGTGCTCAAAGCTTGGCGCTAGTTTCTTCCAATCCACCCCGCTATTGATCGAGGATGACGAGGAAAGTATTCAAGCGATGCAAATTATAGAATGCGTGTTTTTGAGCGTGTTCCTGACACGTCGTGAGAGGTTGTGGTCTGCGGCGGTGTGATAAGAAAAGGAGTGGATTTGACCAGATAGGGATCGTGAGAATTGTTTCGAATGTATTTGACCAGATAGCGATTGTGCAGGTTGTTCTGGGTTAAGTTCAACCCAAATAAACAGCTGTGAGAGTCGTTTCGCAACAAATCACCAATCAAGAAACGACAATAAACCCGACAAATATGAATGAATGTATGTGTTGTTATGTCGCCATCCGCGCACTGAATCAGGATGCAACGAGTGACTCCAATTGCGACGTCGCGCAATATCCAAAAGGCGCAAGGTGGGATCGTACGACGCGTTCTATGAGGGTGCAGGATAGGCAGATGTTGTTGTTCGCAGGAATGAATCAATCAAAGCAGAAGACTGGTGAAAGACCGGACGGAGGTGGGAATAACGATCTTTGTTTCGAGCGTTGTTGCGCTGCGTTCAATAAGCTGGCACACACCACCACCAAGGACGGGAGTAAAACAATCGATCATATGCAGACTTTCATCAAGCATCTGCAAGACATTGGTTCTTTCTTCCTGGACTGGGATGCAGAGGGGTGAAAGGAGCCGCTGGCTAGCGGTCAAAACCTAAGCGACCGAGGGAGGTTGGCTGAGAATCGGAAAAGAAGGGGAAGATGAAGGGAGGAGAAGGAGAGAAGGCGAGGGGAGAGGGAGAGAGGGCTGGCAGCCTGGCGAGATCGGCGTTCCATGCGGAGAGCAGCCATCAAATCGATCAAACACTTCAAACCGCGTATTCGTTGGCCCCCATCTTTATTCTCGAGTATCTTATCAAAAAGAACTAAGCAATCTTCAGTATTTACAACTCTGCACTGGAAACTGTCGGTCCTCTTCCACTTTTGGTCGCACTCCACCAGTGCTGTCGATCGAAACGCAGGTGAAACTCCTTATTGGTAGTCGCAGGGTCCACCAAACCTCCGTGGTATAATATTATTATATCCTCTAGTACTCCTAGTCTTCTGCCGTACTCCGTACATATCACACTAGAGCACCAAACAATCCACCATCATGGGTACAAATAGGTCTCAGATACCTCGAGTGTCTCTACTGTGTAGACTCGATTGAGAGACCCTGGAAAAGATGTGGTCAGACTGTGCGGGGGAGAGGCCTGAAAGCAGAGAGGATCATGGCAAAAACTCGGCTGCCTAACCCTTCTTCCCTGCCCACCCCCTGTGAACATCCAAGAATAAAACCCCAAAATCGGACATGAGCAGCGTCGCAGGTAAATACAGGTCAATCATAATCTCGAATCCAGGTCCACTAAACACCACATCTTTCTCTGAGAGGATCAGTTATGTGCATTAGAGTAGAAAGTAACACTCGTGTCAGGGCATGCCACTATGTAAGCAAAGCCATACGACAGAATAAGAGTAATCGGTGCGAGGGAAGGTATCGAAAAATCATGCAAACCAGGCTCCCAATAATCAGCAGAATCGAGTAAAAGCAACCGTGGACCAACACCCCGACGCAGTCATTAAAAAACGATTAGACAATAACACAGGGAAAAAAAAAAACTCATAATTCCCATCAAATATCCCCCTCATAACGCCTCCTCCTCATGTCGTACAAGCCTCAGTAAAATGGGGTTTGCTAGCCGACCGGACGATTTTCATGACGACCGATCGAGGGAATCTTTGAGGAGAGACATAGTGCTCATGTTTCACGGAGAGAGATGAATTAAGCGTTTAGACCTTGGAGGCCGGAGGTGGGCCCGGCGGTGGTTGATATACACGTTCGCCACCGTTGTGGTAGGCATTCGGGGGCGTTTGCAGTTCAATGCCCGTTTGCTGCGGCTGGCCTCCGAAGTAGCCATATTGCGGATGAGGAGAATATTGGGGCGGAGGGGCGGGTTGGTAATAAGGGTCTGCGTAGTACGGTTGTCCGGGCTGTTGCTGTTGTTGTGATTGCTGGAAGGTTGGAGGAGGACCTGCGAGCCATGCGGTGCCGGGATGAGGACGAAGGCCTTGTCTGCGCCGACGGCGAGCATTAAAGCAACTGCGAAAATCGTTAGTTGTCAGGCTGACACTGGTCCAAGGGGGAAAGAAGAAGCATACGCGAAAAGAAAGAAGACAACCAGAGCTACTCCGACGATGACAGCGAAGGCGATCCAGCGACCCCAGTCATACCAGCTATTACTATCGCAATAGTAATTATCTCCGTATCCATGGCTGAAAACGTGTTAGCGATTGGATCATGGTCATGTATCTCTGAAGTAAACCCATAGTATATGTGGGTAGCAGATAGCATGGAGTGCAGACTATACATACCAATCTCGACGATGTAGCAGAACACCCATGGTGGTTGAACCTCTCAATGCGAGGCGAGACGTTTTTTGGGGGGAACGGCAGAGGATGACGTCGATCAGTAGGTGCAGAGAACCAAGAGGACGGGAGCAGAATATAACGAGATGAAATCAGGTCGAATCAAAGAGGTTGATGTAGCTTGTTTGAGAAGCAGAGACCTTTAGCCAGGAACCATGTAAGGGGAGAGAGGAGAGAAGAGATGAGAACGAGTGAGCGAGTCGAGTGATTGAGTGAGTGAAGAAGTTCTTCCTTGTGGGCGGGTACCAGAAGGCAGCAGCCAAAAAGTTGAGTGAGTGAGAGTGAAAGGAACTGCACGGCTGGGGGGGGGGCTAAGATTGATTAGGTACGATTGGGTAGGGCTGGGTGGCTCAGAGGTGGATTTCAGCATGGCTGGAGAGATGGATGGTTTCGTTCTTGGCCCAAATTTTCAGGTGATACATGAGTAAGTCGGAGATTGATTAGTCGTAAAATCATGGAGGCAATTTGATTCAGTTCTAGCACTGTCGAGACCTTTCACGGGTCGAATAGATGATTTGGGAGTGAAGTCATTCAAGTCATCATTACCCCATACTATACAGTAGTATTATTACTACGAGATGGAACTTCTTTACTAGGTAGTAGGTATAAGTCAAGAGTAGCCCACAGGGCAGCTGAGCATATCGGCAACCTCGGTGGGTCGCCATCTGCCAACCAACGGTCGGACGGGAAAGAGTTTCAACTGGTTCTGCCCACCGTCGCAGTCAGCATGCGTACCACAGTATACCACAGTGACTAGTACTCCGTAGTTACAATACATTAATCATCAGCATCCCTGTTGAGGTGGGAGGCTGTGCTGGCTCGGCATGATATCATTGCCAGTCAGGGCAAACCGAGCATCTGCTGCAAGGTAATGTCTATCTGGAAAAGCTTTTTTTGCATGCTACCAAACTGTTCGAGTAGTTAAGTGGTACGTGTTCATGTAAATCCAAATTATAAAATCAAGTATAGTCCTTCATTCTCACCGACATAGACAATGGATGCAGAGTATATGAAAACGGACGTCGGCAATGATACCTCACAAGATATCGTGAAATCCGGAACATGTGCTATATACAGTACACTCACCGTCTGTCTTCATCATCATCAGCAGCAGCAGCAGCAGCAGCATCGTAGCCAGAAATGCTGAACAATACTGATAGATCTCGATTTCCTAGCTCTAACTTAGCACACAAAGGGTGTTATGGTCACCCCCACGTCTCGTCGATCATTAGTGCCCACCCCCAGTGCCCATGATGGCGCAAATAAAGGGTCAGTTGGGCGTAAGGGCTGGCGGGGATTTGCTGGGGGTGACATGGGCAGGGCTGGCTTAGTTCCCGTCTTCGCATCTGCAATGCCAACGCATCACTTGGTCTGTGTGTGGCCCTTTGTGGTTTGCCTGGTTGCTTTTTATTCCCCTTCCCCTCCTTCGAACCTCCTCTCTCAATGACAATTCAATCTCATGGTTGGGAAGAGAGCGCCGTGCCTTCATGCCACAAGGGATTTCGTGAAGCTTGCGTTCGATGCGTTTCCCACATCTTGGGCGTCGAATCGGTCCCGGATTGAGGCCTATCAACACATTCTATACTATACCTCTTGCTCACTCAGTACTTTTTCGGAGTTATGGTGCGCCGGCTACCGGCGCCAATTCTTTCAATTAACGGCCTGCTCTCTCGGATACGATCATAGAATACATGCAGGACATGAGCTAATGACTCCCAATACTATCAATGACATAACATGCATGAAACAGAAAGCTTCGCTAGAATCCGAACAATGTGCCTGGCTCACAAAACGTCACATCGTTACAATCAGGCCGCCAAACCGTGAGAAAACGGCGGCAGTCTACGACCTCCAGTCTCGTGTACGAGACGAAGAGTAAATGGGTGGGAGGAAGCAAGCACTTGGACGAGTCCCTCCGATGCCATCATTCAATCAGCCGATCTTATCGGCTGGCGCGGGCAATTAACCAATGCAAGACTGCATCGAGGTTCGTTTCCTCTTTCGCGCTGATGCCATAGCAGCTCACCTCACGGTGGGTGATGGACTTCAGATCCATCGCTTCGATCAGATCGTCCACCGATAACTTATTGGGGAGATCTGATTTGTTCCCCAGCACAAGCAGAGGGATTCCATCGAGCGTGGGCTTTTTCATCAGATCATGCAGCTCTTCAGTCGCCACTGGCAGTGCAGCGCGATCTGCTGCATCCACGATGTAACTGATATTCACAGTCAGCGTCTCCATCACTTCGACTGAGAAGAAAGCGGGCTTTACACGATCGCATTGACGCCCCGACAATATCGCTCCCACATCGGTCGGAACCGCGGCTGGCCCCCGAGATCCCAGCTGCGATGAAGTATTAGCTACAGTGTCGAACGCTTCATACAAGATCTGGATCGATGCACGACAAAGGGCTACCCACCACTTCAAGGTCACATGCCCTTTCTGGACGCGCTTTGTGTTAAACCCAATGGTGGGAATCGAACTACCGGGATGGATTAGTGATTGACCGACTTGTTGGAGCACCTGCACCAAGTTTGCTGCAGTCGAGCTTACTCTACAGTGAACTCCCCTCCCTATGGACGATGTCAGCAACCATGCTCGACGATGGTAGACTAGCAACATGATGAAAGGCCAAAACATACCGCAAGTACACGCAGCAGCGAAGACTTTCCTGCATTCTGGAGCCCAATCATGGTGACGTCCATCTCCGTCGCCCTACAGAAGCATCATGTACAACGGATCTTAGCAAGCCATCCTATGCTTCGTCGGCAGGGGCCGGGCCGAAGAAGGGACCAGTTCGGGGAGGAAGAGGGGCGACGGCCCACTCACTTACTTACCAGAACATCCTCAAAAGCCAGTCATAGATCGTTCGAAAGATACCCGCCATATTGATATTTGAAAATAGAGAGGAAAAGTGGTGGTCGGAAAATCGGAGTATTATCAGAAGAAGGCTGCGTTGATCAGAGCAGGTGGACGATCGACAACCGGGGTGTGGGCGATTATATTGAGAGTGAGTGGGGTGGGGAGTGAGCGCAGTGCGAAGGGCGAGAGGCCGCCTGCGGCAGAAGCGAGGGGAAAAGAAGCAAAAGGGAAGTCGCAGCAGACAGAAAGACGAGAAGAACCGGCGTAGAAAAGCACCCTGTGACCTGCAGATGCACAATCGGGATTTCGCAAGCTTGTGGCAGATTGTTGTAAATTATATTGTTGTATTGTTGTTGTTGTTGTTTTTGTTTTTGTGGTAAAGAGTCAACAGCTGGGGGTGGAAAGAGAAGCAGCAGAAAGTGAAATCCCAAGGTCGAACTCCCCCCGATAAAGGCGGCAAGTTTCCAAGTTTTTGACAGAGCTTGAGGTTTAGTAGTTTGTGGTGATGAAGGGAAGGAAGGGGCGGTGGGAAGCAAGAACGAATAATACGAATGATAATAATAATAATAACTTGAATGATAGGTAGTAATCAGAATATGTTTTCTTCTGTCTGATACTCTTCTATTTTCCTGCGTTGTGGTGAGACTTTCAAGCAGAGCTGGGATAAGTACAGAGTGTTGTGAGCACACATGATCGTTCGTGCTCTTGCGGCACTGCCGCCGCCGCGGTTGGATGAAGGAGGGGAGCGCAGTCAGTGATAACTTAGTACTACTACTAGTTACTAAGGTACGTAGTTACCGAACTGTTTGATTTGCAACCTTGCAGCACGTGAGTGGAGTGAGTGCCTCTTCTGTAGCACTCCTGCGCACTCACCGATCACTCATTGAACACGCACTAACGAACTGGATTGCTGCGGAAATCGAGCGAGTTTCCCTTTCTGCTTTAGGTCGAACTTGGCGCCGCTTTTTGCTCACTGAGCGGCCCGGAGCGTGGGGGGAGCATAGAAGTGCGTGTCCTGAGCAATCCCTAGCAATCCCTAAGCAATCTTGGATTACTCCGGGAGTAAACATTAAGGGAGCTGATTGTTACCCTGAGTCCTGTCTGAGTTTACATGATTGAGTCATGTGACCCAAATAAACTGTACACTACTATTGACTTTCGTCTTGCCGGTGTGCCCGTTATTTTCCTGGTTTTCAAAAAACATTAAGTCCTATTTGAATAATTATTTTATGTTTAAACCCAAATTCCTAATGTCGACATACCCTCGAGCACCAATAATGTCAATCCAAGTTCTAATCAAAGTTACCAAAGAGGTCTTGCTTATAGGTTAATAATGCTCTACAACCACTCAAGATCTATATATCTTTTATCTACTGTCCTTTTAGTTCTTGCAATGTTTGACTGCACTAGAGGCATTAAAACTTGTCTATCACCCTGGATCCTCCGCCTGTTTAGATACGTCGTGTCAAATGCGACGAATCTCCCGGGGCGTGCAAACGATGTACCTCAACAGGGCGACAATGTGACGGTTACGATCTGCCTCCAGTCTCTCACAAGCCATTCTTCGCTACAAGGGCTGGTACTCCTCAGCTCACAGCACCTGGCATTCTGGCTGCTTTAACCTTAGAGAAGCGACGCGGCTTCAGCTTCTTCCAGCATTGCACCGTTCCCACTCTGACCGGATTTTATGACTCGGTTCTCTGGGAGATTTTGAGCTTGCAGATCGGCCATGCTGATCCGGCTGTCTGCCACGCTTCCATTGCGCTCGGCGCCGTGCACTGTGGCGTCCAAGCGCGCCAGAGAGAAAGCCTAATACCCAGGGCCAAGACCGAGAGCCGGCGCTGGCAACAGTTCGCTTTTGAGCAGATGGGTCGGGCGTTCCAGCAACTTCGGCGGCGACACGCATCCCAAGATCCACAGCACACAGTCACAGTACTCTTGTGCTGCCTTCTTTTCGTGGCAGCAGAATTTACCCTAGGACACTACGACAACGCCTTCCGACACCTGCGGAGCGGCCTCAGAATTCTGCGAGACCAACAAATCAAAGTAGCGAGTGGTGTCGAGACACCACTAGAGCCCTCCCTGACTCAGACCTTCGCACATCTTGACAATCAGGCTGGCTGCCTTGGCTCTGAAGGACCAATCCTGGTAATAAACGATGATGATGATGATGTCACACTCTACTCTGACATGTTTCCGCGCAAAAACGTCGAGAATGGCCGCTGGACTGTTTCAGAAGTCCGTCAGATTATGGAACCGCTCGCCGGTGCTGTGGTTCGGTTCTGTCGACGGCAGGCTATCAAGGGCTACGACGAGTCTGAGTCAGCAGTCAGTGAGCAAGCTCGCATTATCCATCGGTTGAGCTTATTCCTGATGTTAACGACCAGTCTCAACGATCAACCGGGCCGGGTGCTCACCGCCAAAGAAAACCGAGGCTTGAAGCTTCTCCAACTTAAAGCGCACGCGCTTAGGAACGCGCTCCTCAGCCTTCCGATATTGACTCGAAAGCCGCAGTTCCATGAGTTCACAGATGACTTCGAGATAATGCTGGCTCTCGCCGCAGAGATTCAGCAGTGCGAGAAGGATTCCTCAGATCTCCCACAAATTAGCCTGGACATCGGCGTTGTCCCACAGCTATATGCCATCGCGAAGCGCACCGTTGATCCCGAGCAGCGGTGGCGAGCGATCCGATTGCTGCAGTCTTACCCTCACCAAGAAGGTCCGTGGAATGCGAGTCTGCTGTCTCGGACTCTCATTGATTCATCATTTGCTGTCAAGGGTGCGGAGGACGCGACGGGAACAGTGGTCGCCGTGGGTGTACGCGACTTAAGCAGAAGTGTACCTGCTTCGGAAGGTGCCGTGATTGTTGCGCCCGTTCGGAGCTGTGTACGCGTATCATCCCGTATCCAAGGCCTGCAGATTAAATGATCGTCCGAATCGGACGAATCGAGTCCCGGAACGGTGCTGGGTATCAGTGCCCCAAGATATCATGAGCAGCAGGGCTGGCACCGTGTAGCTCCAAGTTATCGGCAGTTGTAGATGTTGACTCCTTCCTCCTCCGGTTTGGCGACCGGAGGATTACTGCCTTGAGCTAAATTACTCCCCTCGCTCTTCATGGTCAGTCCCTGAGACCAAATGACGGGTCATGGCCGCGAGACAACAGTCAATAACCTGGCCAAAACCTTGAAGTCTCTGTTCCAGCGAGAGTCAAACATCGTCAAATGAGGGGGTGAGTTCTGTGGAGTGATTCTAAAAGCTGCTTGCGCGAGCATCACTGGACCTTTCTTGGTTTACCGCCTCTTGGACCATAGAACGACCAAACATCTTTAGGACAACCATGAAAGAATACCTTATCATTTGTGTGTTGGAGGATATTCTTAACGTTCAGGCTTTGCAATATGATGGTGCTTACAAGAAATACCCGTTGCTAAAATAATTCGTGAAGATGAAATCTCACAACCTCAATATATTTCTAATGTGGAAGAAGGGGTTGTGTTCTCTTTCCGGTAAAGAACATAGATCTATGTTCATTAGTAAGAAACAAGTCTTGTTTTGAATATTGATATACTCTAGTTCAAAACCTTGGGATTTCCGAAAGCACTGTTTCCCGTCCACCAGCAAGTGCAAAACCCCTTGGTTCCTTTAGCCGGGAATGCCGTGCCTTTGCTCGCCTGTACGATCTGGGTCTGAATGGGACTAGAGCAGTGCGGTGTCATGGTTGGATATCCTAACTGACGACCAGCTTGCATGTCTTAGCACAGCATGTAAGCGTTTGAGACTAGTCCTGGGATCGAATGTCTCGCGATGGGCTATTGTGAAGGATTTTGTTCCTTCCCCTTGAAGAAAGACAGACCTCTCAGAAATTCGCGCCAAACTCGAGATCGCAAAAAACGCACTGATTCTGCCGGGCGATGTTGAAGCAAGAAATTACAGAGCTTCTTATTTTGTCGATTTGGGGTTCACTAGCACGTACCCACTCCCGAAACCTTAGTGGTCAAGATTCGAATTCGAACGTTTCTTCAGGCTTTGCCCACTTAAGGTTGGGGAGCGTTGGTCGATGGAGCCTTAGGCAGCACCGTGCATATTCTTTTTATTGATTCACAGGGTGAAAGGGAGGCCTGGGACGAAGAGACACTCAGACAAACCATCAGCCGGAGTCTAGTACCCGTCGTCTCACAGTGCCTGGCAAAAGGATGGAATATTCTGTAGGTAGCCAATTAAGCTCACTTTCAAGACGGATGATTCGGACGCTTCCTAGCTGGAAAATATCGTACAAATTTTCGCCCGACTCAAACTTGATGTCTCATTTGATAAGATAAAGCCAAGTATCGAGGCTATTCGTCCGTAGCCTTCTATCTGACCAGCTATGTGAGTTCGCTTTGAGAATTTTGAGATAAATTGGGTGAACTTCAGGTCAATTCTGCAGCTGGCTGGTGTTCATACTAAATGTGGTAACGCAAGCAGCTCTTCTCCACAGTCGGCATGACTGTGGAGGTCGGACCCACCAACGATAATCCTTTCCCCTAGAAATACTGCATACTGGCCAATCCACAGCACTATCTTAGTATGATCAATGATCTGAGACGGGTCGCATTGCTTCTACTCGCATTGACATTACACTAATTGGGCTTTTATCCCAATGTCTATTACACTTATACTGCCCATGTAACTGCAACCGGCTCTCTGCAGAAGATCGTTTCTGCCAGAAAAGCAACAAGTCGCGACGGAGATTGGGAATAAGAAAGAGAAAGAGGATCAACCGGGGTAGATCAATATACACCTCATGAGCCAAAGATTGCCAAGGAATAGAAAGCAAATTTCCCACTGCTAGACTCGGAGTCATATATGATTATGCATGAAATAAATCCATAGCATAACATTCCGTATAGCAAGTATTACGAGAAGATATCCATTCCTGCCTCAACCTCGACAGCCTCTCGCCTCACTTGTTCGATTCATTGCAGCGAATGTGATTTCATCCTCCACACCTTTGCTGCATCCTTCCTCGGGCGATATTACGTCACATGAACAATCTCTACTTGCATAAATACATACAATCATGGTTTGAAAACGGATGGGGTAAGATAATGAACTAAGGAGAGATTCTCATCCACTAGAATTATCTATCTATAAAGATCTCGCAGACACCCCCTTCACTAGATACTCATCAGACCCATCACCTCCACCACTCCCTACTCAACTTCAATAATACATTATTTGCTAATCCTACCACTTATCACAGTCCTGAAAGCCACAAACGCAGCGACAGCTACCAGATATGACTATATCATTATCGGTGGCGGCACGGCGGGCCTAACGGTCGCCAACCGCCTGTCGGAAGATCCAGCCGTCTGTGTTCTCATCATCGAACCGAGACAAATCGAGCTCAACAACCCCAATGTCACGGATATAACGCGTCTATACTATACCTACGACAGCCCGCTAGACTAGGCATATCAGACCACAGAACAGAAATTCGGCCACCGCCGCTAGGTGATGCGGGCCGGAAGGGCGCTCGGAGGCACAAGTGCGAGGTATGGTTGGCTATCTGCTCGGCTTTTTCATCCTCAAGAAACAGCGTATGTGACTAAACGCAACAATATTTCTTCTTAATCAGGTGCCGCTTACGCACGCACGGAACGCGCTTAGATCGACGTCCTTCAGGCCCTCGGGAACAATAATTGGACCTGGGATAGTCTTTCCCCCTACTACCTCAAGAGCGAGTAAATCCAACTAACGGGCAAGTTTCTCTTGCTGCTGAGATGGTTGAAATTGACGCCGGGATTGGAAGTCGAGGAATTCAGGCCAGACAAGAGATGATTCTGGCAGCCGGCGCAATGCGGTCCGCCGGGATCTTGGAGCTCTTAGGAATAGGCAATCCACGGTCAGAAACCCATGGATGGCAAGCCAATGATGGATAAACTGACACATGTGAAACAATATTAGGATTCTCTAGAAGCATGGTATTCTGATACAGATCGATCTTGTCAACGTTGTGGAGAATCTGCAGGATCAATGCAACAAGTTCTTCGTTGTGTCCACCAAGTCACTGGTAACCAGCACACGAACTGTAGGCTTCGTGTCCGCCTCAGACCTTTTTGGCCCCTCTACCGAGTCCATCGCGGCCCCTCTCCTCTCCTCGATCCCACACTACGCGGAGATGACAGTGAACCAGACCCAGCGGAGCCATGACTAAGGAAGCTCTGCAAGTGCTCTATACAAGCTAGCATGACCTTACTTTCAACAAAGGGATCCCAATTGGGTAGTTCGTGTTTATTCTCGACAACCCACATCAGATCCATGTCGGATACTGGGGCCTTCTTCCGTTCTCCCATGAGAATGTCCACATTTCCTCGCCGGAAATGGCGGTTCCCCCAACCTTGAATCTGAATTACGGGATGCTAGACTAGAGTTTTCAGGTCCAGATCACAATATCAAATTTCCTCCGTAAAGTCTTCCGATCTGGGGAGTTGAGCAAGCTGATTGAAGAGAGCTAGTTCCCGGGTTTATACATATCCCAGCCGATGCAACAGTTAAGACTTGGAAGACTTGGATTGCGGAGCAGTTTAAGCATTTTCCCTTCCTTGTTCCAGGGCAGAATAAGAGAAACAAAGCTGGTTTGTGAATCAATGACCTGACTAGACTACCAGAGTAGTAAGTTAGGTTGCCTAGTCTGATTCGAGATCATGATTCTCTATATTTTCAGTAACTACAAGTTGCATAACTTAGACTAGGTTAACTCAAGTCTGGTGGGAAGCAACGCCCTGATGTTCTGGTCGGAAGCGACGCCCCAATCTTCTGCTCGGCTAGGCGCAGCCTTGACCGATATAGCTCCACTATGCTAACCCTATCCAGATAGTATAGTAGACCAAGACTTTCAACTTCTTTTTAGGGTGATGGAGACTAGATGTGGATAATATAATAAGAACAAAAGAATAGCTAGATAGACAAAATTCAGTGTCCAAACGGTTTCAACCTATATAATTAGCAGCTGGACGACTCCTGAATGCGCCTTGTCATATAATCAGCTATATAAGATTCTTCTTTATCTTCTACTTCTTCTTCTATGATCAATGTATTTCAAGTTATAGTCTACGTAATGACCGTTGATACTGGGAGAATATGGCGATGTTATAAGACGCATACTCTCTCATCCTGTAAAGAGTAGTGCAGCTCTGCGTAGATTGCCCAAGCGGGGTCAGCGGAGGTCCGGATGGTCCCGGTCTGCTGACCATTAAGTTGCCTGCCGCTATCGTTGTGGATTCGTCGGTCAAATAACCTAGTAGCTGGAGGCAGAGACAGCCTGTCGCGCGAATTATGTTATGCCAATTGTTGAAGCGCATATGATTTGGCCCTTAGTGCTTATATCCCGAGTCCCGGGTATGAAACATACTAGCAAACAGAACCGCCGATGGATTAAATACTCGGCAATATCTGCGGTGCTCAAATTCAGAACCTAGAAGACAATCGTCAAGATATACTCCGTGAAACGTGATAACAGCGGATCCAAGAGCTTACCCGCGTGATTTCAGAGTTCCTACAGAGTAGACTTCAGTCAACACGAGTTTCAAAAGATGAACTACTGCCCCGAAAGACCAGCTAAAGTTAAACTGAGTACTTTTAAAGTTACCATCACGCCTCACTTCACAGCTAAACACGAGGCCAGTCATCTCTCCATCCACCTCAGTCTCCAGAGCCCCAATTGCACCACCCACCACCCGCTCTTTCTCTTCGAAACCTACTACGGTAACGTTCCTGCTAATCCATTTACCGAAGGGGATATAACAGCCTCTGATGCCGCTGGCCCTTTGCCTCTTTACTTCACCAACTCGACCGAGAATCCAGAGGGGCCGGACCAGGAATGGCGCGTAAACCGGGATACTATAGGAGATATCCAATTGAAATTCAGCGTTTCTCCCCGACATGTGGATATCAAGACTCCGATCGGCCCCCGTGTGGATCTTCGCAGGGATCAAGGTGGTTTAATCGGCAATGGCCGGTATTTTTTACCTCGTCCGGCACAAAAGGATCAGATGTACCACTATATCGTGACGTGGGATATCGCCCGCGCGCCAGCCGGGACACGCGCCGTGTGGTCGTTCGGCGAGGGGACCGCGGGGTCGGTGACGAAGATCGGGGATGCAATGGTCATCGCCAACTCAGTCTTCATGGTGGGGCCAATTCACAGTTATCCTAACGGCAGCACTCAGAGTATTGCTTCCGCTACTATGAACGATGATGATATGGGGTGCATTGCTCTCGCAAGGAACTCTGTCTCTGTGGCTGGTAATCAAAAGATTATCGCTGCCCCAAGCACCACTCAAGTGTTCTGGTTCGGCACGCTGCCGGATAATCTTTGGCGACTGAATCAGTACAACATCCAACTATTCCCAAGACTAGCAGCGTTCTTTCGCAGTGACGAGAACACCTCATATCGAATTTTCATTCGACGGGTGGTTCGTGGATTTGGCGGGCACTCATGCCTCGATAGCTACGTCCTTGAGTATGACCAAGACAGCTGGAAGGAGGCGGACGAGGAGCTTGTGGCTTTGTTCTCACACGAGATGATTCATAGCTTTGTGATGATGGGACCAGAGCCAGATGGGTATGATAACGGATGGTTTACTGAGGGTGAGTAGACAACCAGCGGACAACCAGCAGAGGAACCAGTAGCACATGAATTCGCGGAATGATTAGGCTAATATTAAGCATCGAGATAGGGCTTGCACAGTTTTACTCTGCTTTTCTTCCATATCGGTTTGGACTCCGCGGGGAAGACTATCTGCGCAACAGACTGAATGCGTCGCTGAGTGCTTATGGAACCAGTCCGCGGATTGGAATGGATATACTTGATTCGCAGAAGGAGTTTTATAACGACTGGTATGCGGAGTTGATTCCATATATGCGTGGATGTGCCTATCTTCTTCAGATTGACAGTCGGCTACGAAAAAGAACAGGAAGTTTTTCGTCACATCAGAACAGTCCAATGGACGAGATCGTTATTGATATGGCAAAACGCTGGCGGAACGGGGTTCAGCTTCAGGCTAGGGACTGGCTAAGTTATCTATACCCATATCTCGGAGAGCATATGGCACAGGAACTACAGGATATGCTCAGGGGTAAAGTCCTGGATATGCGCGAGACTATTATTATTCATAAAAACTGGACCCTTAGTCCTACAGAGCAAGAGATTTTGGAATTTGGATTTGCCTTGTCGAGTATTAACAAGCGAATAATTTGCGGGTTGATTCCGGGATCACGAGCGGCATACGCCGGATTGGAGGACGGACTTCCACTTCTCTCTATATCTCGCGCGGGTCGGTGCTCTGGTTCTCTCTCTGAGAATATGGACTTGATAATTAGAAAGAAGGGGGGAGCAAAAGTACATATCTCTTATTGGCCGCGATCTTTTGACAAGGCAAGGGTCTGGCAATTGCTGTAGCTATAAGGCGACCGAAGCTTGATCGTCACGAGAATGTCAGTCCCATGCTCCTTACTACAGCACTCATTCAGGTTGCATGAATCATATTCATATGCTTCCGGAAATATGGCTACTTGAGAGCTTGCATAGCTTTCGGAGATTAAGGAGACTCAATATTCAAGGCATGTCGAGAAGGCAGCGTGAGCCGAGGTAGTGACGCGCCCTACACGAAGCTAGCAGCAATCTGGGCGCGAATACTATCGAGACTACAGACAGAACATGGAGGTAGTTTCACAAGGACTAGTCTTGAAAATTCTAAAGCCATTAGTCCGTGAGTGTTGAACGCACGGCCAGACTCTTAATACTTCGAAACACTCCACACAGCCTTCCATATCATTCTGAAACATTAAAATGACCCAGGCCAAGCCTAACTTAAACCTCCAGCCCTTGCGCACAGCCCTTGCGCACACCGCACCGATGAAATTGTGACTGCAACTATGTTCATGTGCCCGTAGCTTACTGCTCACTCTCATCATCCTCCGCGTAGTTACCCTGCTGACGCTTGGTGAGCTCGTCGGCCTCCGCGTAGTTGCCCTGTTGACGTCTGGTCAAGCCATTCATAACGTCGTTTCCCCGGGCATTCAGGGGCAATGAGGGCAGACCATTAATAACAATGGCAAGACCGAGAGTAGCAGCGATGACTTGAGACACATGCATGTTCGATTTGGCTGTGTGAATCTCTTGAAGAAAGAGCAAGGTAGAAGCTTTGCGGTGAAGAACGAGAATGATCTGGGTAGCGTGAACGGAAGCTTCTTGTGCAATCTCCAGAAGCTGTATTAGTCCATAATTAGGCTATCTCCGCCTTTCAACAAAGTCGACGGTGGCAATGACCATACTGTGTGCCATGTGCCAGGGAGAATGGAGAAAGAAGTACATAACTCCTGAACAGGGTTGGGAGATGATAACACCGGGTGATGAGAACTCGACCCGTAATCTCGCAACAGTTGTTGAGCTTAATGGCGAGTATATGCGCTGAAGCCTTCGGCCCATCATATCGAAATACCGCTGTTCAAGTACGATACATGCATGGATCACCACCGGAGTGAGAGCTTCGCTGATGCGATACAGCATAGCCAGGTATGAAAGTATGGGAATTTCGATAGAATGCTTGGACTCGGTGCGGAGGTACTCAGTTAGCTCGGAGCTGGTAAGTTACTTTCGTGGTTATGACATCTACCATTCAGAACTATTTGAATATAAGAGTCTGCATATTGTATAATCGTCTTACGGCTGAGATTTTCAGTGGTACAGACAATCAATGCGCCGGACAAGAAACAAGTTGCGAGACCTTATGTTAAATGAAAGAAGCAGACAGAAATGACCTCGAAAGTCTATCTTATTCCATCTCGTCAACTCGAAAAAGGCACGGAATGTCCCACAGGCCTGCATCCCAATCAGTCACACTGCTCCGGGTCTGCTTTTTCTGCTTCCATCGCGTAGTGTTTCCTGCACAGGTTTCACAGTGCTCGTGGAAAGCCGCGCCCAGGTGAGCAAAATGATCCACCGTCACGCCATGCTTGTTACAGGCGGCATAATGCACGGGCGGATTACCTGCATCGTCCAGAAGCCAAGGGCTTGCTCCAGCTTCCAGTAGCAGCCGTATGCACTGAGAATGTCCTCCGCGTGCGGCCAGGTGCAGCGCCGTCATCGCCTTCGAGTTGCCAGTGTCAATGTCGAATAATCGCGGCCAAGTCTCCCAGCTCGCCACTTCATCGGGCGAGGTATCATGTAGTGGAGTAACAGGTTGCGGCCCCTTCTCAAACCTAGTCAAAAGCAGTTTTACTATGTCGGCAGCACCGCATGCAGCTGCAAGATGCAGATAGCTGTCTCCTACATTGTTAGTTCTGTGTAGGTCCTTGCTGGCATGAATCATGCTCGTGATGATCCCAGCTTGAATCCTCTTGTTGCTCTCGAGCGGATTCGGTAGGCTCAGTAGGATGTGAATTGGCGTGTCCCCCGTTCCATGCTCTGCAATGTCGACGTCTGCACCCGCGTTGACCAAGGACAGAGCGAGCTTCTCAAATCTGCGAAACATGTATGCCCAGTTGGCTGCGACATGAAGGATGGTGCGCTCTGCGTCAAATGGGGCGGATAGGTCCACCACAGCTCTACCGGTGCGCACAATCTCTATAATTCGAGTGACTGTTTGCCAGCCAAACTCTGTTGAGAGCCGTGACCATAATGAGTCCAGATGCAGTCGACCTTGCAGTCGATGCTCCGGCCAGAAGGTCGGACCCCGACGAAGGAGTAGTTGGAACACGTCTTTCGGGCCATCCAGTGCTCGGTCGAGGGCACTCTTGCCATAGATATCCACAGCCAAGAGATCGCTACCGGTGTCAAGAAGTAACTCAATTAGTGATATGCAGCCGCAGGAAACGGCATTGTGGAAGGGAGTAACACCTCGGATATTTGGAGCCAGAATGTCACTGCGCGATTCGGCCGCCGCCTCTAGGAGAAGCTTTACAACTTCTGTATGACCTTGCTTACAGGCTAGATTCAGAGCTGTGTCGCCAGTGGGGGTCGTTTTGAGAGGATCAGCGTGGTGGGAAAGCAGGTACTCCACAATGGGAATGTATCCTTGCCAGGAGGCTAAGTGCAACACTGTGTACCCCTGTGCACTAGGCGTGTTGATATCGCCCTTAGTGCTGGTGATACTAGAGATGAAGATCCTCGAAAAGTCCGTTAGACCATGGATGATGACCATCTCGAATGGGGATGCCCCGTCCGCGTGACTTGTGAATACATCGGCACCCAACGCAAGCAAGTGCGCGGCTACGTCCAGATGCCCTCCTCGAACTGCCGTATGTAATGGTGTCTGACAGTAACGATCGACAGCGTTGATATCTGCCCCAAAGTGTAACAAAGCTTGAACGACATGTAGATGACCTTGATAAGCTGCTATATGCAGCGGAACGACTCGATTCTCGTTCTTTGCATTGACATTCGCCCCTTGGCAGATCAGAGCCTCAAGCAGTCGCAAATTCCCTGCTCCTGCGAAGTGATGTACTAGGGTAGAGACGTGTTGACTTCGAAGCAGATGGCTTCGAAGCAGATGGGCTGGGAGTTGGGAGAAGAAACCAATTGCATACGTTGACGTCCAGGTCTTGGTGTTACCCCAGGAGGAGCGATATGTGACCGGACTGGCACAGTGAAGTTGAATCCAATCGTTATAGAGCTGCGGGTACAAAAGCAGGGCAAACCTCTTTGCTGAACCTGTCAACACAGCGAGCGACTTAGGGCTAAGGAACTGCCCCAGGTATAGAACAAGCTCAGACGGAAGACAATCCAGACTCATCCTGGCTGATGAAAAAGAACGTGAAGTCGGAAATGAAAGCTCTCGGTCAGACTAATAACCTGGGGGGGGCTGGCTTCATGGAATGTTCATAATGCAGTTTTGCAGGGTAGCAGGCTTTGCGGCTGTCCCTTGCGTTTTGAAAACTCCCTGGTAAGTTGCCATTAGAGTAGTCTGCTGGAAATACGACGATTATTACTATAGTGTACATGCTCCCACAATCCCAGACAAGGGTTGCTAAACGTGAGAAGTGAAAAGACCGGATTAAAGCTCACATGAAGCTTCAGCCTTCTTCCTGTTGATAGGCTTCGGCAGGTCAGCATCTGAGATCATGTGACCACATGAGAACTGATTCTCTGCACCCCCGGTCGCCGTGACAGTCATTGCCCGTGCTTTGTTGTACTCCGTACAGTGAAGGCAACAAGAGCATAGATCTGGTGTGCCGATTGGCTGTCTTTGACTGAAATCTGGCTCAGGGATTTCGTCGGAGATAGTCCGTCTCACATGTTGATGTGCTAGGTAGCTCTATTCCCTGTTGTGCAGAATCGGCTTTCAGTGGTCACTTTGTCTTCTCTAAACCTCGCTTAACTTGATCCCCTGGGCGTGTTTGGTACACATATTGGCCGAAAAGGCAGTTTAGCCAGTGCATACGTGCACACACGTCTGTCCGTGTTGCATGCATCACCCCGGAGAGGGGATGGATGGCATTCATGCTCTCGTCCCATCCTTCCCATCAGTGGACGTCTGAGAATCCGACTGAGCGACAGTGTCGGGAGACGTGGACCCATTGGCGACCAGGAGTACTGACTAGCGCGGTTGCGGTGGAGCAGCGGTGAGTCTGTTGCATTGGAATCATCTAGATCCCTCCGGACGGGTTAGGTTTGGCCTACCCCATCTTTTCTTTGTTAGGGATCGCTCCTCCGCTCTTTTCTCGGCTCATCTGTTCTTCTCGCCGGAAAACGGGAAAGGCAGAGCCAGGGAGAGTCGAATGAAATCATCGGGATCGTGGTATGCCTCCGACCGAGGGTGGGAATCAGGACCTGACGAGGTTAGAGGGTCGGGAATGGAAACGGGGAAGAGAATCGAACGAGGAGGAGAGACTGGAGGAAAAGCGAAGAAGCCAGTCAAACAAGGCAAGGCGAGAGAAAGTGGGGTGGAAAGTGAAGCCATGAAGTCATTTTGGTGGGGAGATTTTTTAAGTTGGTTTAGTGGTTTAGTTTTTCGGGGCGGGATGAAGTCATGGCGCCAGAATCAGTCCTCTACTTTCCCGGTACCTGGCCGTGGCTGCTCCGAGACTAGACTTTCGGGGTACCGAGAAGGTACCGACACTTCACCTCGCGTGTAGTATCCCGTAAGTTACTCCGTAGTGTCTGGTCTGTTTGTATGTCAACTTCTCAGTCGGGCTGTCAGTATAATCTTGTTGGGCCGAGATGCTGTAGCTTTCCTGTAGTCAGACGGGAAAAGACATTCCGACCATCGCTCATAACTATCGGAAATATCTTCTGAATCTTCCCCTTAACTTACTTTCAAAGCGTGACAAGAGCAGATACAGCACTGACACAGCCTGTCAGCCCATGCATGAAACCGGCAGGGTTAATCCAGACAAACAGACTGAGATGGGACTGTCTCGGGTTCACTCAACCGGGCAATGGAGTGGTTGTCCCCAGTTCCCCACCTGCTAGTTATACTCCTTTGCTCCAAGGCCTTCTGACTCCATTTCCCCTCTTCCTGCTTCGACCCCCCTCCATCCTCCATTCTGTGACTTTTGGCCGTATTCAAATAGCCTCACATTCCCCTTCTTGATCATGTTTCGTTCTTCAACTCATCTCATCCCTCTCTTCCTCTTTCCCACACACATCTTGCAATTATCCCGCTTGATTGTCTGTCTTTCTTGATACCCCATTTCCATCCTTTCTTCACACACACACACTATGGCTTCCAACCTCCCCAAGACCATGAAGGCCCTCCGGTAGGTCACGAGCAGTCACAACTTGATGTCTTGAGGCCACAAGGCTAACGTGCATAGCTACGAGGAGCCATTGAAGCACGGCATTGCCGAAGTTCCCCTCCCCACTATCCGTGACAACGATGTCTTGGTAAGTCTCATGCACAATGAGTCATTTGAATCTCCACTGACTCGTAACAGATCAAGGTCAAGGCGTGCGGTGTCTGCGGTACCGATTTGCACATCCACGAGGGCGAATTTATCGCCAAGTTCCCCCTCGTCCCCGGTCACGAGACGGTGGGTGTTGTGGCCGCCGTCGGCTCCAAGGTCAAGGGCTTCGAGATTGGTGAACGTGTTGTGGCCGATAACTCTGAGCTGTGCGGCGAGTGCTTCTACTGCCGCCGAGGTGATGAGCTGTTCTGTGAGAACTTCCAGGCTCACGGTGTCACCATGAACGGTGGCTTCGCTGAGTACTGCGCCTACCCTGGTATGCTCACCCGATCTCTTTCCGCCACGACGTTGACTGACAAAGTGTAGCTGGCAGGGTATTCAAGATCAAGAACCTCTCGGACGTGGATGCCACTCTCCTGGAGCCCGCCTCTTGTGCCGCTCACGGTCTCGACAAGATCGCCCCCAAGATGGGCTCGTCCGTCCTGTTGTTCGGTGCTGGTCCCACCGGTCTGGTAAGTCTTTCGCGTTCCATGTGTTCAATCGAGTTGGTCTGACCCCTCTAGATCCTGGCCCAGCTGCTCCGTCAGTGCGGTGGCTGCCGTGTCGTCGTTGCTGCCCCTGAGGGTCTCAAGATGGACTTGGCCAAGTCCCTCGAGGCTGGTGATGAGTACATTGCTCTTTCTCGTAGCGACCCCAGCGCCCAGTTCCAGAAGCTCAAGGACGAGAACCCCTACGGCTTCGACATTGTCGTTGAGGCTACCGGTAGCGTCAAGATCCTGGAGGACTCGATCAACTATGTCCGCCGCGGTGGTAAGCTCGTCGTGTACGGCGTGTACTCCAACAAGGACCGTGTCTCTTGGCCCCCTAGCAAGATCTGTGAGTCATTCTTTGGTCTGTCTGCAGTAAGTGTGATTACTAATGGTTCATAGTCGGCGACGAGATCACCATCCTGGGCAGTTTCTCCGAGGTGTACAAGTTCCCCGCTGCCATTGACTACCTGGACTCTGGCAAGGTTAAGGTCAAGGGCATTGTCAACAAGGTCTTTAAGATTGAGGAGTGGGAGAAGTGCTTGGAGAGCATGAAGAACAAGTCTGCCATCAAGGCGGCTATCACTTTTGACTAGAATAGCATAGCGGGCTGTGCTTCAACTGGTAATGATTGACGAATGAATATGTATGATATGTTCAATTGCATGCTTTCCGGAGTAGATGTAGCTGTGAAATCTTTGAGATTGTGCAGGTTTAAGGGTATTTATAGCGAGGAGCTGGTGGGTCGGCGTCACCAAGGTCCTTATTGCATTGCATCAGAGTGACTTAAGTTCGGTGCTTGGATGACTGTCAGCGGTCATACTAGATGTCACTATCTGAGGAATCACCTTATCTCTCCTATTTTATCCGTGGTAGCTTCTATCCAAGCAATGGATCAGTCATAGATGGTGGGAACTAATTGATCTACTGAACTAAACAGAGCTCAAGTGGGACCCCCTCCCTTATCGATAAGCAACGCCAACCCATCACTTTCGCTCTCTCCACCAAAGTCTACTATCCATCTTTCTCTCAACCCTCACTCAACCCCATACTTGTGTTCCCAGCTCTCGAACCCAATTCCCGTCTCCTAAACCTCAAGCAATCATGGTCAAACCCCTAACCTTCAAAGGCGACAAGCCCAAGACCAAAAAACGCAAAGCCGACACCTCCCTCCCGACCAGCACCTCTAAAAAGCCCACCACCGACCCCAACACCGCGGAGAACATCCCCCAAGCCCTCGAGGACGAGAACCCGGAAGACCAATCCTGGGTCTCCGCCGACGCACCCTCCGACATCGCGGGGCCGGTCCTCCTCGTCCTCCCCAGCCAACCACCCACCTGCATCGCCAGCGACGCGCACGGGAACGTCTTCGCCTCGGAGCTCGAAAACCTGATCGAGGGAGACCCCAGCACGGCGGAACCGCACGACGTACGACAGGTCTGGGTGGCGACGAAGGTCGCGGGCGTGGAGGGGTGGAGTTTCAAGGGGTCGCATGGGCGGTATGTTGTCCCTCTTGGTTACTGAGAATTTCTTCTGCGGCTCGGTTTCGGTTCGTACGGATTGGCGCGCGACGGGCGGGAGTGGAGTTGACTCAAACTCGGTGCAATTAGTTACCTAGGTGTGCATGATATGCTAACATCCCACTACATGACTGTAGATATCTCTCCAGCGACAAACACGGCATCCTCAGCGCCACCGCCTCCGCAGTTTCGCACTACGAAACCTTCAACGTCCATTCCGCCGCGGTGCCGAGCACCTTCTCCATCCAGACGGGGACCAGCGAGTCTGAGGAGAGTACCTTCATCAGCGTGGCGGAGGTGCCCTCCAGGACGACCGCGTCGGGCGTGAAGCTCGAGGTGCGCGGCGATACGGGGACGTTGTCGGCCGATACGAGTCTCCGGGTACGGATGCAGGCGCGGTTCAAGCCGAAGATCAAGGCGAGCAAGGAGATCAAGGCGCGGGAAAAGATCAGTCGGAAGGAGCTGGAGGGCATCGTCGGCAGGCGGTTGGAGGAGGACGAGGTGAAGAGGTTGAGGAAGGCGAGGAAGGAGGGCGATTTCCATGAGGTGGTTTTGGATGTGAAGGTGAGGGGGAAGCATGATAAATATGCTTGATGTTCTGGTCCGAATCTCCAGGGGGGTGTTTGAATAGAGTCCGGGAGAAAGGAAGGTATATGGTGTTCACTAATGATGCTATATATGAATGAGTACACATGTTTTCTGTTATTGAATTGCAAATATTGGCATTCTGGAGTCCGAGTGACTAACTTCATCTATATTTCTTGAAAACATGCCCAAAAGGCGGCCACTTTTCCAGGTTTGCTTATACAGACATGAATGCGTTGATCATAATATACAAATATGGGGCATATATACAGTGCTCTGGTTTACGCTTTCTTAGCAAACAAATCCCGCCAGAATTGCTTCAATCCATAGCCCTTTGAGTGATCCTCTTCGTACACCCGCACGGTCTGAGAGGTACTGAGAGACTCGAGAATGCCAGCAGCTTTGGGTCCTTCTGTGGCGGGCCCTCGAGCTCGCTCAGTCGCGCGTCGTTTGATCTCCTCAGCCAGATCAGGCGCTACATCAGTGTAACATGCATTGAGCTCCCGCTCAAGATTGAGGTAAGGCTTTTGCGCCACTGGCGGTGCCATCAGGTTGTAAGACCGCGTCTGCGCATTCAAATTCTTGACCATAAGTTCCAGGAACGAGCGCTCGGTGTTGAGATACTGCGGATCGCGAAGAGGCGAAACATGCGGTAAGGATTCCTCCTGCAGCGTCTCGCCCGCTGCTGCTTCAGCTTCGGTGGCAGTCGACACAGAAGAGGCCCGCTCTTCTCCACTGCTGCTAGAGTCTCTGAGGGCTTGCTCAATCTTGGCTTTTTCAACCAACCGAGCCTCTGCCGCAGCATACGCACGCGCCCGACGCATTTGCGCCTCAAGCGACCCTCCCTCGCTGGCAATGAGCCGTGCAGCGTGCCGTCGCCACTCCGCTCTCAGCCGGGACCGAAACCGATCCACCTCCCTCGCCAGATCCTGCTGCTTCTCAATCCAGGGCGGCACGATCTCCTGCTTCTGGATGATCTTGTTCATGAAGTACTCGGTCGTGTCGATGAACGGACTGTTCGCATTATGGTCCGTTGTAACATTCACTCCCTTGCCCCTCTTGATCTTATCGAACTGCCCGCGCGCTATCGCATCCTCAATGCGCTCATTCGCCAACGCCGTCAGCCCCTGCAGGGTGGCCGGCATCGGCCGCGCTCCGGGCGAGAACCGCTCCCTCATTTCGCGGCGCATCGCCTCCCGCTCTTTGTCTGAGGGTCCCGAGCCTTGCGCCTGAGTGTATGTTGCGGTGCGCTCTTTCGCTCGGGCGAGTCGCACGCCGGCCGATTCGTTGGGTTTGGCCTTGATGCGCATGTCGACGGGGTTGGGTATCTTGAAGGGTGTGCGTATCGGTTTGATCGAACTGTCCAGCATGCGTAGCGTGACATCGTGGAGGTTCTCCTTGCCGGTCCAAGGCTCTGCGCCGGCGATGTCTCGTGTACCCTGTCCTGCGCTAGCCTACAAAGTAAATAAGATTTAGTATCCACAAACGTTATGAATTGTGTAAGGGCAAAGAGGCATCGGGGCCAAGTAGAGACTATACCGGCATATCGACAATCGAATGCGCACTCGCATACTGGCTCTGAAATGCCGCAGCCGCCACCCGCTCCTCCAGCTGTTTCTTCAACTCCTCCGAGAACCCGGCGGATTCCAGATTCTTGCGTGCGGATCGACCACCTTCAAGCATAGCTTCCTCGGTCATGGCAGACAATCGACGAGCCATGGCCCCTTGCTCGAGGGTATCCTCATTTTGAGGTTTGCTGCTGCTGCTGCTGCTGCTGTTGCTGCTGTTGCTGCTATCATTGCTCTGCTGGGCGGTTGTCGCATCTTGCCGCCTCCGCGCACTGCTGCTGGAGAGACATCGACATTTCGGAGGAGGAGAGGGCCTCGCGCAGCGCGTTGCACGCAGCGTAGTAGTAGAGTTCAGGTATAAAGTACATGCATGCCTGCTGCTCATTCTTGTGATTTCAACCCTTCAATGCTGGACCTCGTATGTATGTAAGTTGGAGGGGGCAATTTGTCAATCCAATGCACCCCAGCTTATCAGTGAAGACCGCCGCCGCCGCCGCGGATTATGTCAGCGACGCTCCCTCCCCAAAACCTCCGCGGGCAAAATTGTCCAAAAGTCTTGGCGCGAGGTTGACTGCCCTCTCCCTTCGACCTACAAACCCCGTTTGCGCGTTGAGATTGTGTCCTACGAGAAACTCGCTCTGTTTCTCCTCATACATCACCTTCAGCCTCGAAGCACGACGCTCGTGGACAAATAACCAACCATGCCTCCCAAACCCAGCACCCGCCTCACCCCCGTCCGTCTCCAGACCATCAACCACCTGCGCGTCCGAAGACCGAACCAGAGGGAGCCCAACGGATGTGTGGCGGTTATGTCGGCGATGCTGAGTACGTTGTTCTCTTCTAGTCCGCACACCTAGATTTCGTCAAGTGAAATATGCTTGGGAAGGAGGGGGGGAAGATGGAGAGCTTCGCAGGCATCATCTGGTCAAGCTCCGGACTTCTAGTCCGCTGAACCAGGATGACCAGGATCCCAGCACCTTACCCTCTTTTCCTTCCCCTCATCGACAGCAACATACATGTCCCGCAATGTTGTACGCGCCAGCTAACGCAATTCGCTTGTCATGTAGGTTGTTGGGCTTCGGCCGGTGGTTCTGTTGAAGGCTGCGCGGCGCTGGAACAGCAATTGAGACAGTGCATGGATGCTCCTGTACGTTTCTCCTTGATTTTCACTCTTTTGAGCTTGGCTAGATTGTCTGCTATGAAGTGAGGTGAAGTGCCTAACTAAATAACTAACAAATTCGCGTTTCGCTACATACAGAAACCCAAGCGCCAGGGACGCAGCACCATCAACTACCACCTCATGAGAATGTTCCCCAATGTGCGTGGACCGCAGAAGAAGGATGGTGTTTTGGGTTAGGAAACGTGCATAGGGCTGGACTGGACTGCATATGGGCGAGGGATGCGGCTGCGGTTGCGGCTGCTACAGTGCGGGATGAACATACTGTATTCTATTGTGGTAAACTGGAGTTTTCTTGTTTTATGGGTTCAAAGACAAATTTAGCTGTTCATGCCGTTGATGAGTATGTGCTGAGTTGAGGGCAAAGCTTAGAAGGCGATTGTGTAGGCTTCTACGTGTGGATAATTGTGGTGGGCTAGACTCAAAGGCTTGTGCGTATTAAAGACATGGCGCTGGATACGTGGTTGTCATGCTGCAACTACCGTTGTGCGTGTAAGAAATTTCCTAAACTCGAGATGAATGTAGTATGTACAAGACTCTTCGTTGACTCACGGCATAATATGATAACTTGTCAGGCATTCTCGAAGCGCAAAATCAACTTCTCGCCTCGAGGCTTCACGGTGTAAGCATCAATCGCCTCGATGTCGTCGTCGTTGACAACAGAAGTCGTGAAGTTCGTATAAATGGCTGCCACAGCCAGTTTCATTTCTGTAAAACGCAAAGAACAATTAGACATGCACCGGATTCCCCAGACTGGGACAAGAAATCTCACCTTGTAGGGCTAGGTTACTGCCCACACACATCCGTCCCCCGCTGCCAAAAGCCCAGAACCACCGTCGTCGCTCCTCCAGCTCGGCGGCCGAATTCTGGTCTTTCAGCCACCGCCTCGGCTCCCATGACTCAGGCTCCGGGTAGACCGCGGGATTGCGGTGGAGCGAGTAGGCTTGTGCGTTCACCCGCGTATTTGCGGGGATGTTGTCAAAACCTACAAGCGTGCAGCTTGGAGACGGCGTCACGCGAGGTTGGATGCCCGGTATCGGGGCATGCAGGCGCAGTGTTTCCGTGACGATGGCTTCGAGGAGAGGTAAAGCATCGATTGACTTTGGGGATGGAAGGGCTCGTGATGCGTCAGGACGAGGGTAGGTGAGCCTTGGCTCAAGGGTCAGGAGCTCTTCCCGGAGCTCTCGCTGTAGCTCCGGATGCTTTGAAAGCTCCCAGAAGAGGTAGGTTAAAGCCACGGCACTAGTCTCGTGGCCGGCTGTCAGATGATCGTACAGCTCACAGGCGATCTCGCACTTTTGCTTCTCTGGGTCTGCGTCTGATAGCCCAGCGGCTTTCTGCTGCTTCAAAATACCTTGCTTGAGGTGCTTGTATACCATCGGTTCAGTCTCCAGCTTGGTGGATGCCATGCATTCGTCCGCCTTGTCGCAGAAACTCAGCCCCCATGCGTCCAGTACCTCGTTGGCCTCATCACACCATTTAGGGATTAGACGAAGTCCGAATTTCTTGGTCCATGCCAGCAAGCCGGGAACTTCTTGATGGTAGAATTCAAACGGCTTTCTGCATTGATAGAGTTGCAACATTCTGTGCCGGAAGTCCGCATCTTGCAGAAAGTTGGACCCATTGGCCAGTCCATAGAGGTACGAGGATACGAAGTCCATGGTCAGCCCTTGATTCAGATCATGCATATCCACCACGGCATTACTTGTAACTGCTTCGTGGATCAGAGGCAGGAAACGGTCAAGCATGATTGTCTCAGAGATCAGGTGGATGTGTGGTGAAGACTGTAAGAAGGACTTGCTGTAAATGTTGGACAGCAGTCTTTTGCGGCTGGAATGGGCTTTATTGTCGGTCATTGTGAACATGCTTACGGTACTGAACTCTAGAGTGAGTACTTCGATGACCAGGACTCTTGCGCAGTACTCACCCAAAAGACCCGAATACCCGTGGGTACCATTCATGCTTCTCGAAACCCCCAGTGTATACACTTTTTATGCCACCGTCGACGCAATTGATTGAGATTTCAGAGGGGCCTAGTCTCACAATAGGCCCGAATTTCTCGTGCGCCGCCTGGATTGTACGATTGTTCAAAGCTCGATACCTTCTCCAGATGATCCAGGCGGGGGATATGGGTGCTGTCCAATGGGCGTTTGGAATCCTAGACAATGGTGATAGAAATAGTGGATAGAGTATTAATTTGTAGATCAGGACGAGAACGCAAGTGACGGTCGCGACGGCGGTCACAGCAGAGACTACCATGATGCTGGTAAATATCAATCCAAACTTGATAAACTTTGACGTTTGCGACAATGTTCTGGGTTGATAATTGACGACTTTTGAATGGGCTCGGATGATAAGGCCTACGCAAGTAGATCGGCTTTTCTCGGCTAATGGAGGATGGATTGAAGCTACCACGCGCAAGATACTCAGCTTCCCGGGGGTTAGAAGATTGATATGCTCAAGACACGTATAATACTTAGCGTCAGCCAAAGTCATTCATAACAAGCATTTCAGTCCAAGGCAGTCGCAGCATGACTCACTTGATTGAAGGCAGACAAAGCTTCTTAAGCGGGGAGCGACGCATATTGCGATAAGAAAATGGAGATAAAGACGATAAAAGATAAGAATCCATCATCGCTGCATAAGTGCTGACATAATCCATTCAACAAAGTCACATGCTGGTCAATAGATGGATTTTTCGTTTCTGCTGTTTCTGCTGCAGGTATAACTATAGTACTAGTTCTTATCCAATTTGTGACTCATGTTCAGGTTGATCTTGAATTTCGCCATCAGTCCTTCATTTTGACTGGAGCTTATGGTGCTTGGCAATATGCAGGATTCCTCGCGTATTATTATGTCGCTATGTTTCTCCTAGCCCAGTAATGGGTTTGGCCGCCCAGGTTTTTTCCCATGACCTCAACCGCCGACAAGTCTATAACAAACCCCATGGCAAATGTGTGAACTTTGGAGTCGTTTTCCTCAGCAGGTGCGTGTGTTATTCCCCTAAGCTCATAGTATCAAGTATGGCTAACTATGTGACGGGTAGTATTTGCCCTGCACCATACGTCATTTCTGTGCCTGATCTGTGTGCGCACTGCCAAATGCATTAATGTATTGACATCAACATCCAACTTCCTCAAACAACATCATGTTGGAAGATCTACCTGCTGAGATCCTCTATCTCATCGCGTGCCACCTGCCCACTGTCAATGCCTTGGTGCATCTGTCTCGAACCAGCAGACGTCTGCATGAAACCATTGCTACGGATAACTGGCGGATCTTTCGTGCCTTTGTGCAGAAACAATTTCCCGGCGCACAAGTCCCAGGTTTCTGGAGAGAAGCGGCTCAATCGCTCACGTCCCGCTCACGCGCCTTGGACAAGCATGCTCTTGTGGGTAGATTTGTCTATCCGTCCCAGGCAACCAGGGTCGGATCTGAAAAGGCGATCCGTGGCGACAGGCCTACGCTTGGCTATCGCCCCGCCCTGGACACATATGAGACTTGGAACGGATCAACTTGGAATGATCGGCGAGAAGTCCTCGCCTGGGGCGCGGCAGACGAGATCTTCCTGCGAGTGAAGCAGACGGGCTCGACACCAAATGAGCAGTGGATCATCTTCAGCGATCTCGATCATATCAGCAGCGTCGACGACATCTGCGGATTGCACTTGCTGAGGCCGAGCCATGCGGCATACGAAGAAGGCACGGAACATCTGATATTCGCCCGCGCTCGTGGTGAAATTCACCGTCTCGCAATTTCCATTGACGAGCCGTCGCATGAGTACAAGCAAGTATTTGAAACGTACGGCCTGGGTGTTGAGCGCACCGACTTGAGCACTGGGCAGATTTCAATTCTCGCAGCGCATCTGAGCAACGGGACCATTGCGCTGTACAACACGGCTTCGACAAGCCAAAGAGTGTCGGAATTTACGCGTCTGCAAATCGACCCAGCGAAGAAGACGCGTAACAGATACTCGAAATTCCTCTCATCCGATCTCCTTGCCATCGGAACAGGTCGCATCGACGATGCAATCACAATCTCGTCCGTCACCAACGAGCGGGTGTCGCAGGATCGGGAAATCAGCCTACATCAAGTAGACTATGAGAGGTTGAACCCTTCTGCGGCCATCAAATCAGATGTCAACGCCATTGCGCCTTTGAGCGCTACCGGACAGGTCTTTCTCGCAGGATGGGGTGATCGGGCCGTCAGGTAATGCCTCATTTCATCCCCTAGACTAAAACTATCACTTCTTATAACCACTAACCCTCTTCACCCAGACTCCATGACCTCCGATCCCACAAGGAGCACGAAATGATCTACCGCGATCCCACCGACGACAACCCCATCTACTGCATCCATCCATTCACCCACAACCGCTTCATCGTCGGCTCCGGCGGTGAAGCCCTTGTCAAGATCTTCGACCTCCGCATGGACCGTGGCTACAGCTACCTCGACTCAAAGCCCTCAATCCGACGCTTCGCCCGTCCACCCCAACCACCCACTAACGGTGGTACCACTCTCACCACAGCCGCCACTACCCGCACTAAAGCCATCGACAAACTCAACCACCAACTCCACCACCTATCCCTCACCACCACCCGCAAGGAGGTTTCCATCTACCTCTCCCACCCAGCCCCAACAACCTACCACCAGCCGCGCAACATCCAGAACCAGCGTCCCTACCGCGGTGCCATTTACACCATGAGCTCCCCCTCTCCCAGCTCCCCGACTGTCTACACCGGCGTCGCCGACGGCGTCATGCGCCTAGATTTCGTCGCATCAGACGATCTCCTCCACGGCGGCCACGGCGCCTGGTACGCCGAGCCGCTCGCCCTTACCGATCTGGTGGCATCAGAACCACATCATCATCAGCAGCAGCAACAACAACAAAAGTCGCGCCGTCGTCGGTATCCTGCGGACCGCATCCTCGGTTTATCCGGATATGAGCGTCCGGACGATCCAGGGGCTAGTACGGCGGTGGTGCGGCTGCGGACCCAGCAGCCGTTCCAGGACGTCACCGACGAGGACATCGCCAACGAGTCTCTGACTGGTTGGGACCGGCGGTGGACAAAGTTGGGGGATTTTAGCTCCTGGAGGCCTGCTTTGTGATTGCGGCCATGGGCTCTCGGGGTTGGTGGCAGTGGAGTTTGGTACTTGAGGATCTGTACTGGAACTTGATTATGATTGAATTGAGCCAGGTTGCATATACTACTACAAGCATTGAGGGTGGTTTCGTCTTGGGCTGACTCGCTGTATCGCTAGAAGTGCAAAAAAAAACATACATGGATAAATTTGCATGTGCTACGAATTGGATTTATACACAATGAAAAATAGACCTTGACCAAACTCATTGCTTTTTACTTTGCGCTACTGGAATCAGAACACAGGTCTAGGTGTAACTAGAAGGAGTAATGTCTTCAAAAGTCATGACTTGAATGAAAGATAACAAGCGAAAACATGCGAAATGAAGAAACACAAAGGGCAAAACTCCGGCCCGGCTCCATTAGCGCCTTGCTGCAAGAAGCAAACATTTTCGGGGACCCCAGGATCTAAAACAATGCATCTAGATCTGATTATCTAATAATGTGACAGTGAATGACTTTTTTCCTCCCTGGGCAAAGAAGAACCAATTCGGTAGCTTCCGTTGTGCAGCTGTTGGCACATGGCAAGCTGAAAGAATGATTTCTGGACCCAGTTGAGAGCGATCGTAAGTTATATGTGACGAAGTAGAACGCCGACACTCATCTAGTCATCGAACTTGAAGGACTTGCCGCCCGAGATGTCAATGGGGCCGCCACGGTAGGATCCACGCTTCTTCTTGTTCTTCTCCTTCGTGAAGCCCTTGCCGCGGGTGACGGACAGATCTTGCCAGGCTTTCTCGGCGTAGGCGTAGGGGATGTATTCGTTTGAGGGGTGGTGATCGTAGGGCTGCTCACTGAGGAGAGCCAGGGGCGTAGGCCGCGCACCGGTGTGCTTCTTCTTGGTGAAGCCGTTGCCAGGAGCAGGGCTGGCGCTGGCAGAAAGGGTCTCGCTCACTTTGGCAGCAGGTGCAGCCTTCTTCACTTCAGATTCGGAGTTCTCAACGGTTTCGCTGCTCTCGGAGTTCGAAGGAGTGGACTTTCCGCTCTCCTCCTCGGAAGAGGAGTCGGAGGAAGAAGAGCTGGAGGCAGGGGCGGTCTTCTTTTCCTTCTTTTCAGCCTTGGGCTTCTCAGTTTTGGGCTTCTCTTCCTCGTCGCTGGAAGAATCAGAATCCGACTCGGACTCGGACTCGGAGCTAGAGTCGGAAGAGCTTTCGTCTTCGCTCGAAGAGGAGGACTCGGAGTCGGAGGAAGAGTCGGAAGAAGAGTCAGAGTCTGAAGAACCAGACTCGGAATCAGAAGAAGCCGAGGTTTCGGTAGAGGATAACTTGGTCTTCTTGGACTTAGGGGCCTCTTCCGACTCAGACTCGGATTCAGATTCGGAGGAGCTGGATTCGGCCTTGCGCTTGGTGCCCTGGGACTTGGAAGCAGGAACCGGAGCAGAGGCAGTCTCTTCCTCCTTCTCGTCATCCGCATCGCTATCAGAGTCAGACGAGGAAGAAGAGGAAGAGGAAGACGAAGGCGAGGAACTTCTAGACTGCTTCTTCTGCGTCTTCGGGGCGTCATCCATCTCGACATCGGAATCACTCGAGTCGTCCGAGCTGCTGTCGCTGTCCGAGGAGGAAGAGCTGGACTCATCCGAGCTGTCAGACTTAGAGGACTGGTTCTGCTCCCAGGTCTTGAAAAGCTCCATCAGAGAAGGCACATTCTTGGTGTTAATCTTAATGGACTTGCTGCTCAACTCCTTGGTGAGCGCATCGTGGGTCTTAGACAGTCCATTGTCGGAGAGGTATTGGGAGATCGCCGCGACGAGGGGCGCAGGAGGAGCAGGAGCCTATTGTGTAAGAAATATGTCAGTGTACCCGTTCGGCGCATTCTAGCGGATCTCGAGATCAAAGCAAATTTCCGCACCGTCTTCTTGTCCTTGGACATCTTGGTAGGAGAGGATTTCTGAGCCTTCTTGGAAGCCATTGTAGCGCTCTGAAGTGAAAGACACTGTGGTCTGAGCAGAAAACAAAGGACTCTCGGGCAGTGATTTGGAAGACGGTAGGATGTTTTTGATCTTTCCTTTATCGGACTGACAGAAAAAAAAAAAGTTTACAAGAGGAAAAAGGGACGGCAGCAAATGCAGGCGGTCAGCGAATCTCTATGTTCTGACTGGCCAGCCGGTTGCTTCATGCTGGTCTCACGTGGCGTCCCGTGACTGAATCTAAGATCCCCGGCCGTTAATCACGTGATAGACTGGGTAGTTCCCCGTCTAGGACTAAAGTACTCTGTAAGTTACTGCGTAACTTTTGCATAATCGCTGGGAATTATGAGAATGAACGCATCACCATAACGTTAAGAGATGAATGACAGAATAGCACCTACTCAGACCTTATTGGATGAAGTAAAGCAGATATGTCTGAATGACTGTTCGCACCAATATATTTCCACCGCGATGAGTAAGTTCAATGATGTACTCTGTACTACAGGTTCGGCAGACTTGGATGGCCGGACATCAAAGTATATACAGCCACTGGTATCTCACCCCAACAATCAAAGTCAAGATAGTGATATTTAGATTGGCTGTTATCATCAACCTCTTATACTGTGCGATTTTCCCTCCAATTCTGCATCAATGACATCCCGCCGCAACGATGGAGATCATCAGTGTTATGCATGTGTTTATATAATGTGTTATACTCAACATGTGGACAAGGTCTGATTTGACTGGTGAGGTTCCAGATGGTCAAATAAAGAGGCCTCGGGGCTGTGTGGTGATTCCTTGCTACCGGTTTGCAAACTTAGGTATATATGGGCAAGAGAAGTCACATCTTTTTCAATTGATTCATGAAATAATCTTCAGCGTAATTTATGTTTATTTAATTTCTGTAGCATTAAGTCAGTGTATGCACTGCATGTCGAGTCAGCCTCGTTCCGGTGGTCCTTTGAGCACGAGCTCCTCCCTCCTCGATAACTACTAGTGTCCGCTGCCGCCCAGACTCATTACGGAGTAATCCAATGATCTAATCCACACCCTCCACCTTGCTTGTACTTCACATTCTGCTCTTGCTCCCAACATCTGACTCTTCATGTCGCTTGTTCCTTTGTGCTGAGTGTGCCATTTCTCTCACAATCCTGTTCGTCGCGACATTGTCCTTCTACGAGCTGTGCTACTCGCTCACGTCGCGCCGCAACCACCCCCCCGGTCTCTTCCTTCCTTGTCCTGATCGACGATGTCTACCTGATTTTGGGCACATCCTGAGTGTACCAGGCTTCGGTTTCTAAATAACAGTTATGAGTAGTCGTGACCGCCCAAGGGGCCCTCCGCCCAGTGACATTCCCCCTCAAAGGGATCCGCGCCGTGGAGGCGATGGTCGCAATGGCGGATTTCCCGGGCCCAGTGATGGCTCCTTGTCAAGGGCGGAGAAGTTCGAGGACGAGAAGAGGCGGATCATTCACAGCTGTTTCTCTAAGAAGGACAATGATGGCACCTGTATTTCACCCGCCCTGTGGGAGTCAATTGCACTGTTCCGAACTGATCGCTTCTCTCCATTTTAGTGGTCGAGTCCTACATAACACATGTCCGCATTATCGAAGATGCGGCATATCCATCCACCCCCGCGCCGCCAAACTCGCCGCCCGAAAACAAGAAGCCTCGAGTAATCATTGTTGCGGTCAGAAGATCAGGCAGGGTGCGCTTGCACAAGGCTAGGGAGAACAACGACGGGTCTTTTTCTATTGGGAAAACATGGATGCTCGACGATTTATCCGCCATTCAATCGTATAACGCCTTGGTACCGTCGACCCCTCTGGAACAACAGCAGAAGCAGTGGGCTCTCAATCTCGGGTTCGTGGTTACCGTGGGAAAGCCTTACTATTGGCATGCACGGACTGCCAAAGAGAAGGACTTTTTCATCGGCAGTCTGGTGAAGATCTATCGCAAATATACTGGGGGCAAGGTGCCCACACTAATTGGCTTCGACGAACGTGAACGGCAACTGCTGGCTGGGTCAAACCCCACTCCTCCGACGGCACCGCCAGCACCTAGAATCCCTCACCCAGGATCTTCTCGTTCGGATGTGACATTGCCCCCCCCTCGCCCGCCTTCATCTCAGGGCAGTCGGCCCCAGTCTCCGTACTCAAGCCGCGCGCCCAGTCGCGATGGGCCTAAGAGGCCACCACCTGAGGAACACGCCCTGCGATCTCAAAAGAGTCGAGAGCAGATGGCAAGGCCGTCGACTGGCCAGTCTGCAAAAAGCGGGTTTTCACCCTCCGGTCCCCCATCGCACCCGCCACCGATACCCCCTGATCATCGCGAGCAACCTCCTCGTGCGACGGAACGACTGGCAACAGATAACAGGGGCCCAAAGGCGCCGCCGCCCCCTCTACACGAATCCAGAAGCAGGGACTTCCCGTCCAGTCTGCAAGCTGCATCTTCTGCTGTCTCGCCAGACAGACTCAACGGCCACAATGCTCATAATAGCGAAACCAGTCAAGGAGTCCCAACCCTGGAGGCAAGGCCCCCATCCTCTCGGGATGGAAGGCCAGATCCCGAATCAAGGCCTATGCTACGTACCCATGATTTACACACTAGTCGTAGCAAGGATGGTCTTCGACCCACGACACCAGGGTCGGTCTCCGGAGAGAATCGCACATTCTTGCACAGTCCAGCAAGCAGCGTGGGTCCACGGTCGCCTTTGCGGGAAACATCCGAACGGTCTTCCAGATCGGACATACAGACAGAACCTCAGGAGCTGGAGGCTCCTGTCAGCTCCAGCGTCGGGGATCTGCCATCCACCTTGATGCCCGGCATGTCAGCAGGCAACAAGACACCGACCACTCCCCATAAACCCGAATCTATCACTATTCAACCTCCCGTACCAGCGTCGGCACCAGAACCAGAAACAGTCATAGCAACTCCGGATCCTCCGCAGTCGTCGGAAGCTGCCGAACCGGCTGCAGAGACGGAGCCTCCTATGCCAACCAGTCCTTCGGACGATGCGGGGCCTGCAGCTGAAGACCTTGATACGCACCGTCCAGGCCTTGGTCCTATGGTAAAGAAAAAACAAACCAAGGACGTTGCAGGAGCATTGCGCAAAGCCGCAACTGCCTACGGTGCTTTCAAGCCTAGACCCGGAGGTGCAGGCGAGAGGCTTTTGGCAGCGGCGAGAAAGCAGAAAGCAGCAACGGATGAACCTGATGGTATTACAAGCGTTGTTCCAGCTCCATTCTTGCTTCGGACGAACAGCGACAATACAACGGCTGGCCCTGACAGCCCAGATAAAGAGGGGCCAGCAGCTCCCTTACCTCTTAGGACAGAGGAACAACCTGCTGCGCCTCCACCTATCACAATCCCTGCATCAGAACCTCCCACGGTTGAAGTGACCCAAGCGCCTCCGCTGGAGCCCGTCATCAAGCCCGTCGAGGCACCCAGTGACACGCGCGACACATCGAGACCCGTGGTGCAGATTGTCACTGACGAGAGGACAAGGTCCGTGTCGCCTTCGCCACACGATCGCCGCCGTAGACGTCATGAAGACAACACAATTAAGTACTGCCAGTCTCTTGGGATCAGGCCTAGCGTTTTGGCAGGGCGAGGGGGGGATTTTGATGATATCTTGACAGACCTAGGTTGGAATGGACGGCTTAGTGACGAAAAGCGCATCGAAGATCTTGAAGCGGATATCCGTCGCGAAATCGGACGCGTCGAGGCTACCAGCTGGCTTGGTAACCTGGAGCAGCAGGAGGGGAAGATTGATCAATTGGCCAAACTCATTGACAAGACGGTCGAGGAATGCGAAGAGTTGGATAATCTACTTACGCTATACGCGCACGAATTGAACGTAAGTAATAGCCCCGAACGTTTGCACGTTCGACAGCTGCTGATCGCACTCCAGACACTACACGACGATGTGTCCTATATTGAGACACAATCGCAGGGTCTGCAAGTGCAGACTGCTAACCAGAAGTTGCTCCAAAACGAGCTACAGAACCTCCTGAATACACTCTCTATCTCTTCAGGTGATCTGCGTGCACTCAAGGAATCCTCACTGAGTAATCCTGATGGACTACGAGATACTGAAGTGGCACTGTCAACACTGTATAAGGCGATGTTGATGATCGATTCCGATATACGGCAGAATAAGAGACGGCTGGCCGATGCTGCTGGAGATCATGGCAGCCTGGGCGTTTACGCTGACACGGAGATTGGACAGATGCGCGCCATCCAGGAAAAGAAAGAAGAATATCGCGCACATGCTCGGGTATTCTTGCAGCGACTCAAACAATTCATGACAATCGCCTTCAGAATTGCAGAGCAAAAGAGGATCGACGCCGCAGCAGCCGCTGCTCAGAAAGACCCCCTCAAGCTCAACAGTGAAGCTCGGGCGTACTGTCGCCGAGAACTGTGGCATTACCACGCAATGATTCTCTTCGCGCGAGAAGTTAGCGGAGGAGAATGGCAGGCCTTAATCAACCTTTATGAACAACAGGCGAAAGCGCCTTACCAGAATGACTTCCGCGACAACAACGTGTCTTGGAGGAAGATGGCAAGAAAACCCACAGGAGATGAGCAGGAACTCCTCTTCACCCATCAGGAGAAGGAAAAAGAAAGTGAAGGTCTCACGATGGCCGCACGTAAACTCACCGTTCGGAGAGGCAAGACCATCCGAGCGGCAGCCGGCCTCAAGCTGTCATCTGGTGACAAGCAACACGGTAAACTTGAGCCATGTGAGGCATTCGCAGGCACTCTCCAAGAGACATTGAGAATGATCTCTGAGGAGCAGAACTTTATTGTTCATTTCTTCCACTTGAACTCCCTCTCCACACTCGAATTTCCGGACCTGGTCGCTTCGGGTGCTCCGGATGAGCGCAGGATTCCTAATTTCAGCGTCAAACAATTACATGACCCCGACCGGGGTATGGCCAAGAAGGTCGAACAGAGCATGGACGAACTCTTCTCATTCTGGCCCACTGATATGCAGAATCTTATTGACTGGGCTATCCGAGCGGATCCACTGTAAGTGTCAAGCGCATCGCGCGTTATCATGACTTCCGATACTGACTGAGACGATGATAGTCAAGGAATTGGTATTCTACTGGCCTTGGAAAAGGCTATCTCCGAGTTCGATGACGCCAATCAGGATTTTATTGTCCACTCCCTTCAGAAACTGCATTCTCGACTCCTTGGTCTATTTAATCGATTTGTGGATGAACAAATCCGCGGTATCGAGGAGACGAAAGTCAAAGTGAACAAGCGCAAGGGAGTGATCTCATTTATGCGAGTGTTCCCGAATTTCGCCACTGCTGTGGAGAATCTCCTCACGCAGCAGTCGCAGGATTTCCATGATATTCGCATCAGCGTCAACGAAGCCTACGATCGCATCAATCGTGCCATGTGGGAGTCGCTCAAGTTCATCGCCAAGGAAGCTCCCGGCCAACCGACGGCCACGACTGCCACGTCTGGCGATCCTGAGGACAAGGAAATTCTTAATTACCACATTCTCCTGATCGAAAACATGAATCACTACGTGGAGGAGGTCGGTATTCGAGATCTTTTGGTTCTGGAGCGTTGGCGCGACCGCGCGCAGCAGGACATGCAGGAGCACTTGAAGCTGTATCTCGATTCAGTCATCCACCGACCTCTCGGCAAACTGCTTGAGTTCGTGGAGTCTGTCGAAAATCTACTAGGGAGCGGAATGAACCCCTCGGACATTGCCAGCCGGCCCAGTTACTCGCGATCGGTGGCGAAGAAGGTGATGGCAGCGTACGACGGAAAGGAGATCCGACGAGGTATCGAAGGGCTGAAAAAGCGGGTTGAGAAGCACTTTGGCGATGCAGACGATCCGGGGTTGAGTCGGAGTCTGGTGTTGAAGGTGCTCCGGGAATGCGAGGGTCGTTATGGGGAGGCATACGACCGCACCCGGCGCATCATTGACACAGTGTATGAGGGACAATTGGAGCTTGAATGGCGCAAGGAGGATGCGGCTGCCATGTTCCAGAAGTGACAGATGGATGGGTATTATTAGGATTTTTGAGTTTCTGCCCTTACTTGACTCTGGTCTGTTGGCTGCTATTGAGTGTAAATCATACAAGGGGGGGAGGGGGAAGGAAAGGCATGGCATTGGGCGTTTGTTTCATCATTTACCAGTTGAATCTTTTCCCTTTTTTTTTTTTTTTT